CACATCACTGAACCAAGTGCCGTGTGGGCCACCCCAGAATCCAGATTGTTGCAGACCTGATCCTGCTGACCAGGTGAAATTCACAGTGATAGGGTTGTGGTCTGACAGGATACTGCCGTTAGACTGTAGGAATTTGGTACTCTCGTAGTTCCAGTACGTAGCGCTCAGGTCGAGAAGCGCGCTCCCGCGGTAGAAGACTTTGTCGACTGTCTCGCATTCGTTAGTGGTGCTTGGGTTTTCGCAAATGGTTTCGACGTTCGGAATGGTGCCATCATGCACGAGCTCAACCCAAGGGTCTGTGAGTCCGTTCTGCTCCGAGAAGATGCGGATACCGTCACCCGTCCGCGTGTAGCGGCTGTTAGTGTCTCCGTATACAAGCACAGCGTTGCCAGAACTACGAGCATCGATAGCGTCAGCCACCTGCTTGAGGTTGGCGGCACGTGCTGTTATATCGCCGTCTTCGCTACCCGCGTCTGTGTGTAGGTTGTATACGTCGACGTAAACGCCATCGTCAATGGTGGCACGCATGAAGGTAAAGCCTTTAGGGGTCAAACAGTCACCTGAGCCAATACTGCACGTTTCCCACTTGACGCGCTCATATTCAACCCAGTCGAAGTTCGATAAGGTGTTGAGTCCGGAGCCGAAGGGCACACCTCCCGAAGTAGCCGTACGGTATGGGTGCGTGTCCGTCTCATAGATGTAAGCGTGATAGTTGAAGTCCTGGGTTTTTCGTTTAGCTTAGATCCTTCTTGTCTATCATGCAGCATGTATGTCGCAGCCCCTCTGCCCTCAGGCCTCTGTTTGAACGAAAAGGGACAACAGCGCAGGGGGATGGAACAGACGGTTTCAAAACCAGACCATTTGCCAAACTCTTACGAATCATCGATGCATAACGAACCAAGGGGAAGGCAAAATATCGTACGTACCTCTTGTACGTGAATTATGTCATAATCGTACTGCGCAAACTTCGTGCCGATCAACCCCGAGTTGGTGGTCTTGTCTCCTGGAACCTCGTTGTTATTGAGGAAATCTGGCAAGCCTGCGACGTTCATGCTAAGGACACTAAACTCGCCGCTACTAGCTGCCAGTGCATCGCTGATTAGCAGAGCCAACGCACTGACTGAGACGGCAAGATTCGTGGTTGGACGCTTCATCTTTACGTTGGCGAGAGTCGATGCTGACCTCTATTTCGCTACAAGTAATGATTACTTAGCCCCTTTTATGTTTTCTTTCCATCTAGGCTATCAACAGCAAGTAGCACGCATAATAAATTAAGATAGAACGAAGATTAGTTAAAGAAAGGGTCGTATCCTTCATCTCGTAAAGTCTCCATCCTCTCGGCCTCCGATTACCATAATGGGTTTCTCTGCCGGCGCCGCTCCGCACAAATTCAATACCGATGCGACGCATCCCGTTATATAGCTGCTATTAATGACCTCTTCCGTTATCGAATTCGACAATGCTTCTAGCTCGTGTTCTCGACCATTACGACGATTGACCTTCCTAACTAAGCCAGCTTACGCAGCTACCAGGTATTCTTAATATTCTCCCAATCTCAATTGCCAATTGCCAGCGCACGTGAAGCTAAGTAGCAAGATTGTAGTAACTTGGCAGATCAACTATAGGCGAGAAATACGGATTGGTATCTCATTTTATATTTTATGCGCTCTTATATCTTCTAGGTGCTCATAGGCCTAACATCTAGTAACTAATGCCTGTATAAGTGAGGAACGAGCTTGCGTTGTTATAATGAGATTTGCAGATTAGTTATTGTACGACTATTTATAATGAACATCATCAATTACCACTTCGCTGGGGTCTCTCCTGATGTATATATACTATTATCAAATGCGTCTCACATTGGACAAGCTTTGCTTGGTGTCTGGAAGGGATACAGTCTGCCGAAAGCCGGTTCAAGATCACCCGCGCACGTCCCTCAGGTGTGAGGTTATCGTCACTCTAGCAGAATTATGGCAAGATCCGTTGCGCTATGACGAGCAGCGTAGGCAGGCATGCAGATCCTAGGTGATCCGTCGCAAGGTTTACTTCCAGCATCAGACCATCCCGGTTTCAAGCTTCAAACACTTATGTCTCTTGGCCACGTGCTATGCTCGAGAGCAAACAGCAATAAGAGGAGAACGTCAGGTTTTTGGTATGGTGGATGACGTACGACAAGATCTACCAAGATAAAATCTGGACCTTGAAGCGGATAGCCGCGCACATGCACACACTTTCACAATCAATCGGACTTTTTCTTCATATCGTTTATAGTCGTTATGTTCATTGAGACAATCCCTTTGGAACGGACTTCAGATGGTTTCTACATAGGAACCGGGTTTTCTAATATTTTCTTCAATGGCTACTTGCAGAGAATTGAAGACGATATCCCCGTTGCAATTATTATAGAAATATTGAATCTAAATTATTAGATTATTCGGGTAGAATGTTTGCCACGGCATAGATGCAAGAATACACATACATACAATAACATTGATTCTCTGATCAACTATGCTGTGACCTTATTCTTTACTTCTGCCGCATCACATGCCCTAGGAGGCTTAGAGATTTTCCTTGTAGAGGCTCGAGACATCCGTGTTCCCCCCGCATATAGAACCCTGCTCGTTGGGGGGGAACAGAGATGTACAGTAGAGAGGAACTAAGTATTCATTTGTCTTTGCTAATCCCCCACTCTGCGCGCTCGCATAATGGAGCCACAGCGTATCAAGACGACTATTCTGAAATAGGATACTATTCTCATAGAGTATGTTATGCGGGAACGGAGCAGGCCATCTTTAAAATATCGCATATTTTGCTGTGCTATAGGTAGGTAATAAAAGTAGATCATAGCATCAAGACGACTAGGTACCTGTTCCTGTGACCAAAGCCACAATGATGCTGCGGTATCGGTGTGATGTGATAGAAGTTCGGGCTATTATGGATCGTCTATGTAAGTGCCCACGCCACCATGTAGGCAGGTAAGTAATAGATCACACAGCACTAATGCCCGTATTCCAGGTTTGCTAATTGAAAGATCATGTTATCACGCCGCTAGACCTCTACAGCTTATGTTCTATCTTGTAACTAGACTTTCGGCATTAATGGACGAAAGCCCCATCGTAGGGGCATGCCCGATTCCAAACCCTTCCTATCCTCTCACCCCACCATTATGTACGTATATGGTCCCCGAGAGCTTACCAACTTGTATCTGCATCTGTATAGTATGATCGTGCGTATGCAAGAGTGGCAGTGTCCCTGCATTAAGCATCGCGCACCCGCCTCATTGATGCTCGGGATTAGGGCCACCAGTTAAAGGAAAATCCTGGACTCGGAATCCCTGCAAGTGTGTGTGGTAAGCTAGATGCGGGGAGACCTTCCGAAGCTACGCTACCTGTAGCAACTAACTGCTTAAACTCTCAAAGCTCTTCCGACTGGTGCTTCCAGTCCGAATTCTGCCGCTCTAAGGACGTCTTAGAAGAGACAAGCGGGATGAGAGTTCTACTTATGAGGTATTCGTACGTTACGCTAACAAAAATGCCAACGGTAATGCTGCAGAGCGTTAGTAAATCAGTAAGCCAACTTCTGTCATCATTTTAATTATGTGGTGGTATTGTCAATATAGGTACAAATAAAGCCCGCTTATTAGTCCCATAATACCATAGGTACTCGGGGGACGAGGGGTTTCCAGGACATGTACACTCTTGGAGATGTACATATGCACGTGGATAACTATACTTCACACGCACTGTATATCCTTCTGGTTGGAAGATCCATCAAAGGTACGTATCACGTAATTCTCGGACCCTGAACTCTACACTATCAGTGAAATAGGGTGTCCTGGGTAAGTTGGAAGGGTGTGCGTATAGATAGCCTGAAGACAGTTAAGTTATTGGCGCATGACGTATCAATCCACCAAGACCAAACAACAATGTTGCCGGCGACCAGTTTCCCGGTCAAAGCCTTGATGCGTTTGCCATTAGAGGCATTCTTGACGCTTTTAAATACAAGGTCACTGTCATATTTAAGGCATCCACCTGACACTTTAACGTATGACAAAGGCCCTGTCTACCGGAACAATATAGTGAACGCCGTCCCGGAGAATTATCTTATAGCTTAGACATACGGAAGCTACCGTTGCTCGTAGGATTCAAACAGAAAGGTTGGAGACTGACGTTCTATTTAGCTTTTCGAGGCTAGCATACATAATTGACATATCTATTTGCTATGTATTCTAGATATCTGAGATCATCTCATGAGACTAACTCTAGTTGGATTGTGAGACATGACTATGAGAGCTATGAAGCTAGCTTTGAATTGTATCACGACGGTGAACTAAGCTCTAAGGCTTAGTGAGTAGGTAGGTCTGCAATCTAAGGTTAATTATGGTATATTATTGAAATATATCAAATTTGAGGTTTTTAGAAATGCTTCCGCCTATAACATTAAAGTATTACCGACTAATTCCAACGTCTGAGAGATATTGATGTGACCAATTCGACCACTCGGATAATCACTAGGTTAGTGCTCATGTAGATAAACTAGTTCTAAGTCTATATACCGAATTTTATACCCTGTTTTTAGTCAAGGTTACTTAAAAGACTATTGGTGGCGGGAAAATATTGGCTGATAAAGTTTTTACTTAGAAACATAGGAGATAATAGCTTAAGGTATCTTCAGTGTCTCCTTGACAATGTACAGGACAGATTACGTTGATATGTAGTACTTTGAGAGCATCTAAGGACTCGATGCAACCGTTTACACATGGGAATGTTATCTCTAAAATAAGATAACGGTGAATGGTTTTATGAGGGGTGTAATTTAGGCGCTCTAGTAACTACTGGGGGCTCAAGTGAACTCAAATGATAGAAATAGGAGATAGCTATCTAGTAAATATTACGTAGAAATTAAGAATATTTTATAACACGGAAACAGGGCCAGCCCCTTTACCTACAAGCCGTGCTGGGTAGCCAGATCTTCATCCACAACAAACAGCATCTTACCCTTTACATCCGTGCCCGATACAAGATTAGGTACTCATGGGCTTTTACAGCGTCGCTGAGCCTAAATAGCTTCGCGATTGTCGGCGACAGTTCCCCGCTCCGGACCTTTCCTAATATTGTCTGCAAGTCCTCGAGCCAGACCTGTTTCTGTATCGCCTTGTAGTCGGCAACAGCACTCCATAATCTCACTCTCGAGTGTAATCGCTGCCGAACCACAGTTCTAAGGTCGAGTTCGGTTTGCCGTAGTCCGGATCCATCCGTAGAAATCTCTGACATGGCGCCAATAACTATGACTTGCCCAATATCTTTTTTTGTCGCCTGGTAACTTCTTTGGATGCTCTCTTCGCTCCCTACCGAGTCATACGCCACGTCTACCCCTTCGCCGCCAGTCAAGGCTCGGACTTGATCCACGAGGTCGGGCGCATGGCGGTCGATCGGAATTACCCCCAGGGACTTCACATATTCGAATTTCGATGGTGAACATGTCCCGATCATCTTCAGGTCCATTTTAAACGCTCGCACCAGCTCTGCTATCGCCGTTCCAACACCTCCGCTTACAGAGCCGATTAAGATACTTGAGCCAGGAATAAGGCTGGTCACAGCCCGCTTCAGCATCCCGAAGGCCGTTGAATAATTGAGCGGGAGAGTAGAAACTTTAATCGGATGATCTGCACTGTCAACACGAATGAGTTCAGCTGCGGGTAAGATAATATGAGTTGCGTAAGCACTAACTCTAGACATAGCCGTGGCTTGGTCTCCCACAGATAGGGAGCTTTCTTTCGATGCCAAGGGACCTAGAGTAACCACTTTGCCGACAAAATCGTATCCCAGCATGAATCCTGGCTTCGAGCAACGGAGGTCAGGATAACCTCCCACGCGATGGAGATTGTCCGTCCCGGCAATACTGGCTGTTATGACTCGTACGATAACATGGTCGGCTGGTAACTCCTCGGCGTATGGATCTCAGGTATCCCATTTCAAGACGTCTGGGCCGCCAAATTTAGATACGATCCACCGACCGGGTCGATCAGGTGTAGCACTAGTATTTCGAGACATGTTAGCTAGGAGAACGAAGTGTTGTTGGGTATTGAAATGGCTTACAACTTCAAGTATCAAATAAATGCTGATATAAAAGACCTACAACCAGTTATATAGGGGCTACGATTTGTCATTGTCGGGATATCCGTTACCCCGATTTATAATCGTGGTCAAAGTTGTTAGTGATTGGTAGTAATTGAATTTTGGCCATATTCGCCAAAGTATATGGATTTATGTTAACGCTGGCCTCGCGTTTCGCGCCTCACGAACGCTACGCCGAAGGACGCGAAAATGCGTAAACAACCTGCCTTTAGTAATCCCTGAAAAGATAGATGTCTCCCTATACTTCAGAAGCAGCTAAGCTTATACTACCTGTCTCATCTGATTACTACCTAATCATCCGTTCTATGTAATCGAGCTTGCCCCTGAAAGGAACCCTTTTGGCTCTCGTAGTAATAACTTCTGTTGTCATAGTTGTCTCTTTATCTAGCATATAACTATTCCGCCCCTAAAATTCTATATAGTACGTAATGCTTCGTTAGAAAGAGAGAATGGCTAGTGTGGTATTAGATCGGCCAATCATATTGCTTCCGAGAGGAATCTCAAGGCCTTTTCTCAATACGTTAATGAATGACGCTGGTCTTGCCGTACTATACAAGGTAACTATGATAGGGCGTAGTTGTATGTTACTTAAGGGGATAGCTTATTGTGGTTTGAACTTAACCGACTGATGAAGAAAGTCGGAATTACCTAACTAGTCGGTTGTCTTTATAAGGAGTTGTCTTCGTGTTGATATGTGGAATAATTCTCTTCTAGTTCCCATGCCTAGGGACTTAAGGCTGAATTTCAAAGTATAGTTAGTTAAATACTGGGTTTAACCAGCATTTCACTTTTTTCTGTTGTCGAGTCTTCAGAATTATAGATACGACACTGGGCCGGGACTGTTCGTCCGTTCCCACTAAATGATATCGACTGTTTTAAACTTATGGTTGGCGTTATTCTCTTTTTGTTTTATAGAGATATTACCAGACGTTGACCTCCTAGGATTATCTATTAGTTTTTATAAGACTTTAGAGATAACTGTATAAGACTACGCTGTTTAAATCATCTAAAATGGCCGTTATGTAGAGAGAAATTCAGTCCACCGGAGTTCCAGCCTTGAGGCTTCCAAGCATACTGCCATCGTTCTTTACTGAAAATGATGAATCAACACATCGTTGGTAGTAGAATTTAATAGTGACTTGTTGGTTATGTGATCAATAAGTCATGGCATTTTTCAGAACCGTAGATGCTTCCCCATCTCGCACTAACATCTCGGCGCTAATTTATATATGTGAGAGTTCCTATGCAGCGAGAACATACCGTGCCAGTTCTCGATCCTGTTACATGTTCCACTATCACGCTTTAAAGTGAATGATATCAATATGATAGGTGCACCGAAACGAACTAGGAATTATCTACAAAATAGTAGTTCCTAGACTATAGATAGGTCGTCCATAGGCTTATTTGGCTTCTTGCGGTCTTTCTAGTGGTGCGCATAAGGAGAGTCTTGGAGACGACAAACCGCTTCGTAACCCAGCTTGTGTGGAGAATGAGGGGAAATCAAGAAGTTATCCCAGCCTCCCACGGGGAACTGGGTCGCCCCGTCGGTGCTGGATGATGGAATACGACCTGAATATGGTTACTATTAAACCTATGGGATATTTCCATGAATCGGCGTTGGTCTGGGCCGTCACTTTACCATGTTCGTCACGGACATGGCTCTTTGATTGGCTCGACTAAAATCTGGGGTACCATGGGAAGATCTTGTTTTTGCGGAACTGTTCGGCGGAGAGCATAGCGAATGTTCTGAACGGGTTTATCCGGATAGTCCGAAATGCAAGTATATAATTAGAAGATGGTAAAGATGAAAATGGGGTGTAGATCCTCGACTTGTAAGCTCTGTCGGGGAGCTGGATTAATTACATCGTAGCCGAAATGTTGCTTCACGATCGTTTATTGGCCGCCTTGGCCATCTTCTCGCTTTCTACTGGCACTTTTGCGGTACCGCAATCGTCCGCGATAAAAGAACTCTCGCAGGTTGTGATCTACAGTCCGCCTTCAACTTACACGGACCCGAGAGTTCTGTATGCGCGCACGGCGCAACTCCCGAATAACGATATCCTAGCAACTTGGGAAAATTATAGCCCGGAACCTCCTCCGGTATACTTTCCTATCTACCGATCCAGCGACAAAGGCGCTACGTGGACGAAGGTCTCTCAAGTCGAAGACCAAGGATACGGATACGGATTACGGTATCAGCCATTCCTCTATGTGCTGCCAGAGGATTTCGCAGGCTATAAGAAAGGGGATGTGCTACTAGCCGGCTCATCGATCCCGACAGACCTCTCAAAAACTCAACTTGATATCTATGCCTCTTCGGATAGCGGCAAGACTTGGAGGTTCCTGAGCCATGTTGCTTCTGGGGGCGAAGCCAGACCGAACAATGGTTTGACTCCTGTCTGGGAGCCATTCTTGCTACTTCACAAGGGCAAGCTTATATACTACTACTCAGACCAACGAGACACGAAACACGGCCAGAAGATGGTTCACCAAACCACTACCGACTTGCGCAACTGGGGTCCCGTAGTTGACGATGTGGCTTACCCTACATATAGCCAACGCCCAGGAATGCCATCAGCAGCATTGCTCCCGAACGGCCAATACATCTTCACGTATGAGTACGGCGGGGGACCGAACCCGGCAAACTCGGGCACATTCCCGGTCTACTACCGCCTCTCCAGCGACCCGGAAAATTTCAACAGCGCGACTCATCACGTGCTGAGGACTACTGACGGTACGGTTCCAACAGGCTCGCCATATGTTGTGTGGTCCTCGGCTGGCGGTGAGAACGGAACGATTATCGTGTCTTCGGGGTGCTGTTCTGAAATCTACGTCAACAAGGCACTAGGAGCCGAAAATGCATGGACGAAAGTGTCGACGCCGGAGGGGGCTTCGTATACTAGGTCTCTACATGTCTTCCAGGAGGATCCCAAGTCTCTTCTGATTGCAGGAGGGGGTCGTTTACCTCCTAGCACAACTAATAAGGTCACTATTAGTGTGACGAATGTTCCATGATCATTTAGCATTAGGAGAATCATAATTCAATATTAACACTCAATGTAATAGCTGGCATCTACAACTGGATCATATGGATATAGTCATTTCTACGTGATATTAGAGGAATTCTGCTACTAAGTTTTAGAAGAAACAGGGTTCAGCACAATATTCGCACTCAGGAAAACTACTTCCAATTCTCATGGGGCAGCTCAGCCGGCCTAGGAGTCCCTGTGATCTCATGTCGATTATTCTCCGTGGCCATTTCATGTGTATTACTCGCAGTCTGCATCTCTTGCTGGTACTGCTCCCACAACTCTGCCGGTGTTTTCTGAGCCCCAGGATTTGGCGTGCGGTTGATGGTCATATTCCTTTGCTGCACTTTCTCCTCAGGATGATGCATTTCCCACAACCAGATACCAATCGCGATTGAGATTAGGAGCAACCCCCCCAGTCCTACACCTACGCCGATGCCTATCTTCGCGGCCAATGAAAGCCCTGTTTCCGTGTCCTCATCATCCGTCTCAGTCCCACTTGGTATGGGCGGTTGAGAAAGAGATGATGGTAGTGATGAAGTCGCTGAAGAAGCCGGCGCGTCGGTGCGAGATGCTATAAAATCGCTCCTCTGCCACCGTACGTTGATCGCTGCGGCATGTATGATGATCCCACTTAGCACAGTAACTTTGCTTATCTGATTAGACAAGTCTGGGACTGTCACGGAGACAGATGAAATAGCAGACGATGAGCAGGACAAGGTCGACCACGTCTCAGTTGGATCTGGCTTCTGTATGCACACATATCCGCTGAGGAAATTATTTCACGTTAGAAATTACTCTCCTTATAATCAAGTAGTACGGTATCGATCAACATACAGCGGACAACAGGTCGCTCTAGTCTCGGTAAGAGTTGCGATAGCGTCGAGAGTCCCGCACGCCGACCACCAGCCAGACGGGCAGATTCCAGGGGAATAAAAGCCAGACGCCGGTTCAAAACCTGGTGGGTAGCACTCGGACGTGGCACTAGGACCTAGACTGTGGTACTTGTGAGTAGTCGTGTTGCCATCCTGCAGAGTCTGCGTGTATACAATCCCCGAAAGAATAGAGTTGCACCCGGACGCCGGTGTAAACGTCGTCGTCAAAGGCCCGAGATCTGACATCGCTCGCCGGATTAAATATTAGATTATGATCAAAGAGGTGGGTATTGGTGTATTATGCGTATAGGAGACATGTGTGACGCTTAGAATTCGTGTCTCCAAGAAGAGGAGTGATATTTGATCTGCCCCCTTGATCTGACCTTATCTACCTACTCTGCTCTAATTGGGGGCTTGTCTTGGATTCTACTCATAGGTAAAATTCTGTACGCCGTCAGTAACTTCTCCCTGCAGATATCGATCCTTAATTAATATAAATATAAATAGAGGCGTGAGTGGGATATTCCGATTGGCCTACTCAAGCCACCACGTCACCGTCTCGATTTCTTCAAGATCTGTGGCCTATCATGGACACAGATATGCGCTCGGCAGCCGTGGGGTCCAGGGGACTTAGATGTCGGGGAGGAGGGCTATAAAACATTGTGAAAGTTCCCCAACTTTCGCGTGTGACGAAGAGCTATACGCGGTTGGCTGATAATAAACCAGTATCTTACTGGAAGAGAACTGCACAAATTTGTAATATTTATAATCTAGGATATTCTACATATAGCAACATAAGCATCATGATCTATCCCCCTCCTATATATCTCTTACATACACATCTACCTCCTATACATCTTAACTCGGCGAAACATGAACCTGCCAATACCTCCTCCAGTCAATCCAAGCCCCCCCAGTATCCTCATTCTCTCCCTGCGCCGGCTTCCACACGCCAAACCCCCTCCCCTCATCATACTGCGGAAACTCAGGCTTCTCCCCCAGTAAGCCTCGCTTCTCGCCCGTAGACAAGAACCACAGAAAGTCCTCCGATACATGCACATACTCCCTCAACCCCTCATAGATCCGCGCCCCGGTGGTCCAACTAAGCAGCAACGGCTCCAGCAGCGGCGCATCCGTGACCGACGGATGCGAAGTCCCAAGCGATGTTGCGAACCACGACGACATTCCCCGCAACACGTTGTTTTCGACGACGTCGCGCACCGTGTCGAAGTGCGCGCGTCCGTAGAATAGGCTGTACTTGCTGCTCCACGAGTTGCTGTGGATGACGAGGACCGGTACTCGGATATCGTCGTTTAGCTGGCCGCTCTGCTTGCCCGGATCTAGGATGATGGCGCCTTTAAACGGGCGTTTTGCGCTAGGCCCGCCTCGTAGGGCTTGCATGGCGCCGGTTGCGCCGTAGCTATGGCCTGCGACTATCATATCGTCTGTGTTGAGACGGCCTTTCCAGTTTACGAAATCGACGCCTTCGTCCCGCATGTTTGATTTGAATACCTCCTTTCCTTGTCCCTCATTGATTAACTTTAGGACTCGCACGGTTTCTTCGATCTCCGCCTCTCGGAAGTCGAGCTGTGCTCGTTTGAATTCGTCCACCGCCAACTCCTTTCCGCTAGGCGTCTCTACTTCCGGAACGTTGAATGTAAGTTTCGCGCGGTCCGGTTTTCCCTGTTCCATGATAACGGACCCGGGACATGAACCATCCCTGTGCTCAAGCAGCGCTACGACATAACCTCGTGATGCGAGCTCGCCAGCGTAATGCGTATAATCGGTGCGACTACTTGCCATGCCGTGAGAAAACACAATAACCGGATGTCCGCCTTTTCCAATCTGTACGACCTTCTCGATCTCCTTGATGTTGTCCCGGGTCTCCGGTATCGCCGTCACCGCGGATACAAGGTCGGCCAACGGTACGTCAACTTGAGCTGGAATTTGAATGTGTCCGACAAGAGCTTTAAGTACTCCTGTCATGACCTTGTTCATGATAAAATTGTTAATGTGCGCGAACTTGGCGTAACCCTCGGCGGTCACGGATATCGGTTTTGGAATCCAGTGATGCTTCGCTTGACAATGAGTGGCATGGTGGATTGCTGGATAATATAACGTGAATAACACAGTATCTAACTCAAACGCATTCTCTTTTGTTTCCCTAAACCGCGCCGTGTCGATGATGCGCGGTGATGCTAAGGGTGTCTCAATATCAACTGCACCGACGGGATACGGACCGCTATAATCAGGTAATGGTCGAGGAAATGGAGGCAGCGAGAATATGTAACAAGAAACAACGACGACTATAACTATTAATCGCCATGTGTATCTTGACCGGAGAGTACGAGATAGTCTTGACCTCATTGGAGGCGCGTTGCTCTTAACTTCTGGAAATGGCTTCATTGTAAGTTTCGACTCGTATAAGATTTACTTACACTTGAAAGACATGAATTACTTTGAAGTAAGAGCATGAGAAGTCGAATAAATATAAGCTAAAGCCGATATCTACCTAATTTATTGAACTCGAGATGAAGACGATGATGCAATAGTATATGAAGCTCCACAGGTTAGGTACGCATGTGGCTTGAACATCTCAGCCAAGTCGATTTCTCGAGAGGATCTAACTAATATGGCAGGCATATTTCAACTTCCAGGTTGGATCTGATAAGCGTGAATGCGATGGACGCGTACACTAAAAGTTATAAGGCCAGATTATGTAAACAACTCCATCTTATTTTTCAGCTGAACTGACGTCAGTCATAGTCGATTCTGATATTCTTTGTACCTACCTATGTATTATTTGCCAAGGCAAGCAACGTACATGTAGGTACCTATACCTATACCTACAACATTCATGTTGCTTTGATGTTTACCCCTAATAAAAGTACCTAAGGTACCTAATTCTATTAGGTGTTGTGAAAACTCCATGATTTATTCCCTTCTATCTCTAACAACGCGTACGACAATCTAGTTCGTAGGTAACGCGATATTCGTTAGATAGGTAATTAGGGGGTCACCTAATACGACCCCTAAGCTAAAGGCGCCATTATACTTATACAAAGGTCTGCGTAGATGTACACGGTTAAGACCAGCCCGTGCTCAATAGCCTCCATTCATCCAACCCAGGAAAGCCAAATGACTCCAAGCCTTTGTACTCCAGCAAACCGTTATACGTACCTAAGGTAGGTAGGTAGGCATCTACTACTCCAACCCTCGATTTCTCCGATGCTATGCCATGGTCCAAAGGAAACGTAATATATAGGTGAGAAGACACGTTTCATACATCGTCCACTTAAAAATGTACGCCTGCCCTACCACACCCACGTCTCAAGTTGTGAGAAACCATTGTTGTATCCCAAGTCGGTTATCTCAAAAGCTGTTAAATCCTGCCTCTATCAACCACTTGTCGGCCAAGGATTTCTATCTCGCCCGACTCTGCGGTTCGGCGTCGTTCCATTATCCATCTTATTTCCCCACTATCTTCTTCCTTCGTGTATGAGATGCTGTCTGCACTTCCTCTATGTCTATGACCCATACCTGGTCTTTTTTGGGAAGGTAGACCAACTGTTGGGCTCGTGTTTTCACTAAGTGGCCTAGTTATCGTGCTTGACGTCGATAGGCTCGGGCTCACAATGTTAGTCCTTCTTTCGTCGAGTGGACTGGACTCCTCATCCTCAAAGACGGGTGGGCAAACTGATGAAGGTTGTAAGGGCGGGAATATCGGTAGGCTAGAAGGTGAGGTTGCGACAGTGAGATTCGGATTAGAAGGCACCGTGGGAGGTGGAATGGAATTGTTAGGTATGCCAGGCATGGACATAGTCAGCGTGGGGCTACCCGAGCCACTACCTGCTCCGGCAGAGTCCTGACTAAAGATAGAAAAGGCAGAATTCTTGCGTCCGTGCGAAGCTGCGATACCAAGATCCTGACCCCATGGGCTAGTAGCGCCGTTTCTATCGTTAGGCGAGCCCTCACGCGAGCTCACGAGTGACGCTTGGGAGCCACCCCATGCTTTAGAACGTAGACGAAGCAGCGCTGACAGTGACATGTTATCATCGTCTGCCATCATTGCGAGCTGAGCTAAGCCGGGACTTTGCAAAGGCCCATTAGGATTTGCGCTTTGGGGTATGCCTAAGCTCATAATTGAGTTTCGATTCGAGTACTCGGAGCGCTCTGTGATAGGTGTCAGGTTCGGCTCGCGCGAGACAATACGACCTGAGGTACTTCGATTGATACCGCTGGGACCAAAGTAACCCCCGTGAGAATACTGGTATAGGTTCTTCTCGCTAAGCGCGTTTGTATTATAATGGGTTTGCAGCTGTGCTGGTGCGGAGTAAAATCCAAACTCTTGTCCATACCAACCATCCGAATCGTTAGCAAGAGCGCTGGCATTTGCCTCGGCGATAATATCATCGTCGTCAAGTTCATAGTCATCTAGTCCTGCAGATAGTCCATTGTCATATTCATAATCATCGAGGTTATCGGCGTGGGGGGACGCAGACGTCGTAGGAGACGTAACTGTTAGCTCAGCAGGCAGCGGGGGGGATGAATCTCTTCGAAACTTCCCGGAAGCTTCTGCTTGATGAGCTGCTAACGCTAGGGCCGCTTGGTAAGCTGCTATTTGGTCCTGCTCTGTATCGTCTAGATCAAAAACCGACGATTTCCGCTCTTCTACGAGTGGTTGTGTTTCTACTTTGGGCTCAGATTCGGTCGGTTTAGACTGGTGGCCGGCACTGAGCGAGGTGTGGGCCGTTGATTCTGAATAATCGGATTGCGCCGACAATCTAGAGGTCATATCGGATTCTCGCTTCTTTGCCTCCTCAACAGCTTTTCTCTGCGAGAGCGCATTGGCGAACAATCCGGGAATTGGCCGGCCGTATTTATCAGTATCCTCGAGATCGAATATAGACTCATCAAACGCCGATCCATCTCCCTCCCCGTCAAAATCATGTATCAATCCGTCGTCAAAATATAGCTCGTCGTCCTTAGAGAGCTGTCGCGGTGTTCCTTCTTGTTTCTGTTTTTGAAATAATACTTGTTCAGACATTTCGTTGACAGCTTCGAGTCCTTGGATGCCTAGTCCCGTCGGGGTATTTTGTTCTGATGCCTGCTTTGCAGAAGTTTCATCTAGATCCTTGGTGGGAATATCTAAGGGCTGGGGGACATCTATCATCCCTTCGGTCATTGCATAGCCAATGACACTGCCATTTGCATCTCTAGGCGTAGGCAATATTCCAGTGCTACGGGGACTGGCTAATTCTGACACGGGATTAGATCTTTGAAAGGAGAAGCCCGCAAAATTTTCCTGGTCATTATCTGGGTCATCTGCACCGTCGAAGTCTTCTTCGTCCAAGTCCGCATTAACACCCGGTATACGTTCTTCGAGGCCATCGTCATAATCCATCGCATCATAGTCAAACGCGTCTTCATCAAAATCATCGAAGCGAGAATCCCTCTGTTCGAGAGGCTCGTCCGTTTTCTTGTCTTGCTGTCGCTGCCGGTGTCGTTCTTCTAGCAACTTCTCCTGCTTCGCAGCACCGATCATATCAAAACTAAACCGTGAAGATGTACTTTTCATATGTCTGGGAATTGACGAAAGGATGTCTCGGCTAGACGCTTCTGATCCATTGCGAGATAATGACATTAACGACGGGGGAATCGAATTTGTTCTCCTCTGGCTATTTCGTCCATTTCTGGGCTCAATATCGGAGCGACTATTCACTGAACCCCGGCTTTTCTGTAAAGGTGCTGTATCTACTGATATAGTCCGAGAATTTGTTGAGGACGATCGAGTAGACTGAGAATTTTTGTCCTTAGGAGGAACTGGAGGTGCTCCTATAACAGGTGAATTATATTCTAAAGTGGGTGACACAACATGAGGCTGTTCGACTCCTGAATTAACTGGTTCATTATTCGGTACAACTTTCCTCGGTCGTGGAGCACTAAAATCATGGACTCGGGTGCCTCTAATCCGAGGATCGTATGAAGGTTCTTCATCTTGACCACGTAACGACAATGCGAGGTCTGGCGCATTCTGACTGGTTTTTCTCCGCAGAAGCAACGTAGACATGGGATTTTTCAGAAAAGGGAGGCTTTTCTTTCCTCTCGGGGCATCTTGGCCATGAGAGGCCTGTGAATCTGACACCATTCTAGCGCCTGGTGGCCGTTTACCTGTCGTATTTGCATTCTGGAGAGAGACAGGTGGAGCGAAGGAAGAAGCGGCCTTGACGGGCTTTACCGGCGGCGTTGGGCGACTTGGAAAATTGGCCACGCCAGAATAAGTGGTAAACGACGGAGGGGGTTCCGACGCGCGGGTTGTATTCCTATCTAATGAGTCTGGTCTCAGTGCCGCCTGCTCCCGACGGTAATTCTGCAAAGCTAGTCCACCAATAAACCCACTATCCCCATTGTAAGATGACCGCGGCAAAGGCTTCGACTCTTCGCGTGGCTTATGTTCAATTTTTTCTAGGTCAATCGCTAAGTCCGACTCGGCTGAGGAAATACCGGAAATTGGTGGCAAGGTTGGTGGTTGGCTATGCTGTAAGGGCGGCTGTTGGGACTGAGGTAGCGCCGGCTGCGAGGGAGGCTGACCATGTCCATGGGCAAAAGGTACGGAGGTGGCGGATCGTGGTCGAATGTCAGGCGCTGGGACGCCATCGTCAGGGACCAGCTGGGCTGGTTGAAGGGCAGCAGCATCCCAAGGGCTGGTTTCGGGTATGGGAGATGAAGGATTGGACGGACCCCGTCTATGGAAGCGGAGATGTGAGAGCATTCCGATGGGCTGGATCTAATAAGTTAGATCTTGCAGACCAAACCCGAACATGACTCGGACTGGAATGGTGTTAGGTTCCTGGAGACAGATGCAATGCGTCGGCAAGGAAAGTTGTATTATGCGACAGCTTTCGTAGTATCAGGAAGATGGGTTGTTCGCTCGCAGTGCTGTCGCATATGTAGGAAAAATGGATCGTCACAATATCGAGGATCGGCACGGTCTCTGAACATAAGGTAGTTAGGTACCGTGTTGTATATATACATTAACTCATTAACCAAAGATCACGGAGACGTAAGACGTTTTGTAAATAGAGGTAATCAGAGGCTATATGAGTTGAGGGGCCGGATTGGGTTGAGAAAAAGTGTTGTTCAGTTTAGTTTCTATGTCATTATTGGAGTTAAGCTTGTTTTTTTGAGTTTCGAAGTCGAGTTCAAAGTCCTTTCCATTTCTTTAATGACACCCACCACCCTACAGGGCAGGCAGGTTCTTTCCCAATCTTGTCCTGCCGCGTCTGTCACAGCCCCACCGAGATTATTCCACCTTACAACTTACAGGGCTTAGAATATGGCACGTGCGTTCGGGACATTTCAACGGCCAACGCCAAAAACTTTAAACTGTTTCCATCCCGTCGGGTCTACTGCGGTACCATTCCGACCTATCCTTAGTAATCCTATCATCGGAGTTTCCGTGTTGATTGGTTTAACCAACGCGATCCAGTGTAAGTCGTATAGTGAAAAGAAAAGAAAACCACACCATTGACAGCAACATTGTTAATTCAGTCTTATTACTTGCTAAAATTCTATCAAGCTCAAACGTAGAAACAACATGATTTAGTCATGACTTTATACATATTCCTATCCTATATACGGCAGGTTTCTCTTTTTATATACACCATTTCTTCATAACATCCCTATTCTTGATGTCTTTCTTGCGTCTTTTCCCGTATAATACATAACCTTATTTTCTAAACGAGCAAGCATTATACCCATTCTTTGGGGTTCTGGAGAACTTCAAGAAGTCTCTGCTCTCGACTCCTCGGCTCCGGTTCGTACATGTAACGCCAGGACGCCGTTAACGGCAGACTCATTAGAATGCTTTCGACTCTTGATCCAGGGACATTCAACCCAAAAGCTGTACCGCGGTCATGGACCAAGTTGAATTCGACATACCTGCCTCTTCGCACCTGTTGCCATTCCTTCTCCTTTTCGGTAAAGGGCATATCTTTTCTCCTTTGGATAATTGGCAAGTAAGAAGGCAAGAAGCTCTTAAGGCAATCTTGGATGAATGCAAATGTGTTATCGGCGTCGGCCACGGTCTCATCCAGGTCGTCGAAAAAGATCCCACCTACACCCCTAGACTCACCTCGGTGTGTGTTAGAGAAGTACTCGTCACACCATTTCTTAAACTTAGGGTAATATTCCTTGTTATGTTTGTCGCAGGCGTCTTTCATCGTCTTATGGAAGTGCACCGCATCTTCGTCAAACAGGTAGCTTGGTGTTAGATCGCTTCCTCCGCCGAACCACCAGGCTTGTGGAGTTCCGTCCGGCCGCATCGTCTCGAAGTACCGATAGTTCAAGTGAACAGTCGGCGCCATCGGATTATGAGGATGTAGTACCATACTTAAGCCGAGGGCGTAAAAGTCGACCTCGTCTTGCTCTGCGATATTTTTATGGTGGACCCTCATCTTCGAGATGGCCGGTTTCGGCAACGTCCCATAGACAACACTGATATTCACACCAGCTTTTTCGAATACGTTTCCTTCCTGTAGGACACAGGAGACGCCGCCGCCTCCTTTCTCTCTAGTCCATGTGTCCTCGCGGAATCTCATACCGTCTACCTTCTCAAGCTCGAACACGATCTCCTTCTGCTGTTCGCGAATGAACTTCTCCATGCGCAAACGCATCGGGGAATTCTCGTCTACGCCTTTTTCGCGTTTCGTCCTTTCATCGAGTTCGGCGAGTGTGCGAGCATCGAATTTGACTGGTTTCTGAGTCGCCTAGAATAGAAGACAAATTAGTCAATTAGGTGATCTAGAGCCACGCAAGAGGGTTTAATTAGACTAAATACCATCGTGTAAGCTATACCAGATAACGAAATAGTGGCAATAGCAACTCTATTAACCCAGCGGGACCTATTATTCGTATCCGAAGTGGTTGTAAAGGTTCGTCGAGGAGGACGGCTAGCTCTTCCAAGTTGTGGCCGTAATACGAACTGGCCCAATTGTCGCTTCGACATCGTGTACTCCCTTGGGATTGAACGATTTTATAGGAAAATAATAGGTTGCGCACTTAGAGACACGATCTAGACGATCGTAAGTTTTGCTATACGGTCGTAAGATTTAATTGGGACCTCGTTGACTCAATGTCTCGATAGCTCGATATCGTAAAGCTGTTAATAAGGACAATCAGCTGAGGAAGGCGACCCTACAAACGGGAATTAGCGGTGGTGTCCGCTAATAGCTTATGTGCCCCTCTCCAGCTGCTAACAGCTGATATGTATGAAATAATAGGGAGAATACTTAGGTACATACGGATTACCTTAACTGCTTACCTAAGGTACCTAGGTACATAAAGGTAGGTAAAGTCTTAACGGTTACACTTTTTATTTCCAACTGTTGAATTGTTAAAATAGCATCTACTTCGTACACAAAGTAGCGCTGCGCTGACTACTTATTCTTTGATTAGGTACTTATTATTCTAAAATAATCCTACAGAATAAAACAGGTCGTTCACGACCAATTTCTCCATCGCTCATTGATACGAATCCATATTTAGGTATGTAGCTATTGTAGCTCCGCCATACGTGGCCTGGGGGACTTGGGGGTCTTGGGGGGGTTCTGGAAAAGTCTGAATTTTAGGGTACACCAATGAGAATCGGATCAGGTTCTCGTGCCTCCATTTGAAAGTCGCTGAAAGAAGTCCCCTCACGAACGTCGGATAGATCCGGACTTCAGGCTGTTGTTGCAAAGCTTCCACTTCCGCTTCAGTTGCCCACATGTTACAAGGATTCGATATTTTGTAATCACCAGAATAGACATTTACGGCGAATGTTAGCCGCACCCTTAGGCTTTGGCTTTTTTCGTCAATCCAATCTAACGCGATTGATAGTAGACGGTCCACGTTCTCGACCGTGAAGCCCCTTAATAAATAGGTAGTTAGTTAGAATGGGTATATAAAATGACTACTTTCATCTTTCATGGTGTATGACGCTTTACCTTATTAAAAACAAAAACAAAACCTCGGGGGAACTTACGAGCGAACTCTCACGATATAGACGACGAAATGCAACATTGAGCTCCATTGCCCATCATACTTCTCAGTAGGAAGAGACCAACATTCTCTCACGGGATCCCGTTCCATCAGGACTTCTTCGCCATTGAACGCAGCAACTTGGATAATTAACTCGGTACATTGTGGAAAGTTCTGCCTTAAATAGTAGTAGGCAGGCTTGATGAAGTACTCCAGCTTAGGGTGGATAAAAAAGTGCGAAGGTAGCTCATGCTGGTTGATCGCGAGTTGGTCCATTATGAGGCGAATAACGAGGATTGAGGCAGGATGTCGGTCGATTCGCTAAAATGTATGCTTTCATTTCGTTATTTTGGTGAATTAAAAAGGGCTTGGGTCGCCTTTCTAACTTCTAGCTTTCTAACTTCTATATGGAAGAACTCCTTCCTCTCTATCTACCTAGTAGTAATTACCTCTAATTGACTTTCTAATTGACTTTGTCTATTATGTCATATGAACTTGGCGAAGGTACAATTACCCCGACAAACTAAACTTGATGAGATGTGGCGTGTCGTCAACTTACAAGCGCGAATACGAAACGATACGACACGATACGAAAAATGACCGAATTATACGAATAACTCAAGATACAACCTTGTTGACTACCTAGGTACACTATACCCCACATTCGGCCTTTCCATAGTGCAACGATACTCATTTGTATTGTGAGGTTGACTTCCGAGTGGTCGCAGCACGGGGTCAAGGGTTGCATTGCCGATGCAGTAGATGACTAGGAGCATTCTTATAAGTCCCCTTACTAGCCGCTAGATATATAATCTATGAATACCTAGGTACTCTAGGTATAAGTATCATGATCAAGAGATTCCTTAAACTACTAAATCATCGAGGCTAAATCATCGAGGCTTGGTTGTGACAAACTGAAATCATGCCTCGTCCATTTAGTCCACTATTCTGGCTTTGGTCCTTTATGATCTATCTTTTCTCGGTCCAAGCTACCTAGGTTTCTACAGTCCCAAATAGCTTTACCCATCCGCCAAAGTAATACGACACTACAGACTCTTGTAACATGGGACGAACACTCGATCTTTGTCCGTGGGGAACGAGTGGTCTTTCTTTCGGGAGGGGTCCACCCATTCCGCTTGCCGTCTTCGGGCTGAGAGGAAAGGATACCATCTTCCTGGGGCGCCAATAGACACTTGGGCAAAGCGTACCCCTAGCCAGGGCTTAACATCTCCCGGTGTCGGTTTCTTTTCCACGCAATTCGATATTTCCATCCCGGAAGGGTTTGATGTCCCTATTAGCTTGAAATTTGGAAACAGTACTACCCCTGACGGTGCTCCTCAGAACTTCCGAGTACAAATTTTTATTTATGGCTGGCAGTTCGGGAAATACGGTAAGTGCGTTTCAATGCCGCCCGTGCAAACACATACCTGCAATATGAAGCGCTGATTCTTAGATATTCCTTCTAGTTAACAACCTTGGCCCTCAAACCCGATTTATGCTTCCAGAGGGTATACTCAACTACGATGGGCTAAACTACTTGGCGCTAACGCTGTGGTCTCAAGACGTTTCCGGTGCCACAACCAAAGACCTGGCGCTTGAAGTCGATGCAGTCATTCAGAGTGGCTATAGTAGGCCGAGCTTGGTGAATGGGACATCTTATGCTCCCAGGGATGCTTCTTGATAATATTAAATAACGAGCGAGCTGAAAAGTAGTAACTTGAGTTATTGAAAAAGTTGAAATATTATCCAAAATGGAATAAGGCACCTTGTAGGTGTAATCCTGTAAAATTGCAATGCAACTAACTTAGTAATAGAGTGCTTTCACTTAAAAGGAGAAATACCTCTAGAAATTGCCAAGACAAGTGTATCCCATAACTTATAACAAATCTAATTTACAGTATGAAAATAAAGTCCTATCCTCTTGCCTATATTGAGCGGCTCCTTTATCCCTGATAGAAGCCACGTTCTTTAAGTAGAAGAAAATACCTAACATACCCAATGTACTTACATGTTTACCTCGATGTTAAACTCTTGTATTTACTCTTACATCTTCAATCTGCAGTCATCCCAGCTTGTCTTTCTGTCCACGCCTTGTGACATTCGTTCAAATTTACCCGAATTTGCACGCAATTGATTGTGTTTAGCTCTGTCTCCTGCTCTATTACGATGAACGCTCCGACCCCTACGTTTTCCCGCGTGGTTTTCTAGACAGTTTTTGTTCTCTGAATAGTCATACAGCCAAGCCCCGTCGCCTTGCGTCCGCCCTCCATGTCTACATTGTGGGAGCTACAATTTCGGCCATAGGGGCCTCATTGTCTAGTATCCGGATGGACGAGGATAACAAGCCTCGACCAGAAGCCGTAAGGTTATTCAATTTTGCTATTCTTCTAGGTGCATCGAATCAAAGGCAGAATAAGACCGGTTCAAAGACAATGGGATTCCATAACTCATTGTCCCTATATCTACGCCGTCTTCTACACCAGCTACCCCCTTACCTGATCAGAAGCCTCTTCGTCTCCACACAAAGAACCGATAGTAGAAAATCTCCCCCCTGGTCATTACACATGCGAATTCCAGATTATTCTCACCGTCGATCATCTCTTCCCGTTCTCCGAGAGCAAGACGGACAGGGGTATCACTATACTATACTAGGTCAACCTTGGGCCCCCTATGTATCCTAATATAGAATATCTGGAGTAGGACGCCGCACAACCCGCGCCCAATGCAATACAGTTTTATTCCTAGCCAACAACAAAACTATCTTGGGAGCTTTACGACCACTCGGAGTTAATTGATCCCTCGGCCAAATTTTATTTTGACATTTCTCTTCGGCAGTTGTATAGAGACCGGGGAAGAGCATTTTATCCAAACAGCAAGCAACTTTACCCGGTGGCCATGCCACGACGATATCAAAAATGAACGTTTCCCAGCTTGGCCAGCAGGTTATTAGATATATAACCTTTTTGTCGTTCCCTGCCCTGTTCCCTTCTCGATGTTCCTTCTGATCTACAGCTCAGCACAACCTTACCTCGTGTAGATCACACCCAGCTGCTTAGGTACTCTTTTGTCAACATGCAGTGGAAGACTCTCTTCTTAGCTGCTGCGGCAAACCCGCTGCAGGTTTCTGCTCAGTATGCTCAAGCTGCTATGATGCGTTTCCAGTGCTCTAAGTAAGTCCTTGCCGACATAAAACATGAGACCGGGAAAGAAAATTCTAAGACTTAATACAGACTGGTCGTTGAGCGAGTAGACCCCCTTGTATCTCCAGGCCTTATCCTGTCTCCCCATATTCACCAGATCGTTGGTGGAGACTCATTCAACGCTACAATGGCCCCTATCGACTACGATCTCCCATCCGAATCGACCTGCACAACCTGCTCGTTCAGCGAAGACTTCTCTAACTACTGGACCGCGAACTTGTACTTTAAGGCCCGCAACGGTACCTACAAGCGAGTGAAGCAAATGGTTAACCTTGTAAGTGTATTAATACGGCCAGCAGTGAACTTGTCTAACCTTTATATCATAGGGCCTGCAAGGCGAGGAGGGTATGACTGTTTACTACATTCCGCCATATGACGGCCAGACCAAGGTCACAGCCTTCAAGCCGGTACGTTAAAAAAATATATCATATTATTCGTATATCGCCTAACCAAAACATAGGGTTTCCGTATGCTCGTCGGTGAAGCTATGTTACGAACCTCTCAAGGCCAGCAGAAGCAGCTATGCCACCGCTGCTACACCAACGTCGACCAGACTCCTTTCGGAGGTGCCCCTTGCGCCGACAGCCAGATGGATACTTCCGCACTCCCGAACAAGGCATGTGGTCCTTAAGTTTCCCCTTTTTTCTTATAGAGTTCCGGGATTATGATATCGCCAAACTAAATGAGGAATTATTACTAACTTATAATAGGGATGTGATGGAGGTATCCGTGCGACCATTACTTTCCCGACGTAAGTACTAGCCCACCATAAGCTCTCTCCTTACACACACCTATATCTTTCTCTTCGGCCCTCAAATAAGTTAGAAGCCAACAACTAATTCCAATATCTCTAGTTGCTGGGACGGCAAGAACCTCGACAGCCCAGACCACAAGAGCCACGTAGCATACCCCTCGAGCGGCAGTTTCGAGATGTCCAGCGCGTGCCCTTCCACACACCCCGTAAAAATCCCTCAGGTCATGTACGAGGTGATGTGGGACACGCGGGAATTCAACGACCCCTCGATCTGGCCCGAGGACGGTTCCCAGCCCTTTGTCTACAGCATGAACGACTCGACCGGCTACGGCTGGCACGGTGATTACATGTTCGGCTGGAAGGGGGATTCCTTGCAGCGCGCCCTCGACGCCCGCTGCTCTAACGACCAGTGCTCACAGCTCAAGACCCAGACCCCGGCCCAGGCCACCGCCTGCAAGAAGCCGCAGACCATCAAGGAGGAAGTTGACGGATGTAAGTGCCAGAATACCCCTATCCACACATTCCAAATTCTAGTGATTACTAACCTCGTGTTCCTTCTTTCAGGGCTCACCGAGCTCCCGAGCGCGGCGATGTAAGATACTTATTTCTAGCTATGATCATTATAGATACCTCCTGGATCCGAAGTTGGATCTGTCGGTCAGGGTTCAAGACGGCTTGGGTACCCATTAGAGGCCTATTTTAGCTAGTAAATAGATCTTTCCTCGAAATAGACTATTCTTTTTGAACTCATCAGTAATTCCTTTCGAAACTAATAGAAATATAAAAAGTGAGAACGAGATAAATATTACGTAATTCATACATAAGTTTCGTTTCCATAATCATCATTCCCCACCCTGACTTACACAGCTTATAAATTTTTACCATAGTCATGATAGACCGTAACCTTCAGGATAACGCCACGGGCATGACTACCTAAACCTAGTCATCCGTCATTTTACCGATTAATACCAAATCTGACCCCTGCGTACAGATGATTGTCGTTATAACAACCGTCGTATACTCTAGTTTGTAACAAAGGGAATCTGACAAAACGATCATTCCGGCATAACATCCACGAAGCTCTCTTCAACGTTCATATCATCCTGGCTGCCAGGAATCTGGGCGGGTTCCTCTCCTCCCCAGTCAAGAAGTCTTCCGCAAACAATCCGCAAATTCCGTCCCACGCGGACTTCAGCTAGGACATTCCTCTCGGCGGTTTTAAAATCTGTAATGTTGAGGACCTGTGGCTTTGGTATCTTGAGACGGAGGCGAAGTTTATCCACGGCTTGCATAAGCCACAGAAGGGTAGGGTCAGTCTTGTCCGGGAGAATCGCATATCCGGCACCAAGGTGGGAGTTGACAGCCAGGACGCTGTTCATTTCAATTACAGGAAGAACAGACTGGTTAACCATGTGCTTCGTCTCGATAATGAGAATATCCGGATGACGCTGCCAGTGGCTTTGAGACCACTTCGGGGCCCAAAACATGCCCTCCAAGCTGCCGCTTCTTTCGAGGGGGAAACTCCAGATATCCTCCCTCTCTTGAAGGCTGATCAGAAGAGCTTGTACGCCGGTAGCGTTCTCTTTTGCCTTCTTCTTCCAGGCTTGAACGTGATTTCCGATATCCTCGAGCTTGGCAAGGCATTCGGGAAAGGCTCTAAGAAGTTCCTCATGGATAGCCCTGACGGTCTTCTTCTCAATAGCACCAGCTTCTATAAAGCGGCGTTGGTCTTCAGTGAGTTTCCGGTGTTGGACGTGCTCACTCGGGTCGCTAGATGGAGGATGATTATGTTCAGGGACACTAACAGCGAAGTAGCAACCATCTTCGCGAACATTAATATGACAAGAGAAAGGGCAGTTGGTTTTCTTTGTTGTAGTTTTTTTAAGTCCGATAGTGGCCTTGGACTGGAAACTTCCTGACTTATCACATCGAATCAAGTATCTGATATACTTGCCAGTACGCTTGGACTTGGCTTTTGCATGCATGACGATAGCGTAGCCTTCTTTCGCAGCATGGTTTTGCACTGCCCTCTCGCAGTCTTCTATAGTAGGGAAGATGCCCTCTGCAGGAGGAGCCAGAGGCATCTTCGTTAATATTAGTTGAGGCTATTGTGAATGATTGAAAGGGATCATTAGTGAAGAGAAAATCAAGCTGGTAAAAGCATGGGATAGTGGTTGACAACAAGGGGCAGGGGCAGCTGTAGAGAGAAGTTAAGGAAGATCTAATTGGGCTGGGATTCAGGAGATTTCATGATCGTAGCCCCACCATCGGACCTTCAATGATCCGGTACCGTACTTGTCAGGGTGGGGTTCCGATCTCTTGGGGTACAAAGTACTTACCTAGAAGCGACTCCAATCGGTCTTCCGTCCTTCCCCACATTCATTTACCCCTGAATTATAACTTGCCTCTATCATCACCTAACCCCTTTCTAGCAGTATACACTCAGGTTGTCAGAACTACGAGTTATTATAGATGATATTACGCTACATACATGCATCAGGGAGGGTAACCAAGTAACTTATGACGGCCTGGAATGAAAGCAAATAATTAAATACAGAAGTACCGCACACAAATTTCCCCCGGTTTCCATATAGCTACATCAGCAATTCATCACGCCTCAAAAACTTCATCTTTCAAGGGTGTTCCCTTAGAATCCTTACGCAAAGATGACAGAGGTTGCTCGGCCTTCTTGGACCACTCCACATCCGTTTGCACATGACGTTTCAGTAAATCAGCAGCACGCCTACCCATCTCGAAGACAGCCCGTCGGCTCACTGTAAAATCGGTCCAGAACAGATACTCGTTAGGTGAACCACACACACTCCCTCCGTCATTAGTACTATCCTTGGTGGTTTCATTTCTGTCCCCAGAGAGGTTGTCTCGCTTAATGCATGGCTCCCATATCTCAGAATACCCATTAGCCACGGCCGCCGAGCCAAGCCCATTATGATCCACGATTCCGGCGCTCCGTAGTTGGCGCTCGACAATGAGTTCTCGGAGGTAGCCGGATATGTCATAAGTAATAGCTTCGCGGCGCGCGGATGGTACCGAGGGGGCTTTTGCCTTTAAAGCTCTCCTGCTAAGTAAGAGATCGGCATCCTTGATCTCGGACAAGTCGTCCTCGTCCCCAACTTCCTCCTTATCTGGAAGGCCCTCCCATTCGTGTAGCATATCCTGAAACACCTTGTCCCAGTGGCCGGCCAAGAACGCTGCATTCCGCATCTGCTCAGCCTTAGTATGAGGTGGCGGGGGTGCAGGGCGGGCACCGACAAACCCCGGGGTTAGGGAGATATCGAACAGTCTTGGTATAAATACGCGAAACGGGGGTCGAGTCGGAGTAGTCTTAACGGTATCTATGTAAGTATTTGAGAAGGCAACTGAGTCGTTCTTGTGTGCTTCCTCATAAAGAAGTTCCATGTACGAGAAAACTTGTTGTGCCTGAGTCTCGATAATATGCGTAGCAAGTTTGCGCGGCAATGCTGCTAAGTACCATATGTCCCAAAATCCAATATTAAAGATCCATAAGGTGTCTCGAGGCGGGTACTGGGGTCGAGGACCAGCGAGGAAATTGTCTACTTGACTGAGTAAGTCTTGATGGTATGGGACCGGATAATTATGGGACAACCAGGAGTAATCAAGTCCGGAGAGTGTGTTGTTATCCGCTGATAATGTGCGAGCCAGCGCAGCTTCGAATAATGAATTTGATACGATAGATCCGCCATCGTCGTCAGTGAGTGGCATGAAAGAGAGGTAGGCGTTGCAATTCAGCTACAAAACGAATAGTTAGCATAATCGTTATCAAAGTGAACTGATTTCTTGATTCTAAACTTGCCTGAAGGCAAAGAATATCCGTCCACGCTACATTGGGTCCGCCTAGTTGCCATGATGCTCGACTTGGAGTAGCAATATCACCTCCTCCAAAAACAACTATTCTCAGTCCTCCGCCGAAGTTTCTTTCTTCGGGCTCATCTCCCTTCCATTTTAGGACCCTAGCGTAGTCGGAGTTTAAAGCATGGCTGGCAAGATGTGATGACCACAAATACGACCCAAAGAGTAGTAGAGTAACCCCAACGGCCATCTGCGGGAAAAGTCTCGAGCCGCCACGGAGCATTTTTGTCGTCCCTATAGTTACTATGGCCTTCAATTTTAACAATTCAAATATGTTATCCGTAACATATGGCTTTTCTAGTATGTACTTCATTGCTGTGCCTGCGTCTCAACTCGCTTTGATCAGGTAGTATATAATTGGCTATCCCCTAGCAGGCAGTGTCGATCGATCGATCGTTTTCGTAACGGGTTCAAGACTTATCAAAATAAGCAGTGCTTGGTATGCGTAGTATAATACAGATAGAAGTATGTATGATAGGATAGGCCGTTCATAAAAAATTGGATTATAATACAAGGTATCGTTAGATAATTCCAGAACTACGATGGCTATGATAGAGGATGGCTGTGCAGGAAGGTCGAATTTATTTCCAGAAAGAATGAAGAATAATAACCTCCGCTACACTCATGGAACTAAGTTTATTGCAATTAACTTGACTTAAACGAGTATCAGTACCTAATCTATGTCGTAGGGCGTACTACGTGTCGTTTTACCCTCCGGCAGTTTCAAAATCGGTACAAGGCCTAAGTTAAGAAGGGGGGCAAATCTTTTCAAGATACGGTGCCGGGCACTAGCTTTGTATTAAGACATTAGTAAAACCTTGAAAGATCTAAACCTATCAGTTGCCTGACTAAATTATCCAAGAGTAGCGATTAATAAATATGTCTGGAAGAATGAACAAGGAAAATTAACCCGCGATAAGGTGTCAAGTATTTAAGTGTCATATTCTTCCCAGGAGACCTTTAGGTGTTGTAGCTTTGGTTGCAAGGGCTATAACGCCGCCCACCAAGACCATTACGCCACTAAATATAGATACTTCAGAGTATCCTCCATATTTACTAATGAATACTCCATTTACTGGGGGACCTATCAAGGCCGCGATAGAGCCAAGGCTCATACCCATACCTAGGTACGTGCCTATGTCTCGGGGGTCTTTGGGGACTTCCGTAAACGCTGCCGATGCCCCTGAAATGACGGTTCCGGTGCTAAATCCGATGGCGATAGAGTATACCACCAACGCTGCGGTTGATTCTGTTTTGTTCCAGCAGAATATAACAATACTGGTTATAATTGCCCCAAATGCGAACATATTTAGTCGTCCGAATTTGTCAGCCAGTATACCCGGAATAACACGACCAAACGTGGAAGCGGCATTTATGATCGCGAGAAGGTAAGACGCGAGTGTTGGATCCATACCTCTCGAGACGGCGTACGTCGGGATGTAAAATAGTGGTACGAATGTCCCGAGAAGCATGAAGAATAGCGCAATTGTTAAGAGAATAAATCTCGTTTCTTTAAAGGCCTGCCAGACGAAGAAAGTAGTTGTCCTAGGCGGCAGACGAGATGTAATAGCCACACATGCAAACCCAAGTAGAGGAATAGTGACGAACCCAATGATTCGTACTGACCAGCCAAATCCGAGAGAAGTTCCGTTTAGCATCTTAGACAAGGCAATAGGAAAAATGACTCCGCCGAGAGATGATCCAGCAATTGCTATCCCTAAGGCCGCTGCTCGTTTCTTATTAAAGAATTGAGACAATGCTGCCATAGCCGGCAATTGAAGGAATCCCATAACAGTACCCATTAGAACACCCTGAGCAAGCATGAATTGCCAATATTCTTTGCACAAGCTCGTCATCATGATGGAAAAAACATATAGGACCATAGCTGGTCGGAGCACCTGGGTAAGATATTAGTAGGCTTGTTCATATCTTTGGAAGTTGAAGAGATATGAAGAGATACGAACCCATGCACCAAATCGATCAAATAACGGTCCGCCGATGTTTCCCGATAGGAACTGGAGAGCTGTAGCCAGAGATCCAATCCATGCCACTTTATCCGGCGATTGTCCATTTAGCTGATGTGACAAATAGTACTCCTCAAAGACCCCGAATGCATTAGAGAAGCCCATAGCCGAGAAGAAAACACAGGCAGCTCCGGCTGTGACGAGCCATGCTCGAAGCCCTCCATCAGGGGCTTCGGGAAGTTTGGAGGTCGCATTCTCTTGTACGAGCTCTACGGAAGCGATCGGATCCTTTTCCCGGCTTTCTATCTTTGAAGTAGACATTTTTGTAATAGTTCGTGTCGATACATAGTAATATGTCTCGGACTGAACGATAAAGGGGTTCTAGCGGTCCGCGAGACTTTGTTAGCTTCAATTGTGCTGCTGTGGAAAACGAAATATCCTATTCACGAGCCAGAAATGCGGCGGGATTCATCATATATAAATACAATTTATTAATTTAGGACTTCACAATTTTCTGTTCTAATTCTACCTGATGGCGAGCCGTCGTTTAGGTATACTCCAGACTGTCGATAAACCGTTTATGGTTCCATCGGGGATAAAATAAAGGCGACATGAAATCGGTGTCGGAGATCGGAGTCGGCAAATTCGTAGACCGATAAGAGTTGAAGATGAAACGATACGCTTGAGTAAATGGACTAAACTAAGATCACCTTACTCATAATAAACTTATTCACCTTCATATTTTTCATACTGATCGAAAAGGAATACCCCGGGATTCTATAGTGGTTATTATGGCCGAGACCGAACGCCGGCGGAGACGGCCACCAATGTATGTTCACTTACAAGCCCCGAGCTAGGACTTGGCGCTGACAACGACGCGACGCCTCATCGCGTACAGCTCATGTGTTCTCTGTAGAAGACGCAAGATCCGGTGTAATCGAGAGAGCCCATGCAGTAATTGTGTGCGCTCCAAAAATGCAAATTGCATCTATGAGAATCTTTTTTCTCAGCCTCAGCAGGCGACTGAGCTTCACAGCTCAATCTCACCCATCGCAGCGGTAGCGGCACCGAGTCTCACATCTAAGTCATCTCCTAGGGTAGCTAGTACAACAACTGCATCAACAGCCGCCGGTTACCAATCCTCCCAAGATATTGAGTTTTTAAAAAACAAGATTAAAGAGCTTGAAGAACGGTTATCGCAATCAAATGGGACTTCCCAGTCCCCTATCCAGACCCCGGGTTCTAATATAGAGGCCATCTCATCGCGTATTGGCGGCACGTTCTATGTTCATCATGAAGAACCCTTGGCTGGCCAGCCCCAGAATATCTCCCGTAGTGTTACGCATAAGAGCCGAATGTTCGGCCAGAGCCATTGGATTACTGGAATGGCCTTGGTATGTTTTCGTGTTGCTTACACTGTTTGATCAATAAGGGGTTTGACAATAGTTAGGTGCGAGATATATTAGACTTGATCGAACCTCATGTGCATGAAGACACATGTAAGATCACTACTCTTATGGTAAAATCTAAGTCTCTAGCAAGAACTATTAAAGCACAGCGGACCCCACATTGGCCTTCGCCATTAAAAACGGATCTGCCCCCGAAAGACATTGCCGACGAGCTTGTCGACCATTATTTTCGGACAACTGAGACTATATATCGAATACTTCACATCCCCAGTTTCAAAAGAGACTATGAAGCTCACTGGACATCACAAGCTGAACCTAATACGGCGTTCCTAGTTCAGTTGAAGTTAGTATTAGCAATCGGAGCTACCACTTACGATGAGAAATTCACTTTGCGAACATCCGCTATGCAATGGGTTTACGAAGCCCAAACTTGGATTTCCGAGCCCGGATTCAAGCATAGACTGAACCTTCAGTTTTTGCAGAACAATATTCTTCTTTTACTAGCTCGAGAATTCGTCGACGTTGGCCCGGATTTAGTATGGATCTCGGCTGGTACGCTCGTCAGGATTGCAGTGTACATGGGGTTGCATAAAGACCCTACACGCCTCCCCAAGGTATCGACTTTCACCGCAGAGATGCGCAGGAGGTTATGGAATACGATACTGGAAATATCTCTGCAGTTGAGTTTGATTTCAGGGGGTCCACCGTTTATCTCTATGGACATGTTTAACACCGAGCCCCCCAGAAACTTCGATGACGAGCAACTCGCGGTCGAGGATCCTCCACCAAAACCAGAGAGCCATTTCACTCAAACATCTATAGCTATAATCCTTCGGAAGATATTTCCAGCTCGCCTCGCTATCGTGAAGTTCTTAAACAACCACGGTTCTTCCGGTACATACAAGGAGACACTGCAATTAGATGCAGAATTAAGGGCATCCTACAAGGCCGTACTTCGAACTCTTCAAGGATACAAGTCAACCACAGGATCGCAGCCCTCGGAATTCGCGATGGATGTAGTGAGCCTCCTGATGAACCGCTACTGCTTATCCCTCCATATTCCGTTCTTCGTCCCCGCAATGGATGAGGCTGCCTATGCGTTTTCTAGAAAAGTAGTGGTCGAAACTTCGCTCAAGATTTGGCGTGGCGTATTTCCTTCGCCACTTACCCCAACCTCTCAATCATGTCATGGCACAGTTGTACCAAATCAGCACTACTTAGCTCGACTCGCAGTCTGTGCTTCGGGATTTTTCCGGATCAGCCCCCTGCAGGCGAGCGTCCTCATAGCGTCAGAGCTTATGGGTCAACTACGAGAGGAAGAAACTTTGGGACCCGGACTGGTACGGCAAGACCTTTTGTCTGTTGTTAGCGAGGCAAAAACCTGGGCCTGGAAGTGCATTGAGGCTGGCGAGACCAGCGTTAAAGGCTACTTTCTCGCAAGCCTCCACGCAGCACAGATCGAGGGGCTCATGCAAGGCCTTGAAAAAGAGGAGCTTTCGAGATTTGTAGTCAAGGAAGGGGAGAAAGCCGAAGAAATGTGCTTCCCATTGCTTGAAGAAATGCTTTCTAGCAGAAAAACCGAGGGTTCCGCTGGAGCACCTGAGCAAACTACGCCGTCTCAAATGGTAGAAGGTTGGGATTTGACTGTGAGTAAAGAACCGCCTACCGTATCTATTTTCGCCACTAAACGCCTCTGTTAGATGTCAGACGCCCTGTTCGATTTTGGGGAGACGGAACTTATAAATTGGGGCTTCGATGAAAACTACCAGGGACTGTCATTTAATTGAAAGGTTGTTCACTGTTTATGACCGCAAGCGAAAGTAATGGCTTCTGTCCACAAATTATATTCGCATGCGCAGTGTTGCAGCGTTGATTCCTAGGTAAGCACCAACATTCACGGTACGTTTGACTCATCGACTCGAGATCTATCCAGTGTTATCGGTACTAACGCATCTTCTATAATGTTTAAAGAGAGTTCGAGTACGCCCGTCACCGCCATGGCCCGTTACTAAGTCTACGAGCCAAAATAACTGCATGCGTAAGGGAAATAGGTCAGAGCTATGCCCTAGTCAAACTTTAACTAACTTTTATTAGATCAAAGCACTCGAAGACCGGACGGATAGCAGCCACTGGCCATGAGAGATATTCATATTATAATAATAATAATAGCCTTAGCCTAGGCTTTTTCTTGATGCAAGATGGGTTGTTGGAGATGTCGAAGCGATATTAAGTTCAGCTTTGATTAGGCAGAGAACCAAGGGGCAATAAAGGTGACCTCTCGGTATACTATCGAACTATAGAATCAACAGCTCGGACTATCACACGTACTTTCGGTAGACTTTGGTACTATATGATTGAGCGTCATTAATACATAACTTTAATAAATTGTTGGGGGCTCTGTGACGCCTTATACAAATAGTCCACGGGGGAAGGAGAAGGTTCCCTCGACCATAAGATCTCGGTTTTATTCACTACGCCACGTCGCCTCATCATATATCTACCTCAACATCGCTTTACCTTGGTATTTACCTACAATTCCTCTAGATTCCAAGAGCGAACGAGAACAGGCGTCTTGTTCCTCCCACCATCTCACACACACCATGCGCGTCTCAGCAGCACTCGCGACAGCCCTATTATTCGCCGTCGGCGGCGTCTCAACTCCCGTACAGCCCCTAGGCAGCACCTTAGACATAAGCGACTCGGCAGACAGCGCATATGCAGGGTACGGAGAGTTTGTATCGCTTACAGGGTATGCAGTCTCGGGCGATATTCCCCATGGCCCTACCCTCTATGAGTTTCCCTCTGTCGATCGACGCGGGTGGCCGCCGAATGATCCTATTGACCATAACAGTTACTGTAGGAGAGACCTCTCGCCCGGGACGAACCTGACAGAGGCGGAGCAGAAGCCCCTGATGGAATGCTTCGATAATATGGTCCAAGGAGGCGACTGGGTGCCGGACTGGACCCTGTGCAATCATACCCAGCGCTACTTTACGGCTTGGGGTCTCTGGTGGAAAAACCCGGGCGATTGCTATAACGCTGTAAGTGGCATTGAGAGTTTATCTTCTCCCCTTCCCCTTTCCTTCCCCTTTCGGCTTGTCTCTGTAGGCAATACTTCCTAGTCGTAAGCACGAGAGTTACTGCCCTGTCCTGAGACACATCTACACCCTACCAGAAGAAGTGATTACTGACTCCATGTTACAGTGCAAGAGGTGCTTCGTTGGCGCTGTCCTCGGCAACGCCGCCAACTGGTACTGCTTCCAGACTGCCGGGTTCATGGCTCAGTGCAACATCAGGTACATGCAGTGAAGGAGTTGTTGGGGTTATATAAGAAGACATCTAGAGCAAAGGACGTTCCTAGTCCGTCTAGTTGCTAGTGTCTACCATCTAGGCTTAAGAGTGTCTTGCGGAATACTGAGGTTGTGTCTATGTCTTTTAGGCCTACCTCGTGATGACTTCTGCGTATGGATTGGAGCGAAAGCACTGGAACTAGGTAGTTTCGCATCTTTTCGGCCTTCGAGCGCCGCGTTTTAGTATGAGAGTAAATTCAAATGTATTTATCTCCACGGATATATACTGCAGAAAACAGTAAACGCACCATATGATAATATACATATCGCATTTCGATACCTATTTGTAACTAGAAAAGTTACTACATTAGAAGCACTTCTAATAAAGTACTATCTACCAGCAGTTTTTCTAATCAAAGTGTAACCCCAAAACAGTGATTGCTTCGATTGATTGCCTGGTGATTACGCAGGATCAATATTAACATTTACACTTGTCGTTACTCACCATTGGGCAAGAATTAGGATAAACCATTACAAGGCCTTAGACAAACTCGGGTAGGCTTACGGAAAGAGGTTAAAAGTCACATAGCAATTTAGCATTACCAGGTTTTGTCGTGCCCTCAATTTATTGAGTTCTGATTCTCTTAGCATAGTGCAACGGCAATAGTTACAGTAACTTGTAGCTAACCGGGCTCCTCAGTGCATACGTCTTATTCCACCTCAACTCAACGTCAACTCAACGTTAACTCAACTACGACCAACCCAGCCAGCCTGGCAATAATGCTCAAATCCGGCGGCAGAACCTCCAAAATGGGTTAGGGTTCAGAGGGAATTATAATCTTACATTACAAATTTTCTCTCTTAAAAACTCTGCTACTATCGGGTATACCCCCTCTCAGTAACAGGCTCAGGGTCACCGAGCAAAGCAAGCAAGCCAAGCTACTCAAGGATCACAAGACGTTAGTCATACTCCCGAGAATATGTGGAGGCTAACGTGTCTTGAATAGTTGGAGTATTCATCCTTCTATTCCTCTTCCGAGTCGCTTTCCTCCTCGCTTGACTCCATGGGTCTACTGTCAACTTCACCAGGGAGAGGTTCTTGACTTCCACTACCGTGGCGCTGAAGTTGAGCTTTAAGCTCACGGAGTTGCTCAATCTTACGTTCCTGCTCATGTTTGTTCATCGGCTTATTCTTCTTGGCTTTAGGAGGCGGCGCACTGGGCTTCGATTTGGGTTCCACCTCGATTGGGCGGCTAAATTCTGGCTTCTTCTCAAGTGCAGTGCGAATGTTTGAATTGGTCCTGTTGATCAGGTCGTAGAGTCTTCGGAGGGCTTCGTCGGACAAGGCATCTATGTCTAGTTCCATCTCACCGTCATCATTCTCCTACAATAATTGTCAGTGCTGATATCACAAACAAAGCAAAACAGCCGCCAACATAATATGTAAAAGGGCAAAGATGAGTAGAGATCCAGACACTTACATTCTGACCAGTATCCTTCTTGATTATGTCAACGGCCTTTGTCAAGGTAGTACCGTCAAGCTCATTAATTCCCTCTGCGATAACTGCCTTCTCTAGCGCACCAACTGGCCGGCTCTTGGGGGCCGCCTTTTTATGACTAGTATGATTGCTAGGCGTCTTTTTGGTGGTATTGACATTTCCAGACGCTCCCTTTTTGTGACCTGTGGTAGCCAAACCACTACCCGCAGACTTTGGCTTGCTCTTGGTGCTCTTCTTCTTTGGCTTCGGTTTCTTTTCCTCATTATGGAACTTAGTTCTCTCCTCTACCAGTTTTCGTTGGAGCATCGAAACCATCGACTGCTGAATCTCAATCATAGTAAGGTCCGGCTTCTTTGATCCAAGAAGAGTGTTCAACTTGTCTTGCTCCTCATCTAAGCGAGCCTGGAGGTTACGAACCGCTTCGCTGTTTTGTTCATCCTCACCGTCTGCTTCGCTCTCGTCTTCAGAGTCGTGAGCGCTTCTCTCCGGGCTACGTGCAGATACATTTGTCGCAGACGGCAACTCCGGAGGATAGTGACGCTTCATCCACTGATCTCGTTTCGAGATTTCGGACTTGAACAGCTCCTCTAAGCGTCTTGCAAGCATGGTCACATCGTGGTGCTGACCATTGAAGAGCTCGGAATTGTGGACGATCAGTCTCATGTCCTTCTCTAGATCCTTCACCGTCTTGTAGTCGCCGTCGTAGTTTTTCTGTGTCATGGTGGTAAGGTCCATTGGTTTCTTAACGATGCTAAAGTACGTCGGGATATTCAAAGCTACAGGGTCCACTGGTGTGAGAAACCACTGGTTCAACGAGTAATGCTTCCCCTTCTTGATCTCGTCCAAAACGACTTCAAAGAAACGCTGCTCGGGTTCTAGCTTCTTGCGGCTGGCTGAACCATAGTCAAGATCGCGGTTCTTTGGAGGATGTATCGGACGTTTGGGTCTGTCACTATCTTCTCGTGTAGAATCGCGACGAATTTGGGGGATGCCATTCGGGGGAATCGCAAAGGCTGGCGCTGAAGACAAAGCAGATGCTGGCTGCGCAGCTTGTACGGCCTGTGTAGGGGTCGATTTCGGCTTGGGACTCGCAGCAGATGGACGTGACGGCTGTGATTGCGATTGTCGCCGAGGCTGGGTCGCTGCACGAGGTTCTGGATGTCGGGTTGCATGACTCTTGCCCTTCTCAAATTTGGCAGGTTCTTCCAATTTGGAAATATCTGGTAGGCGTCCGAGTATCTGATCTCTTACTACACCTGCGGCTAGGGTAATGGGATTATTTTCGCCATTGAACGTGAGAGAATTCTCGTACAATAGCTGGATATCGGCCTTCAATGCGCCATAATTAGCGTACTTGTCTTCGCGGAGCTTTGCCTCAAACAGAGAAATATCCACTGGATTCTCTATTTTGGACTTGTAGTCATCCCATAAAATTGGCCACAATCGTTCTACGGGCTGTCTAAAATTAAGGCCGTTTTTGGTCTTCTTGACACCGGCCAAGACTTGCCTTATCTGCCTATTCTGGAAAGGGGTGATGGCTTGGCTATCTTGGTCTCGATCAACACTCTTTTTTGGCTGTGATGCGGGAGGGGGCCCACTTGCGACAATTAACGAGTCAGCCGTAGGATCACTCGGATCTTCTTCTGTTCTGGCACGCTTCGCCGCTCGCTCATCGTCGGCATCTTCGTCACGCTCTCGGGAGACTTTGACTGCGGACATAGGCTGGTCGTTCATAGGTGTGTCGGGCTGAGAGGCAGTAGTGTCAGGTTGGGTACCCTTGATATCCAATTTGGCAAGACTTGCCGATGGCTGACTTAAATCCTGAGATGACGTAGGCGCCGGTGTATTATTGGAAGACTTGTCTTCTGTGCTAGTTGCGGGTTTGGTGTTCGGTTCTTCGTCGATATGCTGTTCTGAGATATCTACATCCATTGAATCTGCAGGTTTCTCGGATACTTCTTCGTTCGGTACCGAATCTCGAGTCGCAGAACTCTCCTCCGCCTTGTCAATATTCTCGGATGTTGAATTAGGGACGGCTTCTGCATCGGCTTCTGCTGCTGAAGATGAGTCCTTCACGGCCGACGCGCCATTAACATCGGGCATATCGGTGTCATCGGTGGACGGAGGGTCAGGGTGTGATTCAATTGGCGTTTGTTGGGAAAGACTGCTGTTTGTAGCAAAGGCCTTTTCATTCAGCGACTTATCTGCGCTGGTAGTTGCCGAGTCTGCCGATTCGGCATTGCCATTAACAGCAGGTTTGTCATCAGACTTAGGCTCGTCTTGACCAGATTGAGAACGCCTGTTTAAAGCACAATTTAGCATCTCGATATAATGAGCGCATAATTGTACTCACCCATTAACTACTCCCGCATCCGAGTCATTGATCGCGATTTCCTCATCTGGTGCAGAACTAGCGACCTCTTTATCCACCGGTAAGGTTTGAGGTTGCTCGGTCGCCATAATTGCCATCCAGCAACCCGAGGAGTCGAAATGGAACTGGTTTAAGGTGACGTCGATATTATGAAGCTAGATACCCGAATCTCTCGCATGAACCTAAGAATTGGGTCTAATAAAAACTCATGGTCAGATATGAATATTTAGACACGGCTTGTACGATGCGGCTTGAGAAATGGTAAACAAGGATGCAAGCAATATTGCGATTCTGCCATAAAACGGGTATCAACCGAGAGGTTAAAGTGATGCGATTGCGACTACCTAAGTAGCGGAAAAGCCGGAATGAACTTGCCTTTTAGTTTTGCGGGCGAAAAGGTTTCTGGGTAGTTACGACTGTGGCTTCTAGTTAGTGACGAAGGTGATTAGAAACGACGATTGTGCGTAATAATAGGCAAGTGCAAGGCAGTAATTTCAAATGCAAGGGATAAGCAAAAATGAGGGTAAAAGAAAATAATAGAAGTGATATTAATTTTGAGCGCCAGGGAAAATTGACGATATCGTGATGTATGTTTGCTCTGCGCCGCGATGCGCTACGCGGCCTTGCGACATGCAACAGTTATGTATGTGGGAGAGCCAGTCGCAAGGTGGCTGGCCAATGAAAACGGGGCTGGGAAAGATTGGGGGATGTCTGGGTGCAAGGATGAAGTGTTATCGGGACGATACGCCTTATATCGAGACTTATCCAAATCTGCACATCTTCTCATCGGTGTTAGGCTGTGAAACCAACTAAATTATGGACGCGCAAGTGATCAATATGGTCAGAGCGCGCCACCAGCCAATGATATTAACAGTGACTCTTTCCTAAGCACTGAGAGGATTTCTATTAAAGGTCCAGGAGCGCGCTCTTCGACTCCTCTGGATCCAAGACTGGTAGAGGAGTTGACAAACGTTGACTTGAGGCGCCGGGGTAAACGAGATGAGTTTGCTGTGTACAGTTCAAATGCAGGGTGATGTTGCAACCTTGGCGAATACCATGCAAATGATAGTAGGGATGAGGAAAGCGGTGCAGTGTAAAACGTAACATAAGGGATAGGCAGAACAAGGAATCTTTGATAAACTTACCTTCAACTTTGAAATAATCAAGGACGCGCCAGCTCGTGTCGAGTCCCGGATAAAAGGATGGCGATGGGCAAGACAAGAGAGGAACGAGTAACCCACGTAGTGATTACGATCAGATGATAGAGTAGTAAAGCGACGATGAATGAGAGTCACTCCTGCACTACTAGACGAATACTGGCAAGATGGGGCGCAATGCGCGCTGGTCGCAGGAATAAAAAAGTAGTAGAGATTTGTTTGGTACGTTGAACTGAATCAGACCAAACAAATAATAGTAATACGGCGATAACCTAGTACCGTTGATAATTAACGACGACGAGGTTCACGAAGAGCTGATAAAAAACGGAACTCGCGACGGCAGTAGGTGCGCAGGTGGTCAAAGCGGTAGTGGTCGCGATAGTGGCCGCGATAGTTACTCGATACTACCGTTTTGGGGGAAGGATTGGGAATGAATAAAAACTTAAAATATTAAACAACGAATCGACGAGCAGAGCGCACGGGGGAAAATAAGGAAAGACAGAATGGGAGGGAAAAGGTACCTCGGTACTTTCTGTCGCGTGGTGCGCGTGCAGTGGTGAGGAATGAGATCAGTTTCTCAAGATGCGAGGCGGTGTCGGTGCTCGGAATATTAGAGAGGGGGGGGTTGGGGTTGGGCAGAAATGGAAAAATAGGAGGAAGGGTTGTAAAAAAAATCTCAGGAATCAGAGGTCTCTTTTTTTCTTCGTCGCGAAAATTTCTGGTTTGGGGCCACTTTCCTATTTGTAGAACGCGCTTTCCCGGGCTGCGAAATCACGGTTCGCCATTACTGGGGAATTACGACAAGGATTATATCGAAGACAACGCCTGCCGTGCCTGTATCAAAGCATCAAATGGCAAATCATGTGGTTCAGATATCAAAATGTGGGGCGCTTTGATACAGTGAACAAGGGTGCACACTCCCAAGATTGATCAAGTACCCATCTTGATACTGCATTGTGTGTACCTAATGTACGCAGGTACACGTAGGTACTGTGGATGAATGGTGGGAAATGGTTACCTGGCATTTCTGGATTGACGGAGGAACTCGGGTCTAGGCCTTGATTGTCCGGCACTGCCTTATACTTATTTCTCGTTTCCTGGGAAGCCGGAAGGGAAGCATTGAGTTGCGACTCATTATGATCATGTTGGAGGATGTGATAAATTTTTGCTGAGTGAACGGACAGGCAAGACCCGGGTGCTCGAAGATTTGACGAGAGAAGTATTGTTTGGCGGGCTACCTAGGTACCCGATAGGAGAGCCAATCAGATTTGGAGCGCAATGATGACCTTCTGGCCACTGCCCAATCATGACGCGTAGGGCTCAGAAATCCTTGCTCGTCCGAAATGATAGAAGACACCAGTGCGTGCTCTTTATTTCGATGCTAGATTAGCCCCGGGCGTGCAACTGTAAACACAGCTTCATTGTTGATTCGTCAACAATATTCTGCTTTAGCATCACATGATCCGGGAAAACTGATGTGAGAATGTCGTTGCCAAAGATTTTCTTTGTCCGCCTCGAAGGGACACATTTTGTCTTCAAGAGATGTTTTGAAGCTCTGCGCCGCATCATAGACTCGACCGAGGTAGTTGCTTAATCTGTAGAGTTTAGAGTACTCGAAAATTGCGACATTTCGAAGTTGCACAGGTTAGTTTGAACAGAAAAGTCGCATAGTAAAGGAGAAATTGTGTAGCTTTTTAGGCTCCATCCAGTCGGAAAAGTTGGCAGGGCTTAATGGGTTTTTGAATTGAGGCGCACAGTTACACCTACCGAGTACCATTAGATCTTTTCCTGCCAGCTGGCAAATTATTGACCATTTGGCAGCGAAGTTTCAAGGCTAGCCTGGGTACCTGGATGATCCGTGCATGTCTCGGTCGCGGAAATACCAAACACCTATCATAGTAAGCCAATTCCTTATCAAGGGAAAAAAATAACGTGAAGTACCTTTCACCTCACTACCTAAATATCTATATGTATTCGCGTGCAAAGTACAAGAAATTTTTAATACTTTTGCGCTTGCCCTCTCCGACCTCAAGAGGGTGTCATCAAGTCCTAATTTGAATAAATCCTAGTTTCTCAATCTCTCTCTTCACAAAACCTCTATAATCACTCCATTTATCTCCAGGGCAAAATGTCAACCAAACGAAAACCACCGAGCAAGATTGCTCACCCGGTCGTTAAGCAGAGCGCAAAGAAGCCCCTCAAAACTACAATTAATGAGTCCGAGACAGCTGTCTCGGTTCCCGATATTTCAAAAGATGGTGGGATTACAGGCGAGAAAGTAATTGAGATTTCAAGCGACTCGGGCAGCAGCGAATACGAATTTACAGATGAGGAACAAGAAGACAACGAAACTAAACCGGAGACCAAGCTGTCTCAAGATCAATCCGTACCAAAGAAGGCGCAAAATACTGAGGACGTTGATATCGACATGCCCTCCCCAAACTTGCCAACAGATGGCGAGTCTGATCAAGAACCTGCTCAACCCACGTTTGGCGAACTTGCCCGCGCGCATGATACTATTGAAGTTCCGAACGCAATTTCTACCCAATCCAACGCCGTCGCTGCTCCAGGGCGGTCTTTAGCTCCTCCTAGCCTCTCATCTTTAGGAACCGTTTTATCACAAGCACTTCGCACTGATGATGCAGATCTCCTAGAGTCTTGTCTTCACGTCAGCGATCTCAACACAGTCCGACAAACCATTCAAAGATTAGACTCCACCCTCGCAGGAACATTGCTTACGAAGCTTGCGACTCGAATGCATAGACGTCCGGGACGAGCTGGTAGCCTAATGACCTGGGTTCAATGGACGCTAATTGTACATGGAGGCGCATTGGCAACTCAGCCGGGGTTGGCCAAGAAGCTAAGCGAGTTACACCGAGTATTAGAGGAGCGATCAAGGGGCCTTAATTCTCTTTTAGTTTTAAAGGGCAAGCTTGATCTACTAGAAGCGCAAATGGAGTTCCGTCGGATCGCACAACAAAACAGAGAAGTCGATGAAAGTGATGAAGAAGAGGCTGTCGTCTATGTGGAAGGCGAAGAAAGTGACGCAGATATGGTTAATGGGGCTATGGACTTAGATGACGACGATGGATTACCTGTCACAAACGGAGTGGTTGACGGCGACTCAGAAGACGATGAAGAATCGAGTGAGGATGAAGAGGACGAAGACAACTTGGAAGGCCAGGAAGATTTGGATGAGAACGATGTCAACCACGAAGATGTCGAATCAGATGAGGAAGATAGCGAAGCTGAAGTAGCTGAACCTCAACGACCGGCAAAACGTTCGAGGACGAGAGTAAGATGAAAGGTTCTCGCCAGGAAATGTTAAACAGACAATTTCGATTCAGTCTAAACGATACCCGTTACTCTCTAAACCACCTACCATATCCGGTATTTACGATAGTATTGCGTATCCCGTAAGAGATATTGAACATCCGTGGTATGGTTAAGCCTAGGTAGCCAAGCCTAGCCAACTTCAAGGTTGCTCGGCTTCTCTTTAGGAATTTAAGCACGTATGATAATATTGTCTGTATAATGTAGAAATACGATTCTATTAACAGGTTGGTTGTCGCCTTAGGTACTTTTAAAACCCCATGGCCGATACCTTGGATAGCTTTTACAGTTGCTTATGTCCAATTTCCGAGTCTCTACCTACATACATACATCGATAGGTACATATAGGTACCTAAATACATAAGTACATAAATCTACTTGCAGGGTCAGTTACCCACCAAAACATTTCTTACATACATGTATGTATCTACTATGTACATACCTATGTACCTATGTAGGTATCCCGTAAGCTTGAAAGGTTGTCAGCTAATTGGATGATGGACCCCTATCGATAAATTCTCAGATGTCTATCTAATCTACCAGCTTTCGACTCTTATTCATCTAATCGCGTCGTCTCCAAACCCCGAATTATTTCGCGTCAAGCTTCTTGGATTGACCTGCTTGGATTATGATATCTTGGTTTTTGAAATCATTAATGCATTTCTCGAATCATCTCGCTTCTTTTCCCGTACAACACTCGACTCCATAATGGTAGAATGCCCAATTTGTAGCAAGCAAGTCCAATCCGCCAAGATCAACGATCATATCGATTCAGGATGCCAGACTTTCCTTATTGACGCCTCGACGTCCTCGTCCTCGTCTCAGATACCTTCGGCTACCCAAACAAATGGCGCCATGTCATCGTCGCAGAAGCGACCGGCGTCCAGCTTCTTCCATACCCCTTCCGCCAAACGGCAGTCGACACCCATCAAAGCGACTACACCCTCAGCTAACGGTGTTAGCGGAACACTCGGCGGAGCGAAAACGAACGGCGGTATTAAGCGTTCCTTCGATGAAGGTCCCGGAGAAGATTCGCCTATGCAAGATGCAGGCGCCAGGACGGAGGATGTAGCACGCATTGAGACCGGTCGGGTGCTGAAAAGGACCAAGACGAATAGAGCGGCCCCTCTCGCTGAGCGCATGCGGCCACAGAACCTCGATGAAGTCTTTGGACAAGATCTTGTCGGGCCACACGGTGTTTTACGATCATTAATAGAATCCGACCGAGTACCATCCATGATATTATGGGGCGCATCTGGCACAGGCAAAACTACGATTGCGCGCTGCATAGCAAACATGGTTGGCTCCCGTTTCGTTGAGATGAACGCCACAAGCTCTGGCGTAGCGGAATGCAAAAAGATATTTAACGATGCGGCGAACGAGTTGGCCTTGACCGGAAGAAAGACGATAATATTCTGCGACGAGATACACCGCTTCTCCAAATCGCAGCAGGACGTATTTCTTAAGCCTGTTGAAGCGGGAACGATAACACTCATCGGCGCAACAACGGAGAATCCAAGCTTTAAAGTCGTCAACGCACTACTCTCGAGATGTCGAACTTTCACATTACAGAAGCTAACGACGACAGACATCCAACTCGTCTTATCACGAGCATTACAGGCCGAGGTTTCGGCTACTTCATCATCCCCCTCTCCTTTTCTTGACGAGGAACTTATGAGCTATCTTGCCAACTTTGCCGATGGTGACGCGCGGACAGCACTCAACCTACTGGAATTAGCCATGTCTCTAGCGAATAGGGACGGCATGACAAAGGAAATAATTAAAGAGTCACTTACCAAGACGCTGGTATACGATCGAGCAGGCGATCAACATTACGATACAATCTCCGCGTTCCACAAATCCGTCCGCGGTTCCGACCCAGATGCCGCATTGTACTATCTGGCCCGCATGCTCCAGTCGGGAGAGGATCCATTATTCATCGCGCGGCGAATGGTCGTGATCGCATCTGAGGACGTTGGGCTAGCAGATAACTCACTCCTTAGCCTAGCAACCTCGACATACACTGCAACACAGCAGATCGGCATGCCGGAAGCTCGCATCCCTCTAGCCCATTGCGCCGTAGCGCTCTCGCTCGCGCCCAAGAGCACACGCGCCTATAGAGGATTGAATAATGCCTTTGCGGCTCTCAAAGAACCGGGAGTGGCGTCTTTACCAGTGCCGATTCATCTACGAAACGCGCCGACGAGGCTGATGCGGGAGCTTGGATACGGAAGGGAATATAAATACAATCCCAACTACAAAGACGGCAAAGTGAAGCAAGACTATCTTCCTGATACGCTCCTTGGGCGTACGTTCTTGGAAGACCGAGATTTGGGTACCGAGATCGATCCAGACCTAATTATGGAAGACTCTTGATTTCCAGAGTATAAAACGAATTATACAACTCCTGTTCTTGCGCTTCAAGACCAGGTGCGGTCAACTTGTTTATAAAGGGATATATAGGTAGATATCAAAATCGAGGGAACGAGGACAAGCAAAATGCTATAAAGAGCGATACGAGGATAGCGGTGATAGGATATCCACCCATGTAACTACAGCGTGGTCGAATCAGGATGTATTTAGACATTTGCAGATACCCATTAAACAAAATAATGAAAACAAATAATTCCGCGCTGCGCAGCTTCTGTCTTTGTTTCTCTTCTTCTACAGATATAAATCGCTATAGCAGGTAATGCGTTCTCAAGGTCAAGATATGTCTTGCGCCAAAACTACCCGCCAAGGAAAAGCTTGGCTGTGATTGGCCAGAATGCCATGGAGATGTCCAGATTCGGCAATTCCATATATAGGAGGTAGGTAGGTAGGTAGGTTCCGGAGCTCTATGAAGCTTGATCTGACTCTCCAGAGGTAGACAATAGAGTCCCAGTTGCTCAATGCCTCCAGGGCTTATTTTGGGAAGTCTTTATAATCATGATATAGCTATTACACGGAACTATTCGCGCATGATCAAAGTCAAGAACAAGTAGGTAGAAAATATCTGAACCATTCTGGAACTAATATACCTGTTATGTAGCAATCTAGGGAGCAATTCCGTCATTCCTCATTATTTTCGTACAAGTCGTTTCACTAGTTACCCGAACCTTTACTCTTGTTTATGCCTTCTTGGGGACGTCGTAAATCATGAAATAAGCGCCATATTCTCCTTTCCCACCATATTTCGTGGCATCCTGGATCACCCTTTCGACTTCTTTGAAGCCAAGTCGCGCATAGACGCCCCGGCCAGCCTTGTAGGACATCGTAAATAAGGGGACACCGATTTTCTCGGCGTGTCTGATACCGCTCTCAACGAGTGCGCTGGCTATCCCCTTGCCTTTATTGTCAGGGTGGACAGCTAAATATTCGAGCTCTAAGCATGGGTTAGAGAGACAGTCTGGCATAGCAGATTAGCCTGGCGGTTTTGACTCACGGATATAAGTCGCCTCCGCCAGGAGACGGTCCATCACCTCGTCGTTCTTGTCGTCCATGCCATCTACTTCCTTTTTTGCATTCCACCGCGCCGATTTAGCTAGCTCTTCGAACCGGGTCCTTTCCTCGTCGCTGACATCCGGGACCTGCGCCTCGGCCCACTCCGGACTACCATCTTTCGTGGTGAGATGGGAGGATGGCAAGATCCAGCGCGCGTATCCAACGAGTTCTCCAGTAACCGGGTCCACGGCTTTCTCGTGACGCTTTTTCTCGCGGTCGGTTACGAGGGTGCGCGGATACCGTTTTGTAGCATTTTCAATCAGAAATTCCCGTGTGGTTTCCTTCGGCCATATCAAATTCCAATTTGGGTCCTCCCAGAAGGCGCTCATGTTATTACGAGCCAGTGCCGCGGCGTCGGCCACTGTGCAGCGCTCGATTTTCCAGGCTGTCATAATTGCGTGATGTTATAAAGGTAAAATTGGGATTCTTATAGTCGAAATATAATGATAGGATTGTTACGTAGACAGTAGTTCCCAAATAATGGTTTCCCCTGGATTACGATAGGTCCAATCGAGTTTAGGCAGCGACTTAAATAGAGAAGAGAAATCGGTTCTAGTCGGCATTTCCTGTTTTACGTAAGGGCGCGACGTTTATATATTAGCAAGGACTATTGGACTACCTTATTAGGAAGATGGTACGTTGTATCACTCATTCAATTGGACACATCTACGGAGCTATGGTAAGTGTTTAGGGCCCCCTGTGATGCCGGAAAATACTTCTTCCCTTCTGTAGAACAGCGACCAGTTGATCTCTTCTAGGACTTTTTACGGACGTAGATATAAGCTATTAGAAACCTGTCTCAATGAGGTCGACATAGTACTTTATTCGTATCTACAGGCAAGTATCTTAAGTAGGTACCTCTTAGCAAATACCATTGAAATGAGTGTCCCCAGGAGACTTAAAGCTTATACGACCTCTCCCCTATTGGCCCATTCCATTCAGCATTCCCTCAAAACCCCCAACCCTCAAACACCTTAGCTCGTAGCCAGGGCCAAACCCTTAACTTATAGTTACTACGCCAATTTCCCTAGAAGCGTATCGTGTATAGGGCGATTTAAGGGACAGTGACTCGCCCAAGGACCTAATCTACACGATGCTTTAGGTACATACATGTACTGCTTACTCCTGCTGAGCAGCATCGTAGGTGTCGTATTTCTGCTTAGAAGGCTCTCGCTTTTCAACCCCTTGAGCAGCGTCATAAGTGTCATACTTCTCCTTCGAGGGCTCGCGCTTATCCACTTCTTGGGCAGCATCGTACGTATCGTACTTTTCCTTCGAAGGGTCTCGCTTTTCAGCTTCCTGGGCGGCATCATAGGTGGCGTACTTATCCTTCGAACGCTTCTCGTGTACGTGCTCATGCTCGTGTTCAATAGCAGCGTCGTATGTATCATACTTTTCCTTGGAGGGTTCACGCTTCTCTACCCCCTGAGCGGCATCGTATGTAGCGTACTTGTCCTTGGAGGGTTCACGCTTCTCTACCCCCTGCGCGGCGTCGTAGGTATCGTACTTTTCCTTGGAGGGTTCACGCTTCTCTACCCCCTGCGCGGCGTCGTAGGTATCGTACTTCTCCTTGGAGGGGTCTCGCTCCTCGATTCCCTGGGCAGCATCGTATGTTGCGTACTTCTCCTTGGAAGGCTCGCGACTGTCTATAATGTCAGTATCCTATTCGTCGAAGTAGGTCGGAGAACAGATAATATGGACTTACGCCACGATAGAATTCTCCTGAACGGGGAGAGCTACTGCAGCGGAGGCAAGAGCTCCGAGGAGCGCAATGGAAGTCTTAACGAAGTGCATCTTGGAATTTGTTGGTGGCGTATGAGGAGTTGGGGACTATCTGATCGAAGGGATTGCTTTGTATTCTTGCGGAGGATGGATGATATGAGTAGGAAATACATGGTAGGAATACGCCTTCTTAAGTCTTTCCTTTCTAACAAGCTAGATACCTAGGTAGGTTATGTGATTGTCTACGAGAATGACGACTGTATGTTCATCATCCTCGGTAGACTCTTTCCGAGGTCCTATACCTCCTGTGGTGTTGGAATTTGCATGAAAAATTGCTCAAGAGGCCGAATATGCTGTAATAGTCAGAAGGTCTCGGGTATATGCAGAGCTTGCAGATATCACCCTTGCTAGTGAGGGTAGAAGCAAGTAAGATTTAATACCCTGATGTATAACATCGTATCAACATCTCGGCAGTTATCAAGTCTCCACTAGAGCTATGTTGGTGACAACCATGGCCATGAGCGAACCGGCAACTACTAGCGAGGGAAGTAGGTAAGATTTTGGGACGAGGTTCATGTTGTGCCATGTAAGGTTCGTATGTTGTTCGTATGTTCTACAAGTACACTTGATTTGAAAATACTAACGGAGTAAACTGAGTCGATCTTCACATGTGATAACATGAGTTAGCTTCTATCCAATTTAGCAAATAGCTCCGTAGTATCTTAATATCAGTAATCAGTAATAGAGCTATAGAACTACAAACTCAAAGTGTAAAGTTACCTTATAGTAACTAACTGATAGTATTATATCAACTCACTATTAGAATTAATCAACCGTTTATTATTTAACCCGTTAAAAAAGGTGAGCACCGTTTTTGGTATCACGCAATTATAGTGCTGATTTGGTCACTGATATGCAGGCTGCGCTTATAGTTGTCAGCGCGGTTAGGCGGCGCGGAAAACGAGCTGTCCTGCAGATCATGCGTCTCCGGCTTTTACCTGTGCCTAGCTGAATCTAGAAAGCCAGAAAGCTTAATCCTCCCCCGCGTCTGCATCCTTACGGCCCCGTTGTCCGGCATATTTAGCGCCGCATATACGCATGCCCAGCGAATCAAGCTTCGGCACTGCAGTTCTACATAGCTACGGGCCGTAATATCTAGCCCCGGCTCGTGACGAACTAGTATACAATCCACGAGCTTCAACCCTAAAATCTTACCACTCGGCCCATGTAACTATAGCCATAGGTCTAGCCTTCCCCACAAGAGAGGTGATCCAACATCACGACATGGAGGACTCCATCTTCAAACTTGATCACCTTCAATAAGCATGCATGCATATATGCATGGACAATATTAATGAAGCAGACATGTGAATCCGAACTCAAGCGGAGCTTTATGATCGGCGTGATTATCGGCACCTTTGCAAGAGGGGGAGAGAGGTCCTAGTTAGGGTTGCTCCGATGAGGACGAGACTCAAGATAATGTCCTGTCGGTTAACATTCGTCATTGACGGACAAATGGGCCCATGATTCTGCGGTTTATCATCATGCATTCTTTTCGGGCTTGAGCCCCCAGAGAAATCAGAACTTAAGACTTTACACCCAGCCCATCCTCCTTTTCAACTTTGTCTTATACAATTCTTCATGTCCTAGAATCTTTAGTCCTAAAGCCTATCCATATCGAAGATGGGTTTCAAGTCAAAGGAAACAACGTATGAGCCACTGGTCTCAGATGAGGCGCGGTTCTCACAGAGTTCTGATAGCCTCGAGAACCAAGAGGGCAAGCCTATGTTGAGGCGAAGCTTCCAGAGATCTTCTCGTCTCGGCTCTTGGGCCAAAGCAAGCGGCACAGCTCTAGCAGTTCTCAACACTCTTCTTTTAATAAGTATTATTGTCGTACTATCGCTTTCACAACACGAGAAGGAATGCTCGGAAGTCCAGTGTGCTGCTAAGACCTCATACTATTGTAAGCGATGATAATCTCCAGATCATAGCTATCAAGAACTAACAACAGAAGCCCCGCTTCTAGAAAAGGACTCCGGTGCTATCGAGTATGAAACTCGCAGGTTTCAAGGCGCTCTTGAACACCACAGCATCTATAAGGGGACACCTAATAAGGAGCTTGATGCAGCATGGGTAGAGCTCACGCACAGTAAGCCACTATCGTCTGAAGTCTTAATTACCGTCAAGTTAAACTTACAAAACTACCTAGTGAACAATTCTGGTGTAAGTGGTGAGGTCATAGACCGCATCGGAAAGTCGCGTATTGCCGTAAAGTACCCCGAGTCTCAGGGCGGGCAATATGATGTCGGCATCGAGGTCTTCCACCATATGCACTGTCTGGTATGTTCAACTCGTGATACGATGATTTTCCTTCAATTACTAATAGGAGCAGAACATCATCCGCCAGTACACCTATAAAGAATACTATTTTCGCGCTGAGAATCGGCCACTAAGTTTCACTGATACTGAGCCCATCATTCGCGCTCATCTAGACCACTGCATTGAGATGCTACGTGAAGCTCTGCTGTGCCACGGCGATGTTGGTATCATTACCTACAACTGGGTTCATCCATGGGGAATTTACCCCGACTTTAGCACCCAACACAAGTGCCGCAGACTCGACAAGATTGTTGCTTGGGCTAATAAGCATGCATTGCCAGTAGAGGACCCTGAGCCTGATGAGAACACAGTATGGCTCAAAGGACCACCTCAGTGATAGGCCATTCTAAATTATACTTACTCAACAAATTGTAGGGGGATATCATGAAATACAAGGGACTTGACTTGTCAAATGTGAACTATCTAGGCTTAGATCATGGATATTTAAGATGATGGGGTTATGAGATAGCACTTTATTACTTTAAAGAATAACATAAATCCTTCAAAACTTGATTTAGAAAGAGTTTACACTCTTGGTCACTGGTTAGAATCGTGTGAATGAACGCTCTCAAGCTCGATAACTTCGTAGAACGATAAGCAAAAGTATCACAGCAGTTTCAAGTTCATTATTTTATGCTCCACTACAGCTTTCGTCGATAGATAGGCACATTAGCAAGTTAACCCTCACTACTAAAGTTTGTGATAGCATAGAAGTGAGCTAGTAAAGGCAGTGCTATCGAAAGACGGATCGAGATGAGAGTGGAAAACTTGGCGATAGATGTCGGTGCCATCGAGGTAAGCCGAGGGAAGTATTAACAACACCGAGCTTCTTGCGTGCCAATGACAGTTACTAAGGTAATAACTTGGATGAGTACTACTGTATAGCTAGATACGCAGGCTGACATACCTTAGGTGGTGATCAAGACGTTAACCTCGGATCACAGGTAAATTCAAAGTCCTAGAATGTGCAATATTGATCTCCGAATAAGCTTATTACCTAACCAGGGTTTTTCTCCTACATGACTTCATTGCTTATGGACGTGCTACATACTATAACTGAAGGCGGTCAAGATAGCTAAAGAATCACGCGATACTTAAGACAGGCTATAGGTAACATCGAGAAGCCTAGACTCCTCCCAACCGTATAAAACGTGGTTACGATCGATGCACCAATCGGAATGTATAGACCGGGGTTTGAATTTCCATTCTCGATTCTGGCGTTGTATTGGGATTGAGGCTAAGCTTTCTGCGACCTGCATCGATGCTGTGCCTCACTACCGCCTGCAGAATTGCTCTCCACACGGATTTTACTCATATTATTACAGTCATGACGCTATGACTACCTTACATGTAAGCTCTATACATGTGAGCTATCAAGCAAACACTAGGTATAATTCCGTGCCTTACAAGTGTCCACATCGCCGCTTTTGCTCCTAACCATCGCCGAGAAGTGCCGTTAAGAGCCGGCAGTTGGCAAATGATTCATCGGGAGATCAACATTTTAGCGTGATGGCACAGTTAACAGCAGATATGGGGTCATATGATTCATCAAGCATGCAGTAAAGCAGGGAGACCGGTATACCGTGATAAGACCATGGTTCCGTGCTGCATGTTGGCGGACTGGAAAGTCGCCCTCGACCAACATCACAGAGGATCTTCCCCCTTCTCCCTTCATGAGGACTACGGAGAATGGAGAATAAGACCATACCCAACTCTGACTCTGAAGCACTTGACAAATCAGAGGCCCCTTCGATTCATCCAGACGCTTTATACGCTAACTATGTCAGCTCTACCTAGCCACATCTCCTTTTCTCAATAATCTCCATTCTACTGGGAAATATTCGTGCGGCGAAAGGCTCACATCCTCCTAAATGGCGAGCACAGTCAACAAGCCGAGCGGCATGCCAGCCAGAAACCAGAGCACGTCGCACGTACAAGACAAAGACCAATATGAAGGTCTCCTAAGTGAGAGCGATACACAGTCGCTGGATCGCGAAGACCTCCGCGCCTACTCCAAGAGGCGCCGGCCCTGGAGCTCCCCTTTCTTCTATATCCCTACAATATTATCAATCTTCCTCGGGATGGCCCTCGTCGCTGTATGTTCTACCAACGCGGCGCGACTGGACTCTATCATCAGCCAAATACAAGAAAAAGTCTCAAGCCTCGAGACTGCTTCAGCATTAACTCCCGCGGCACAAGTGAAACCATCCAAGCCGACAGGTGAAGAGTTTGGCCACTGCGGCCACTCCATCAAAGAAGCCGAGTCACTCGGCTGCATTTTCGACCCTATGTCCTGGGCGTGGCAAAAACCCGAGTGCTACAACGCCGAACTCATAAACGACTTCTTGGGCATCTTCGAATGGCACTTCTTCCCCAACAACGAGACTCGGCCGGAGGAGGAGCTATCGTGGGACACTTGGGTGCGCGGCCAATATAACGGTGCTTGGGGCTCTTGGGCATGGCACATGTACCATTGTTCGTACTCGTGGCGCAAATTTGATGCCGCTTTCCACGCCCAGAAGCCATTGGACGACGATATCCTCGATCCTGAACATACTAAGCACTGCTCAATCGAGATCATCTTGCGGGACACAGACCCGGGGCTTCATGCGCCTTGTCTTTCGAACCCTGAGGCTTGCGAAATTACGCAGATGTGGATGAAGTTTAATAAATGCGGCTATTACTGAAGAATATTATCGTTAGTGGTCGATGTCTAGGTATAACTGAGAGCATTGTATTTGGCGAAGTTAGCTTAGTGAATTCACAGCCTCATGAAGATGCTACATAGCCTTGCCATGTCGAGTTCCCCTATGCTGTATATAATAATAAAATCGATCATTTTTAGCAATTGTTTTGTGCTACTGTGGTTTTGGAAACTATAGGTTTGTTGATCTTCATGTGCCCAAATAGGTAAACTCTGTACGAGCTGTGAAATCTAAGTGCTATCATATAAATTATAATAGTAAGCATAACCAATAAAAAATGCTAATTAAGCCCGAAAAACAAAACAGTATACTGAGGTAAGAAGCATCATGTTGATTTCTGACATAAACTTACCTTTTATTTATTGAGTAACAACCACAAGTAACGTATATCATACTTCTAAAAGAATGACAGGTTTTATTCGTATAATAAGAAGCTAAACTAATGAGCGGCATTAAGGAGTAGGTAATAGAGGAGAGATTATAATTTGCGTACATGGAAGGCGGCTCGGTATACATGAAATTTGAAATGCAAGAAAGAAAAACACCCAACGTAGGAAATTGACATTCAAATATTGCCATAATGTTCCTCCAAAGCGACTTTCCATCTAATTGAAAAATGTGACTCAAGACTGTGAAAACAAACATTTGATAGAGGTATAAGGGTGTTGATAATATGACGATGGAGATCATTCAGGAGTTAATATGTCCGTTCGCAAAGCACATGAATCTCGGCCATGTGAGAGCTTGGTAAAGTTAGGTAAATTACCTAGCCCTCCTTGGGGTCAGGTTTGCAAGAGTGATAAGAAAGTGAGCTTGCGTTCATATAGCGCTTCCCACAATCGCCGCAATTGTATAAAGTATCCTCTCGAGGAGCTGGTGAATACTCAGCTGCATCTGGGTGTTGACTAGTTAAATGTTTCATAAGGTCCCTCTCACGGATATAGCCTCTGCGGCCAACTCGGTCGCATCCAGCCACATGACAAGGGAACGGGGTATCCTCATGGACGTCTTTCAGGTGCTTCCTATAGTCGGATTGGTTCTCAAAAGGAATGTCAGCGGTAGTCCGAGACCAGGTGAACCTTTTGAACTCCTCGCCTCGATGATATTCACATCCAGCATGAGGGCATACTAGAATCTGACGGTGATTGTAATTGTAACCATAATTGCGGGAAATGTTGTTAATTTCTTCCTGGTCGAATTTGTGATAGCCGCGAAGGTGTTGAACAAGATGATCTTTCCGGCCAAATGCCTTCCTACCGCGATGGCGTTTGCAGAACTTGCACGGATAAGAACGGTTGTCTTTGCGAAAGGAATCACAGTGTCGGTTTAGAGCATCGAGACGTGAAAACCTTTCTCCGCACGAACATGCAACGGGATTATGTAGTGAGATTGACGCATGATTATGAAGCGCAGCCGCGTGTGGGAACGATATATTGCATTGGATGCATGAAAACTCAGAAGGTCCAAGAACTGGATGATGATCAGATGCGACTGGATGAGCTTCACCACTAACGGAACATGCGCTTTGCTCCAGCTGAGTAGCTGGTTCTCTTGGTGCTTCAAAGGTTCCGTGCTCCGGATCCGGCATTGGGGATCCGATGTGCGTTTGACCAATAATAGGCGCCGTGGACCAAAAACTTAGGATTCACCCTTTTTGTTAGCAAGTGCTAAAAAAAAAGCCTTACAGTTCCACGGGAGCTGCAGTAGCATCAGGCAGCAGGGAGAAGTCGAAATCGAAGTCGAGAACTGGTTCCTGCTCTTCTTGTCCAATGAGAGGCATGTTGACCCAGCCATTGAAGTCGAAGCCGTCCTCGTCGGTGCCCAATAAGTCGGGGTCAAAGTCTTTGAGGTACTCTGACATCTTGGCAATGTAGCTTCGTTAAAGGAGCAAGAAGTTTAGAAGAGCGACAAGAGGATTTGATTGGAGAGATGGCGTTGTTGCTAGAGGAAAAGGGGGTCTACTCAGACACGGGGAAGCGATATATTTCTCTAGAGCAGTACGAAAACATGATGCCTCTTTAAGACGCAATGCAGGAGGTACATGAATAAATAGGGTGGAAGTCATGTCGAACAGCAAAAGTCAGCGGGTCGAGATGTAAGTTGATAAGCCAATCTGCAGCCCCCAAGTCACCCAACTTACAAGGCATACGCAAAATAGGGTGGAAGCAGAGATGGAGAGATGAGGCTGCATCTGGGGTTACACGACATGAAACATGAAATCTACAAGCAGCGGGCTGGAAGAGAGGCAAACCCCATAAAGATACTAGTAGAAACAGAGGCAGAAGAGGGAAAAGGACCGGAACTTTAGAACTGCAAAATGGGGAAGAATAGGGTAGAAGACACAAGGTCAGGCTGTCAGTAATCCGATATACACAGTAGATTCATTGCAAGGCCAGTATATCACCTAATATACAGACAATAAGCCCCAGCCCCGTCCATGCACAAACACCTCACCTCACCTTACCTCCCACTCCTAACCCTAGCCTCCGACGCATCCACCGCCTCCGGCCCCACCCCAAACCCCATACCCTTACGCCTGCGACGCTTCGCGGCCCCGCCATCCCCGTACTTCTCGTCGAACTTGCGGATCGCCGTCAGCGTCGCCATGTCCTCGGACACGCTGGCCCCGATCTCCTGGAGCGCCTTGTCGAAGTGCCGGGCCGCGAGCACGCGCCTCTTCATGCCGTCGCTACTCTCCTCGGATTTGCCTTCTTGTTGCTGTTGATGCTGCTGCTGCTGCTGCTGTTGTTGTTGTTCTAGCTCCAGCTCCTCTTTGACAGCCGCCATGGCCGCTGCCACGCACACGTTCTTGAGGTCTGAGCCTGAGTACAGGGGCGTGCGCTTGGCGATGTTTTCGATTGAGACGGATTCCTCGTCTAGGATCTCGTCTTTGAGGTGGATCCGGAGGATTGCCGCGCGGTCGGCCTCGAGGGGGAGGTCGATTAGTAGCTTACGGGGTAGTCGCCGGAGCACAGCCTCGTCTAGGTCGAATGGCCGGTTCGTCGCTACCATGATGAACGCCTTTGTTTTGTCCATCCCGTCCCACTCGCGTAGGAACTGGTTGATTGTCTCACGGCGGGAACCTAGGTCACGTCTGCCTCGAGCGCCGAGAAGCGCATCCGCTTCGTCGATAAAGATTACTAACGGCTCCTTCTTCTTGGCTAACTGAAATAGGGCCCGCACGTTCTTCTCGCTCTCGCCGACGAACTTGTTGTTGATAGATGCACCCGAAATCTCGATCATATTGGCCCCGCTCTCCTTAGCCACCGCCTTCGCTAATAGCGTCTTGCCCGTGCCGGGAGGTCCGTATAAAAGGCACCCCGGGATTCTATCTGTAGCAAGGACACCATAAGAGAAAGCCTCAGGTCGGATCAGAGAAAGCGTAGTTAGCATCTTAACCGACTCGATCGTCTCCTTCGGTGCATGGACATCCTGAAACGTAGTGCGAATATCCTGTGCATTCACAAGACCTGACTCAAGCCTCTCTTCGTGGTCCTCTTCTGAAGAGAAGAGCTTGCGCGCGTCGATAAACTCTTTCGATTCCCTTCGCTGGTTCTTTTCCCCTGCCGCTGTAATCTTGGCGTATCTGTCTCTTAACCTCTCATGTCTTTCGACAATGTCGACAACTCGTTCTAAGGATTCAATGTTAAATACATCGCTCGGGTCCTTAGAGTAACCAATCATCATGGTTGCGATGCGATACACCTCATTAAGAGGCAAAATGCTCTTCGTCCATGACTCTGGTAGCTTTCTGTAGTCTATTTGACTCAACTTAATCTCCCCGGTTGTCGCTATTAGGGATTCGGAGGGAGGCTCAATCATGGATGATAATATTCTCACAAGATTCTCCTCGTTTTCTTTTATAAAATCCCTTGCTTCCAGATACTGGCGCTTGTTTTCAAACATGATTCGTCTTGCCATTGCACTGCTAACTCCAGATATGATTTTGCTTACCCTTAGGGTTGTAGTATCGGACATAATTCCGTTTGCCAATGCGCTTCGCGCTATATACCCTTCCGTAGCTGGACGGAGAGTAATCACGCGTTCTGATGATTCGAGTTCTCTTAGGTTGCTGATATAAGGCTTCGGCGCGCCCTTAGTTGAACAAGACCCGACTAGCACGATTTTTCGACCGTCTGCCCAGAGTGCATCGACGGTTTTTCGAAGTTTGGCTATGATCATGGCACCGCACGCCGTGTCCATATTGATAGCGTTATAGTCATTGATGTGAACGATGAGCGGCCTCTGCTCGGGAGGCTCGGAATCGGCGCAGTGCACAAGCTCTTCCAGCACCGCGCTCAATTTGAGGTCCTTCCAGAGATCGTCGTCTTTTCTTCGGGTTGACCCGTTTAGGTATTCGTCCATTAGTACCAAGTAGTTCTTACTCTCTTTCCTACGTCCGTCATCACGCACGATGAAAGGCAACCTAACATCCTCAGATTCGTCCGCTTCCTCAGCGGAACGGTTTCGTTTTAATCTTCCGCTATTCTCCGCAGCTTTATATCCTAATTGTGATATCGCGCCGGGCGCTCTCACAGGGTCTTGTCCAAGGTAACTACCAACGATGTACGCAATGTCAGAAGACTTTAGATGTAGGACATCAGCCTCTAACTTAGTAGCAACGTGGCGTAAGATGTCGTGGGGTACGAAATACCCCGAGCTTTCAGGTGTATTGATGATTGTAATAGGCCGCCGTAGATCTGTGAGCTTGACATTCTCTGGGGCTTGTATTAACAAATCCGCGTTGACGGAGGCTACAACATCCTCGATCAGTTCCTCCTCAAACCAGCTGACTGTGGACGCTTCCAGAGGAGAGTCGTTCAACGCATTGTCAATTATTTGTTTAGCATGGCTTAGCTGTGGCAGCTCCTCTCCCGCGGCAAATAGCCTCCCGTATGTGAGAGCTGTGAGTAGATCCCCCGAATTTGAAACCGGACTCTGCTCATGCAACTGGTCGACCGCCTTCTTTCCGTGGGTCATCCGAGCCGACATGACCGCAGCCCAGAAAGCGGCAGCAACTAATATATTCCCCTTTCTTTGTATCAAATCCGCATCTATATCAGAGTCTAGCATTTGTCGAACTTCAGCTAGCGTCTCATCGGTCCATGCCGTAGCTTCGACTAGATAAGCGAGATGCGCATCTAACATTCGCTCCTTTGGCGAATGGAATAATGCATCCTCTAGCATAATACGCGCATCCCTCTCACTAATCTTGCTAAGTCCAGAATGCGTCTCCGTATCTCCAGAACGACTAATAGCCTTGGAAAGAAACGACTTGGGCACATGGACAGGGGGCAGCTCTTCAGGTCTCCGATTGCGCACGATGCGAGACTTCAAGGAGCCATTTCCGGGCCTCTTCCGACCCTGATTCTTCCCATCTGTTGCTAAAGTATTCTCTCCAAATAATTTTTCGTCCCCATTGTCGTTCTCCCCAACTCCGTTCTCCTTCTCGGGCTTACTTCCGTCGTCGCGGGGCCCGGTATTGCCATCATCGGCAGCTCTGACAGGGGTAGAGGCGTGAAAAAGTCGACCAGGATGTGTCGCTAATGGAGGTTTCTGTAAGCTAAGTGCCGCTGAGCGAAAGGCACGTAGCGACCGAGTATGCATTCGGAGAATTGGCGCTCAGCGTGAGCAGACGAATGCATAGCTTGCGATATTGTAAGAAGGGAAATATGAAATTCCATGTTGGCTGACGTCCAAAAACTTCGGAATTTGCCGTGGCCCAAGCGTCACACCCCCACAAAAGTACGTACTACGAGGTACCTTGTACATCATAACTGAGGTCAAGACATGTGCCATTACCTAACCCCTATTGACATACTTCATAGACATGGTATTATTCCCTTTTCTACGACATAACATTATTGTAATAATCCAAATAATTCATTTCTTTTACGTCCGAGGCTATTATCCCCTAACGCCACGCTATATGCATTTATACTAGAATAAAAATTCGTCAAGTGGCAACCCAGCGAGTCTTGAAGTCGCCGTCGCCAAATCATTAGCATAATTCCACTCCCGAAGCTCTTTATTAAGAACTTGTATCAGCCTCCTCGAGTCCCACCTCGGTACCGGAGTCCCCTGTCCAGATTGCGTCGATGTATGCCCCTGCGCTCTAGATGGACCCCTTACACTGATAGTCGAACCGTTCGACACCCAATTCTCATTGATATCTCGTACCATGTGATTTGCGAACCTCGTAATGTGTTCATCAGGTTCTATTGAGAAACCGGCCCCCTGTCCTCGGAGACCTTGAAAAAATCTATTTGAATCCATAGTAACTGGACTCTGTATGTCTAAAGATGTCCCGTAACTCTTGTTATTGAGAATATTGGAAACGTATTTTCCAGCTTCTCGTGTAAAATTTGTAAAAGTCTCAACTGCTTCTGTAATATCGACTGCTACCTCGGAAGTTGGCTCATTGATCAGATATGCCGTCAATGACGGCGAGAGCAAATTGAGAAAATGTATGGTTTGAATAAGTGTGTAAATATACTCATCGTGTAATGCGGCAGCGTCGAAGGTCCGGAGCTGTCCAATGCCGGCTAAGACGATCTTCAAGACGACTAGAAGCCCATTCATGTCCTCCCTGCCCATTTCTCTATAGATGCAGGGTGCTGTAAGTAGCGCTTCGAATGCACTAACATAAGTGTCTAGTATTATCCATCCTGTAGGAACTTGAAACGCAGTTTTGATGATTGCTGGGAGCATCTTGCTCAGTATGAAGGAAGAGACATGGATATTCCCCATCCCCTGTTGAAGGATAGCTCTTTCATTTCCGAGTTTACCATTGGCGAGTGCCAGCTTAAAGTTGGGGAACAGGAGATAGAAGAGCCCGGGTATTGCCTTGTTATCCCCTTCTTCTAGCTTGAGACCCCACGACAATATGCCTGCTATTTGGAGGCGGGGGTCTTGGCTGGAGGGAGAATATTCCCGGCTGATCTGGTAGAAATATGAGTCCACGGGGCAGAGGTCCTGTGATCTAATCACCGTGACGATTGACCGAACAAACTCGATATAATCCGTGTGCTCGGGAGAGTCTAATGTGATCGACTTTAGATCAAGCTTCATTTGATCCATTGTATTCTTCAGAGCCTTCGAGAACTGCGATTGCAGTTGCTGTTTTCGGCTTATTTCTGCAAACCGTAACGTCTTACGCATCATGGCAACGGCATCTAGCTAGGCATTAGCAGTAGATTTCGTAACTTACTAGGAGAATACTTACAGCTGAATAATGCCGTATTTGAATTGTAGTCGGGGTTGTTTCCACTTTCTATAACCGCATCCTTTAAATATGGATCGCCATGACGTTTAATTGCAAGAGCAAGACGGTTCTCATAGGCCAGAAATTTCCAAGGTTTCACGAGTTCCCTTAGGAAGAGTTCTAGAATCGAGCCACCCAGATCCTTGAACATAGTTAGCGAAGCCTAATTATGATATACAGGGGAACCCTACCTTAAAATCATCCACGTCCTGCTCAATTAGCATGGCCAGGAAGAGGGCATGATATTTCCTTGAAGGGGAATCGATAGCCTTCGGCATAGTCTGGAATAAACTGTACTTTCCGGACGTAAAAAATTGGGAAACATGCTACATATATGTTAGCTTGTAACGCATACATTGTATCAAATATACCTACCAAAAGTCGGGCGTGAAATAGCCGAGCTGCCAGCCGCCCGGAAAGTAATACGGCCTGTTCCATGCATATGCAGCGATCACTCGTAGGACCAAGCCCGACGTCTTTAAACTCCATACCAACAATAGTACGAGTCATTGAGACGAAAGGGATGGCCATTTTACGTTCAAGAAGCTAAGCAGGTGTTAATAGGTGGAAATCAGACTTTCAAGAGAGAAGACTTTACCATAATAGCATCTTCTCCATGCCATGAGTGATCAGCTGGGACCGGACCTTGGCTGAAGAACTCTTCGATTCGAGTAACGTAGTATTCGATGATATCTAGGGCAACCCGCAAGCTACTCCAGTCGAAGTCTGCTGACGAGAATGGGAAACGGGTAAAAACCTGGTCTAGTTGATCTTGAGAAAGTTAGCAAAAGTTATTCAAGTATACAAAGTATTGACATACAATGATTCAACGCAAAAGAAACGCCACCAAGCGTCGGGGCGAGCCGAATGACACTCAAGAATCCCTTCATAGAGAAGTGTATTACATCCATTGCGCCTTTCCTGTTCAGCCTCACAACTGCGTTGACCATATCTCGACTTATATTTCTCGAAACATCTTTAGACATATTCAAGAGTTGCTGTTGAATATCCGATTCGGCTGACAAGTACTGTTCTATCGCCTGTTGAAAAATATTTTTCTGCCAATCAGCAAACGGTTTGTATCCGTTAGTGTCCTCTTCCGAAGAGATCACGAATCGTGATAGTTGGCTCCAGGCTCGTAAACCGATTAAGCATGCTTCTTTGTGAGAACTACCAGGTATTATCAGTTTTTCGATCGTCTGTACAGAAGGCCGTAAACTTGGCGGTGCGGCCCAGTAAAGTGTGCAGAGAAGATCATGATGATTTCTTAGTGCAGCCAATTCGCTCTCGTGGATATCTTTCTCCTTCTCATATTGCCGATTGTGATTTGGTAGAACTCTTGCTAGCATGTTTCTAGCATCTTTTGTCAAGCCGTGATTTTCAAGCCGCTTGATAGATAGTGCAAGAAGCTTCAGAAAGATATGAAAGCATCGATCTTCCGGTACGATAGCAAGCGACGGAGATCCTGCTAGATGCTCTAGGAATTCCGGTGATTTGTATACTTCCTCATTCCTCAGATGAGAGAGACCTCGAGCAGCAAAGAAATCAAAGATTGTCCCTATTATGCCATTGGACTTTCGCCAACCCCATTGTTCCACAAGATAGTGGCAACGACTGACCACACCTCGACAATAATCATTGAAACTGGGTGCTTGTCGGGAATTACTCTCATATAGCTGGAAGACCCGTCTGAGTAGTTTTTGCGGCAAGACCCAACCCTCTAAGGGGATAGTATGCCTGATACCCGGAACAACGACCCCAGAACTGTCAAATTCACCAAGGGGGAGTAAAGTAAACAGATCGTACCAGATACGCTCAAAAGTATGCGCATCGTTGACGGAGTTCAGATCCGTACTTGAGATGACAGAAGAGACAATATCCCAGAACCCGGACCTCGGAATACGAGACTCTTCGAGCACTCGGATGAGTATGACCCAGCAGATCACCGAATATTGCTCGTTCCGAATACCTCTTTCACGGAAGGGTATGCGTTGTAAATCATAGTACAAATTCCGTATATCTGCCAGATCTCTCGTAAGTAATTCACGAGCTGCCCTGTTGGCCATTTTGCCCAGTACATCTTCAAGTTGAAATGTCTCTGAGAGCTGGCTGAGACTATGGCATATCCGCAAGGTTTGAAATGAAATAACCAGACCACGACTCATCACATCTATCAGTAGCCGAGCCCGATCTTGAGAGTGGAACGGCGGAATCTCTAAGCGTTGCACGAAGGTTTGCAGTATTTCCAAAGCCCGACCCGCAAAATGTTTCTCGCTCTCCTCATCTAAGAAGCTTATGTGGTCCTGAAGATATTCCAGTACAAAGTCTGCAGCCTGTACCGGAGTTATACCCCAACTAAGGTCAGGAGACTCCGAGTGGAGATATTCCACTATCCAGTCCAAGACAATGCCTAATTCTGATGAAGTTTGAGCATCCCACTGACCCCACCGTAGTATCTTCTCACCGAGAACGAATATAGCACGGCCCCTCGGGTGATGAAAGCTATCACGGGACTTTTCGTCCAGCGCCTTGACCAGCCGGCCGCTCCCGAGAACTGTACTCTCATGGAAGAAAACACCAAGCTCAAGCGGGAATATCTCGAAGTGCTGGGTGTAATGTGTGCCGAATGGACCAAGTCCTAATAATTTGCCAGTGGATTCTGAGGCGCGCACCACTTCGACAATAGGACTTATCGGACTCACTTCGCGAGGTAGAGGATCATTAGCATGTGCATATTGGGGTGCAGTAGTATCCACATGTTGAGGCTGGAAATGTTTCCGGAACTTTAAACGCTTTCGTCCTGCTACGGGTTGAAGTCTTTCGGGACCATCACCAGACGACGAATCTCCAGTATGCTTATTAGAGCTTTCAGAAGATAAATTGTGACCTATAAGTCGTTCGAGTCCAATACGCGCTGGTGTGGGTAGTTCCCTACGTGACTTTCTATATAGTGCGTCGAGAGCTCTCTTCCGTGCATCAAAAGCGTGCCGCCCGATCTGTTCGCCAACTGCTTCAAGTTGCGCAGGCCGTGAAGCCGCGTTGAGGGAGTTGATTCGGCCAAGTTGAGAACGTTTCGGTAAAGAGGCTCCATGGTCCAATTGAGTATGTGTAGATGATGTTCCCGTTTCGACGGTCATAAAGTTGTCAATGCTCGCCTGTTTAACCATTCGCCGAGGCTGGGAAAAACGGCCCGAGGGCACAACACGACTTCGCGGTTTGGATATCACCTTTGGGGGTTGGGTAACAGAATTATGAGAAAGAGAACGAAGGGGCTTCGGTAACTCAATTTGAGACCTAGTCGAAGCGCTGGTGGTAATCTTTGGCTTGATACGACCCCTTTTCCAGTCTCTCAGGATGCTGGTAGCATCAATATTATCCTCGCGTGTCCCCAATGCAATATGTTTCTTCGATGGGCTCGATCTACCCTTGTCGGATCTTCTATTCGCTGTTCGAGCAGCTATGCGAATAAAAGGGGGCGCATTCGGTTCGACAACATCCAGGATACTGAGCTGGGGCGGCGGCGTAGATCTAGTTACTGCTCTACTAAGCCCTTTTGTGTGACGTCTTCCACCTGAACTATTCTCCGTATCACGTCTCTTAGCATTGGGTCGAGTCGTCGTACTTTTTGTCCTACTCAGCAGCCCAGTGATCCTCTGTTGCCGCTTTTGCTGGCCTAGATGCCCTTTAAATGTTGGTTGCTGATTTTTTCTCCGTTTTTTAGGTCGTTCTAATCCATCGGTATCCATGCGGGCCCTTTTATTCCCAGAGAGCATATAGTCGATCGAGTCATCTTCGATAACAGAGCCAGCATCGTCTTCAAAGATAGGGATATTATTGTTGTTGCTATTAAACTCGTGAAGATCATCAGCCCGTAAAGTCACATCGTCATCATCATCCGAATCAAGGAACAGTGCGGTATCAGCACCAGGTCGAGGCGAGACCTGCCGGCGTTGAGCTACACCTTTTCTCTGAGTCCGTTCCGGTGAGTGATCGGGGCTCTGTTGCGGAATATCCTGAGGGCTTTTCCGGCGCGTACCTGGCTGATCAAGTCGGAGCCAAGAAGCGGGCAATACGCCACGCATCTTTCTCCTCATCGCGACTCGTGCCATTTCAGTGTCGCTCTCGGAATCGCTAGATTCCGCGTCTTGCCCGCTATCAAGCTCGTCGCCGTCTTCGATCGTGATGAAGTCAATCAAGCCATTGCTCTCGTTTACTGGTGCAGGGCTTTGGTTCCTTGATGATATCGTACTGCTTTGGTTTGGTGTAAGTGTTGTGACAGGTCGAGAGCGTTCTGTGCTAGTGGCTGGCGTGCGGGTCATGAAATTTGGACTCGTTTGCGGCGGTGATGGTGGAACATTAAATACACTATCAGCTTGCGCTCGTGGCGAAACGGCCCTCGTGAACCTGAGAGGCTGGTGCAACTTCGGCAGCTTTCGTTTCCAAGAGGCCTTAGGTGAAGCCTGTCTCTTAGCGGCCATGGTTGATCTCTTTCCTAGCTTCCATTTGGCCGTGTCAGCGGGATCTGGAAGCTCGTCATCATCCTGCGAACTCCCAAATAAAACATTGGGCTCGGCACCTCTGCGTCCAGAGAGAGGGGATGGACTTCTGACTGTTGATAGCCTTTCCATATCGATATCCCCAGGTACATCAGGCAGATCAGGTAGATCAGGATGTTGGGATTGGACTATTTGACTATCCCCCGAATCCTCCTGAGCCAGCTCTCTGGCAGTAGATTGGCTTTCGTCCTCATAATCTTGTTCTTGGGAATCCTCCTCTTCCCTTCTTCTTCTCGCCGCCTCCTCGATTTGCATACGCAAGGGTCGCACGCCATGTGATTTGAGGGTCTTGCTATATTGTGCACTCTCTAGCAAGTAAGGGTGCTCTTGGATTGGTTTCCGTGGTCTCAGCGATCGCCCGGACCGAACTGCTTCCTGGATCGAATCCTCTTCGCCCTCGTCCGGTACATCTACCTCGAAGATTGCATTGACGAATTGCTTAGGCGAACTAGGAGAAACTACTTCCGATACTTGAGGCTCATTTAACTCGGGTCTGCTAGTCTCGACGGTTTGGGTTGAGTTCTCTGGGTTGACCTTAGGCTCAAGGGGTGGCGGCGATGAAAGAGGGGATGAATCGGGATAATTAATCGGTGCTAACTCGGAGGGCGCTTGTGGTAATTGCGGTCGAGGTGGACTGCGATTTACGTTATGCTCATTTTTAGAGACTTGAGATGATAATGGTATATCCCAAACATTTTGATCCTCTAGCGCTGGGCCCTCCACGATAGGTTCATCTAGGATACCAACGCTACTTTGCTGCAGTAGGAGGTCATGTTCAGATTCATGTTCAGATTCTTGACTGCTATCGAAGCCACTTTCGTCGTCCGAATCTGGCACCTCTCCAAGCTCCTTCCATTTCGCCATTGAGTCCGAGATGCATTTCCCTACATTGAAGCGAAGGGAAATTTAATCATGTTACGTAGGTAGATATATAAATTAGGCAGACGTTGCTAATAACGAAGACCTCAACGCGTCAAATACACTTAAACGCGTAAAAGGTACATGCACTTGGCGACTGGTGGGGCAGACTAAGGTATGTATCTACGTACCTACTTACCTAACAGTGACCTGTAACTTTAGGTTGTAAGTCTTCAGCATTCCAGGATTTGATTGACCATGTCATGGTCACATGACATGTGGAAGTATAAATACATCATGTGTAGCCTAGCGATCCACATTAGAAAGTCTACAATACAACTTCATTACAATCATTGTGACAGACCACCACTTAGGAGGTAATTCTTTAATGCATATCCTGATATCCCGGTACCCCAGGATAATGTGTAACCATTGAAGATATGCTATAATCAAATACAACCGATTTTCTTTTAACAATATTTCCTCAACACTAAGCCGATTATTACACCAAACATTATAACTTCGAAAGACACTTCCAACCTTTCTACCTCCGAAAATATATATGCTCATGCTATAAAGAATATGAGCTCATTCACTCGCGCCGCTCTTCCCATAGGTCTTGCTGTAGCCTTTGGAGTTTGGAACGGTATGAATTGGTCATAGCTCCTTTACATTGCACATATGATGATACTGAACCTCTTATTTAGCTTATTATGCACTAGATCCTGCTTTCAAGGAACAGCAAGAGAAAACACAGCAGCGCCTGGTAAAAGATAACCAGCAGCTAGATAAAGTGCCCGAAGTCAAAGACCTCGCACAACAGAAAACGCCCAAGACAGGCACTTCGCACAACCGCTAGCTATGTTCAGTCACTGAATACTCAGCGTATAAAATAATATCTATAACTTCTTACGAGGTCCGGATGATTCAAGCTTCGGGAATACCACTTAGACGTTATCTGAATTACACCGCCAGAGGTGAAGTTTACTGAGAAGCCTAATATACATCCCTCGCGCTTAATAGCAACGTTCTCAAGCTCATGGTCTATTTTTATTGTTTGATATACCAATGAACGCCACAAACACCTTTAAATAAGGTAAATGGTACCGGGACCATGGATAACCCAAAAGTGGTGTTGTCCTTTGAACTAAGTCGAACCGCTACGCTAACCCAGCGATGTGAGAGACTTTGGTTCTTTTTTATCAAGTCATTGGGTTAGACGGTTAATCATCGAGACAGTGGTTTAAGTCTAGGATGTTGAATAATAGCAATTGACAGATACTCCGGATATTAGTTATACTGTTTTTTATCTCTGACTCGAATATGCCTGTTAGTGATAATCTACAATATCCATTCTTATGAGTATACAAGCCTTTCAAAGAGATATTGCTCATCTCCATAGCTACCTATCTTCCTATTAAGAGATAATTCAAATACATGGAGAGCCGAGATGAATAGAAATATATTGGTTGCCGTTTGATAATACATCGCATGTAAATGACAGTGTGGATAGGGAAGTATCCATCAGTTCCCCGGATCCTTGTGTGACGTCGTACCTTATCTTCCATACTTGTTTACCTTGGTCCGAACTTTAGCCGTAAGGACCCTAGCAGCTTTTGGGCTAGAGCTTGGAATTTGCAAGTGTAAAAGCTTGCCTAAGGCTGCTGAGGCACAAAAACAGCTCCTCCATTGGCTCCACCACATCATACGACTACTGAATCTCAATCGAAAAAAAGACTCTCAATTGAATCCGGCCCAAAAAACGAAAGCTCCAACAACATCCGTCGTTCAGAACCCTCCCGCGATCCCACTCATCGTCAAGCAGGCCTCGCGACCGCCTCAATTGGCCCACATCTCCGCTCTCCCGACCGACTCAAACGGCATCGTTTAATTTTTGTCTTCTTTTTTTTCTTCAAGACATAAGTCACAATGATGCGCACACCCGCAACCTCGCTCCTGCGCGGCGCCCTCCGGGCCAGCAGAACGACGACTATGGTCCCCCGTGCTGCCGCCTCTACGCACGCCATCTCGAACCCGACCCTAGCCAACATCGAGAAGCGATGGGAAGGCTTGCCTCAAACCGAGCAGGCCGAGCTGTGGATGGCCCTGCGAGACCGCATGAAGGAGAACTGGGCCGAACTCACCCTTCAAGAGAAGAAGGCCGGTACGTAATATTTGCGATTCTTCGATATACCTAGCACCATTGAGTCTCGAGTTGGGCTTCAACACATCTTGCTTTACTGTTGGGCTATTAGGATTGGGGGTGCATGTCCATATACAACATTCCGGAATGAAGAGTGGATCCGCACGGCTTGATCTAGCCATTCACGATTCGCGTATTTGAAGATATCACGGACTGACACCCCTCAACAGCCTACTGGATCGCCTTCGGCGCCCACGGTCCTCGCGCTGCGCCCCCCGCCGATGAGGGACGCAAGGTCGCTCTATACACGGCACTCGGTCTGTTCACCAGTTTCGTTCTTTTCGCCACGATGCGCGCGTTCGGCAGTGACCCTCCCAAGACCATGAGCAAGGAATGGCAGGAGGCTTCCAACGAGTACCTCAAGGTGAGAAGGACCCCATTATTTATTCCGCCGCGAAATGGTTCTAAGCTAACATATAACAGAAACAACGTGCCGAGCCTCTTACCGGTATCTCGTCCGAAAACTACAGCGGCCCAGGCATGGTTCAGTCGCCGCCCAAGCACTAGACGTACTAGACCTAGCCTCTTTAATACCTACCAAACCAAACCTACTCTGGTCTCCAAAAGTCTTTCCGTTTGTCCGCATAGAACCGCAGTGCAAGGCATTAACCTCCATGTACAAAATAAAAAGCAACTAGAGTGGGATGGAGTAGTAGGCGGCGGGGGCGCATTGGCTATCCAAAGCAAAAGCAGTTTGACAATCGCAAGCTCGAGCAACAACAGCAGCAGCACATCAGAAATACCGATTTTTATTTCCAGCTGGGATCCGGTCTCCGTGCCTAGGAGAAGCAGGTTGGTCGACTGGATCATGCCTAGCGTTGTAAATATGTACCAGAGGAAACAAACCTTCTTTGCCGTTCTATAAATCCTCTATCGCGTTAAGTGCCACTGCTTGTGCTCTACTACTAACCAGTGCTTCTATCTTCAATATATATAATCCACTATTAAAACCAAAACCCGAGATAAGCCCCCCAGTAGAAAGATTGGCACGGGTATCCATAGGCACAATATAAATCCGTGATAATGAGGCGACTGCCCGTTTGAAGAAGTAAGCCAGTCATAAGTGCCTGTTTGCATAGCCATTTGATTAGATATTTACCTTACACAGAGTATAAGTTTAGATAGTCAGACACATACGCACACGTACCGCAGGACACAGGATACAGGATACAGTCGTTACTCAGATCGAATACGACAGTTATAGAGGTAGCTTAGTATAATCCCTATCCATATCCATGCATTATCCATGTAAATTCATAATCGAGGTCTATTTAAAGCTGTTTCAGCGACCTCTTTAAGTTATATAGTATATATATACCTATTTCCACCGCATACCCTATTGCCCTCCAATATCCCTAACACCAAACCGCCTAATGTAAGACGGCTATGCTGAGTATGCCCGAAGTCATAAGAACCCATTCCCTTATCAACACCACGCCAAGTATCCCAAACAAACCCCTTTGCAATGAGGCAAATACTTAACAATTTCAATTCCTATGTCCTTCAAGCGCCGCTCTGGCCAGCTTCGCGATAGTCGCCGAGACTGCTTACGATCTCCCTACCGTGAGCTTCTTGCCCCGGGACACCGGCCAAGCCATCTTCCTCACGTATCAGCCTCTCGACTTCGAGCCTACCGTCTTTACCCCAGTAGCCGACTTTCTCCTCGCCGCGCACGGCTTTCTCAGTGACCAGGACGTAGTGCGTAGGCGCGTCGAACATAGCCTCGGCCAACACGCGCTCCATCTCCATCTTGAGACCTCGCGCACCCGTCTGCGCTTTTTCCGCGCGTTCCGCGATAGCTTGCAATGCTTTCTGAGTAAAGAAAAGATTCGAAGGGTATGTTTCGAATAGTGCTGTGTACTGTGCGACTAGTGAGTTGCGCGGTTCTGTTAGGATTCTGAGAAGATCTGATCGCGACAGCGGGGATAGCGCCACAATGTTGTGCACACGTCCGATCAGTTCGGGGATGAACCCGAAACCTTGTAGGTCCTCGGACGTCGTGAGGTCCAACGCCGTTAGAGTCGCGGTATCTTCACCGTTCGGGGGGCGGTGGGGAATGTGATTGAATAATGCCGGCGGCAGGTCTGCTTTGCTTCCGGAGGTAGGCCGACTACGGAGCTCGGAACCGAAGCCCATGCTGGACTTGGATACTCGGTTCAGTATCACCTTATCGAGACCGACGAAAGCCCCGCACATTACGAACAAGATATTGCTCGTGTCGATGGTGTATTGATCCACCTTTCCAGCAGCAGGTAGCGTCGGTTGAGGTCCCGATATAGAATTTGAGGATCCCGGGCCGGTATAGTTAGTAGTGATCGGGCTTGCCGAACGCGATGAAGATGACGAGCGATTGTCCTTGACATTGATAGTAACCTTGGTCCCCTCAACCAGCTTTAACAACGCCTGCTGTACACCTTCGCCACCTACATCTCTCCCATTCATTGTCTCGCGTTTGGCAATCTTGTCAAACTCGTCGAGGACTACTATCCCTTGCTCCGTAGCTCTCACGTCGTAGTTGGACTCTATTAACAATCTTTCAATACATGTCTCGACATCTTGGCCTATGTAACCGGCTTGGGTGAAGGAGTTGCAGTCGCAGATCGTAAAGGGAACGTTGATCTTCTTGCTCAATGTTCTACTAAGGGTTAACTAAGGAGCATACGTATACCGGCAGCAAGTGGACACTTACTCAAGTATGTAGGTTTTCCCAACACCAGTCGGGCCTAATAGTAGCAAATTACTTTTATCGATCTTTACAGCCGGTGTTCGACTAGCATCTTCGGGTATATAGAAATCAACCCTCTGCTCAACATGTTGCCATTCCTGATGCATGTTCTGTATAGAATCATACTGGCCAGGATATTCATCTTCGGGTATATCGTCAGCTCGATACCGTCGAGTCGTTGATTCTAGATTAGGCCAACCTTCAACAGGATTCGGCTCCCTCTCCCTCTCCCTCTCCCTCGCATTACGATCGCGGGCAATAGCCTGCCGCATAAGCCTTTCGTCTCTCTTTCTCTCCTGTTCCTCTTGATGTTGCCGCCGCCGTACGTTCTGGTAATGGTTAAAGATGACGGAAGATATCGTCTTCTTTGCCCGATCTTGTCCGACTACATATTCGTCGACTCGTTTCTTGAGGTCTCGGGGGTAGAACTGAGGTACTCCGAAGGTGTTCTTCGAGAACATAGGGCCGCGCCCTTCTTCGTTTGGATCATAGCTACTCGTAAAGCCTGAGTTAAATTCCGAGCTGCGTCTCGCAATACGAAAGGTGGTGGCGGTCGACAGGGCTCGATAATGGGTTCTTGGAAAGATGGAAAGTGGCAATATGCGACGCCTTGCGAGGACCGACCTCATATTGGCGCTGTTAGAGGTGGTCCTCCAATGGATAGTTGTTATTTCTAGAATTTTAACGTTATAGTCCGCATGAGGGCGTACATGTGTCTTGAAAGGATAGGCACGGTAGATTTCGAGCCAATAAAATTAAAGCAGAATGTGACTATGACATGTATTCTGTATCGTACCTAAGGTACTAGGTATTCGCCTTTGAAACCGATAAATACTAAATTCGATATGATGCCTAGATGGCGTTGGGTTGCACCTATCGTAAAAGACGTTCTGGACGTTTGATGCTCCTGTATCGGATGCGTTATTGAAGCGAGATCCAGCAGCGATGATCCAACATATGGACTTGAAAGGAACGCAATTATGTAATGCGGGGCTCCATTTTGGCGGGGGATGCCTGTACATCAGTACATCATCTTAGGCCTAAGCCAAAGCCGGTGGGCTAGCGGGTTGCTAGAGCTTGGAGATTTTGGGTACCTACCTCTATGCGAGTAATGCCCCGCAAAGAGCTTTCAACTTTAAGCTCTATACGGAATATTTCTTAAAGTCGTTCGAACACCTATGAACAACTTAGACTTTATTTGACAGATGTGATGACATGGCATCTACGCTTCATTTACGAAATCCATTTTTTTCAGCCCAACATACTACTTCATTACTGAAAATACCAATCGTCTGTTACCTTGTAAACTGGGCAGAGGAAAAAGCGGAGAGCTAGAAGTTCTAGACATCGATTGATGGGTCCATATAGCAAAGATAGATCCACAACCACTGTACTACAGGTTATCTACTGGTGCAAGAATTGCCCCTCGACGTCATTCGACATGATTATTGGGCTGGAGGGGTTTTTTTTTTCTTTCTCTTCTCCTCATCTAGGGAAGCAATTTTGCGATAAAAATTAAATACCTAATGAGATGATTCGAGTGTATTGGGAATTTAAGTAGCGCGATTGACTCCTTAAATTGGGTTCCTTCCTCTAGGTTCTTTAGGTCCAGAGAGAAATAGATAGAGCAACAATCAAAAAGAAACAGGCACAACTTCCCAAACTTGCTCTTATCAAGCATAGCTAGCTCCCTTTCATCATAGCTTGTTTTCATCATAGGAGGTACATAGCTTGTTTAGCGGGGGAGCTTGGTCTCAAGCTAACCTTAACTAACGGGCCTTTCTAATTCATCCCATGCCTTCTTGCGCTTTACAACTCTTCAACTTCAAACGTCTTCTTCCTTTCCGTTTCTCAAAATCAAGAGTAACGGTTAACAAGATGACTGCCGTAGCCGACAACTCTGCAAATAGCCTTGCCTCTGGCTCTGGAGCTGCCCCAGGGATACCCAATGACGGCACCGGTGCGACTTCTTTTTTAATCCTACTATGTCACTTGTATAGGGTTGTCAGTTAACAGTATAGTTTATAGGTGTCATTCAGTTGGATCCTTGGTTATCACCTTTCCAGGATGCTCTAAAGCGAAGATACGCCAAAGCTCAAGATTGGATCAAAAAGATTGACGACACCGAGGGCGGGCTTAAGAAGTTCTCTAAAGTTGGTTTTTACTACTATCACATTGGGCACCAACCCGCTTTTAAGATTCAAGACTAACACATACATCTCTCTCAAACTTAGGGTACCGAGATCTTCGGCCTCAATGTTGATAAGGATAACAATGTTATATATCGAGAATGGGCGCCGAATGCTATTGAAGCTTTCTTGATTGGAGACTTTAGTGAGCACCAGTCCTACTAGGCTACATCCTAAACTGTCGCACTGACTTGATACAATAGATGGATGGAACAGAGGCTCTCACCCTATGAAGAAGAATGCTTTTGGAGTATGGGAAATCATTGTACCAGCAGTAAACGGACAACCAGCTATCCCTCACAATTCTAAGATAAAGGTACACAGCTTTATTCAGACAGTTAAGCTCTACATTTACTAAAGCTGGACGATAGATTTCCATGACGACGCCGTCCCACGAGCGAATTGATCGATTGCCAGCTTGGATTAAATATGTTACCCAGGATCTCTCCGTCTCACCTGCCTACGATGCCCGCTTCTGGAACCCTCCCGAGTCTGAGAAGTACGTATTTAAGAATACGAGGCCGAAGAAGCCAGCAAGTGCTCGCGTCTATGAAGCGCACGTGGGTATCTCCTCGCCCGAGCAGCGAGTCACCACATACAAGGAATTTACCAAGAGTATGTTGCCGAGAATAAAAGGCCTAGGGTACAATGTCATCCAACTCATGGCTATCATGGAACATGCTTATTATGCTAGCTTTGGATATCAGGTAAATAACTTCTTCGCTGCGAGCAGCCGGTATGGCACACCCGAGGACCTCAAAGAACTAATCGATACCGCCCACGGCCTGGGTTTGGTGGTCCTCCTCGACGTCGTGCACAGCCACGCTTCGAAGAATGTACTTGATGGCCTGAACGAATTTGATGGCTCGGATCACCTATACTTCCACGAGGGTGGAAGGGGTAGGCATGAGCTGTGGGATTCGAGGCTTTTCAATTATGGTAGCCATGAGGTCCTGAGATTCCTGCTCAGTAATCTGAGATTTTGGATGGACGAATACCAGTTCGACGGGTTCCGTTTTGATGGTGTCACCAGCATGTTATATCATCATCACGGTATTGGAACGTAAGATTGCACTTGATGTGATTATACGGGCGACTTGATGCTAATAGCTGATTTATAGTGGGTTCTCTGGCGGGTATCATGAATATTTTGGCCCAGACGTTGACGAAGAAGCTGTCGCCTATCTAATGATCGCCAATGAAATGCTTCACGACCTCTACCCCGAGACTATTACTGTTGCGGAAGACGTCTCCGGTATGCCAGCTCTCTGCTTACCGTTGTCACTTGGCGGCGTTGGATTCGACTACCGATTAGCGATGGCTATTCCAGATATGTGGATTAAGATTCTAAAAGAGAAGAAAGACGAAGACTGGGACATATCCGGCATCTGCTGGACTCTCACTAACAGGCGGCACGGCGAGAAGACCATCGCTTATTGTGAGAGCCATGATCAAGCGTACGTATTACTAGTAACGCCCCTTAACAAGAAATGACCAACTGACCCCTATCGATTCTAGTCTCGTGGGCGACAAGACCTTACTCATGCACCTGTGCGACGCGGAACTGTACACTAACATGTCAAAGCTTTCACCTCTAACCCCCGTCATCTCCCGAGGTATGGCGCTGCACAAGATGATAAGACTGTTGACACACGGGTTGGGTGGCGAGGGTTATCTTAACTTCGAGGGTAACGAATTTGGTCACCCAGAATGGCTTGACTTCCCACGCGAGGGCAACCAGAACTCGTTCTGGTATGCGAGACGCCAGCTTAATCTGACCGAAGACAATCTCCTCCGCTATCGGGACCTCAACGAGTTTGACCGTCAGATGAATTTGACTGAAGACCACTATGGCTGGCTACATGCACCGCAGGCGTACATCAGCCTTAAGAACGAGAGCGACAAGGTTATCGTATTTGAACGCGGCGGTTGCGTTTTTATATTCAACTTCCACCCCACCCAGAGCTTTGCCGACTATAGAATCGGCGTAGATGTTCCGGGCACCTACAAGATTGTGCTCGACACGGATACGAAGGAAGTCGGCGGTTTCGAGCGCAACGATCACAATGCCCGGTTCTTTACTACCCCGATGGAGTGGAATGGCCGCGGAAACTGGACTCATATATATATTCCCAGCCGCACTGCCTTGGTAAGCCTTCTAACTAGATGACAATTACTTGAACGAGTACACGATGGAAGCTAATTGATATGATAGGTCCTGGCCCTTGAAAATTCTTGAACAAAAATGAATCTAACAGCTAGGATTCAGTATGTTTGATTGTGAAAAAGCGAAGCGAAGCAGCAATTTTAGCGGAAGTGTAGGCTGGTTACGAAGGTATTGAGGCAATATGTGGAGGACATTATATATTCATGATTGGTAGATCATAGCCATGTAGATCAAAATTACTATTATTTTGGAAGAGCTACAATATGTATATAACAAAAGGGTATCGTAATATGTGTGGTATCCCAACTTGTTGAAGCATTGGATCTCTCTCTCGTGCTTCATTCCTCTTCACTCGACAAGCCATTCTTCAACCTCAACCCCCATACTCCGCCCAACGCCTCGTACGACTTCCCACCCAACACCTACTCTCCACTTCCCACCACGATCCATCGTATCCCCCGCGCCACCCGCTCCTCCGACACGAATAAGCAGGCGCAAACTAGCCAGTGTCGCAATCGCCATGCCGACGTCCCCGTCAACAGTAGGCTGGTTTTCTGCTCCATCATTCTCGTCGTTAACCCACTCCTGCCGTGTCGCGGCGTAGATAGCAACCATGCGCTCTAGCACAAACGCGCTAGGACCTAGTAGCTTGCGCGCGATCTTCCTGTGCTTGGCTTTCTTCGTGATGTGGTGCGCGATACCACCCCCACCACGACGCCGTCGTCCAGAGTACCAGGTGCTGAAGATGGTCTGGTCGTGGCGGGGCGCATTGTGCGAGGCCAGGTAGGCGGCGATTAGTAGGAGCCGGGCTGTTGGGGGGAGCAGAGCGGCTAGGTCCTTGCTGCTGCTGCGTGCTTCCTTCTCCCCGGTTTTTGCAATAGTAGAGATCGGTCCCTTGGCAAGTGTAATGCCGGGCTCGAGGACCGCTTCGTCTTGGAAGTAGGCTCGCGCGGCGACGAGCAGCTTCGTGAACTCCCGAGCGCGGTGCGTGCCTGCGGCGACTGGAGCGGTAAATCGAGGCCATAGGGCGGCGCAGGAGCGTGCGAGGCCCGGGAGAGAGCGCGACGCGGGTTTTGCTAGCGCGTCGTGGACGGCGGCTGTGAAGCGCGCCCAGAGGTCGGTTGTTTCTTGGGGTGTGGTGTTTGGGAGCGAGGGGGGGAGGTATGGTGGGCGCGAGAGGATTGTTATGTATTCGGATTTCGTGTACGGTGGGAAGTAGAGCTGCGGAACGGAGGAGACGCGGAGGAGGGAGGGGGAGGGGGCGGTGAGGATAAATATTGTTGTTAGGTTGGGGATCTGGTGAGGGTGTTAGCTTGGATTTTATATGTAGACGTGTATATACGTGGGTAGATATAGGAGGTGACGTACAATCTCAGAGAGCCTGGCTAGAGCGGGTAACAGAGTTGGCGGTGCCTCCCTCTGGCGATCGATACCATCGAATACCAGCACGAACCTCGAGTCTCTCTCTTGGGGTTGGTCGTACTTCAGCATCTTGGTAAGCTCGACCGTCAACGCAGCAACCGTCTCGCAGCGTCCAACCGTCGCCCTCCCCTCCCACTGCAGAGCATCACCCACCGCCCCAACAACCCGCTCGTATAGATGCCGCGCCGTGACGCATTCGACGGACTTCACGATGGCGTAGTTGAACATAGGGGCGTCGTCGTCGCTGGACGAAGCTGAAGATAACGCTGCGAGGAGACGCGCGGTGACGGCGCTCTTGCCTGTTGCTTCTGTGCCGTGGATTATTAGGTTGCGGCATGGTGCGGCTCGGGGGTAGAGTAATGTTGCTAGAGCTCTGATCTGGGCGTCGCGGCAGGGGAAGCTTTCGATGAGGGCGGCCAGGAGGTCGTCTGGGAGCTCGAAGATGTTGGCCATTGTTCGGGTTGGACTTTGTGGACGCGCAGGATGGTTTATCTCGCGTCGGTGGAAGGCAATGCTTTCACACAGAGCTTCGTATTATCTTGAGAGATGCGGTCTAGTATCTCGAATTATGTCCGTACGTTATGTGATATATGTAAAAATGAAAAATATGTAGCTATTAGGTATTTTGAAGTACTTCGTAGGGAAAGAAAGTTGAGTTTAGCGTGCCAAGGCTGCCTAAGGGAAGTCGGAGCAGAAAATATTAAGTCAGCATCTTAATGGCCTGATATAACGGGATTACATAACATCAAGTCCTACCTGTTTATCCCTTTGATCATTTCCGACGACTTTAGATCCCTTCATATTAATAAGAATATATTGTGCCATACGATACGATACGTACCTAGGTACTTAATGTAAGCCATACTAGATACCGACAGGCATATGTAGATGCGTACAAGATGCCATGCACGCTGCATCTTCCCTTTTATCATAATTAAAGCTTAAAGACTAAAGATGCCGTGCAGGTATATGTATGTGTAACTGAACGTTATCCGTGCGCTATCAAGGGAGGCTGATCCCCCTTCATCGCATGGTTATGCTAATACCCATGCAATTACATATGGTGACGCGAATCAGTAAAGCATCGGCGGGGAACAGCAATGCCTCAAGCGCTACGGAGCATGTTAGTGGGGCTCTGTCAGACCTGGGCATGTAGGTAATGTAGAATAGATAGAATAGATACATACGTCAGTGTCAGCAATAAGCAGTAGCCACTGCCACACTGAACTAGGTAACATCGGGAAACTAGAGGAACTAAAGTAAGGAAAGTGATAGGGGAATAAGTTGCATTTAAGGATCATTTAATTACGCGAGCTTTCTCCGTTAACTTTTGTAACTTGTAAGTCCTCCGTACATATTTCATTGCTTTTTTCCCAAGTACATCCCCCCCTACGTAATTCCTGCAAGCTTGAAGAATAAGGCGTTTCCACAATACGAATCCGGTTACACTTATAATAGAAAAAGAGGCGTTTACTAGAGGTATCCAACAATGATGCCAAGCTGACTTAGCGCAGCCCGATTGATTAGACGAAAATGGACGGAGCAGACGTTGAATCTCCAGATATTGATGCCTGCCTAAACGCAGAGCTAGATATAAGCTTCACCGTCGACGATAGCAGCCTTACGCATCTCGCCTCTCCGCCCGAGACCGATTCCTCTAATAGTAAGCCCTCCGGAGATAGTCCAGATTCTGATAGACCTTACCATTCAAAACGGCCTCACAAGAAATCTCGAGCCGGATGTCAGCAATGCAAAAAGCGTAAAGTAAAGGTAACAGAGTACTGCACATAAATAGAAGTCTTAAAACACTAATGCGTGGTCCAAGTGCGACGAGACGAGGCCAACATGTAAAGCATGTAGGCTTCGAAAGGAGAAATGCATATATCCAGCCACCTCGGCTTCGGCCTCGGCAGCTCTATCTACAACCCTAGTCTCCAGAGCCACTCCCATCTCTAACGTTTCTTCTCCTATATCTTCCCCTCGGCCATCCTTTAATGCCAATGCCAGGACTATAGTTATTTCCGAGCCTCTATTTCGGCCATCCGAGATGACTGACGCTCTAGATATGAAAATGCTATGGTTCTATACTAGCCGAGGGTATCAGTTCTTCTCAATCCAGACCGGTCGTTCTCCAGCAGTTGATCATGCGCTGCAGGTGAAGGTTGTCCAACACGCTTTCGAGTCTCCTTTTCTCATGGACTGTTTGATGGCAGTTTCGTCATTACATCTCCAATCAATGAACCAACCTATTCCAGTTCAACGCATAGCAGCTTATTGCTGCAGAGCTTTCCAGGGCTACCGGAATGCTATTGAGGCAGCAAATCCAGCTGACTTTCCCGCTCTCATAGCATGCTCGCTTCTGATGGTGGCTGTGAGTAGTCAGGCGTTCCGGGATCCGGATGCAAAGCCGCTATACGTGGTGGATTGGATGCAAGTCTGGCGAGGAATCAGCCTCATCTTTGAGATCGTCACGCCACGAGTCCTCCAAGAGTCAGGGATGGCGATGCTATTCTACCGACCACCAGTAGACCTGGAGAAGGCGGCCTTGTACATACCGAACAACTTACTATTCATGGTAGCCTCTATTAAGCCTGGTGATACCGACGATGAGCATCAGCAAACGTATTATGATATGCTCAAATGTCTTGGCTCGCTTTATCAAGAGATCAAGGAGCACGGATTCAGTCCTATCCTCGATCTTCGCATCGTCACCTTCCTCAGTACGTATCCGAGTTCATACTAACCAATCCCGATTCAATATTGTTTAAGGAGTCAGCTCTATTATTTCGTAGCGATCTCGGGCTTAGAATGGTCCGGGCGCGGCTTGAAACTCATAACCACTCAAGTTATTAAAGCATTATGTGCTAACTTTGGACCTTAATAGCATTCGTCCCAAAGGCATTTATTCCACTTGCTAAGGAGCATCGACCTCGGGCCTTGGTCCTCTTGGCTTATTATCTGGCTTTCTCTAAATTAACTAAAGGCGTGTGGTGGGTGGATGGTATTGCAAACAGAGAAATTGGGCACATCTGCAAATCCATTGGTGAAGAATGGGCGCATCTACTACGTGTACCCCAGATGGTCCTCATGACAGAGGATAAAGTCGAAATCGCGCAGTTACTCATCAACAATCGAAATTGGACGCCCGCCGAGATGGATCGATATGAGCGAGACCGAGATCCTAGGTTAATAACCGATCTCAGGCTATTCGATAACCAGGGCTCCGAAATCGATATTTCCCAGGGCGAGTGGATGATTAAAACATCTACTCCAATCTCAAATTATTCAAACACTAATATACCCAAATATTTAGATCCGTATCCCGAACTCTCTAGTTCGGTTGCAGAAGTCATGTCCAATCCATCATAGTTGGTCTCGATTCCCTTCATACCGCCGGAATGGAAGCATTGGCTTAAATCCTATTTCTATAGGACACAGGATTTAACAATAGAGACAAGATAGCAAAGTTATAGACCCAGGTTGGAAAAGATGTTGCAGTTCATCGCATAGGAGCCAAGTAAAAAGGGGGGACTCCGATATAGACAAAATGACATCTTATGTTGGAAGCGTGTCAAAACGTCCCCCTTCAATTTTAATCGACAAACTTCATCTGTATGTACAACTAAAGCACCGTCTCACTTCACATAGATACATGCTAATATCGGTAGTCATACCGCTCGGTATCCCGCCACATCACAACCCGAACCATATCTCACTAGCTGTCAGATTGGACGGCACGCTGTGGCCTACGCCTTGTGCGTAAATGCCCTGGACAGAGTCGCCGAAGTTGTTCGTCGTGTATCCCTGCTTGGGAGAGTTTTGCACAGACTCCGTAGGGTCCTGGCTCACGTTGAAGACAGCAGTCCACTGCTTGATCTCCTCCTGATAGTTCTGCGGCGCCAATGTACCGTCAGCGCTACCGTGCCAGATCTGCATCTTGGGCCTCGGTCCTTCGTATCCGGGGTACATGTCCAGCACTACCTGCTTCCACTTCTCGGGAGTGGCTCGCGATTGTCCGCCGCTGCAGCTGTTATTCCATTGGTCGACACCGCCGGACGAGCTGACAAAGCATCCCGCGGCCACGCCGCTGTACAAGGACACGGCTTTGATAAGCTCCGGGTATGTGGCAGCAAGTACGTTGGACATCATTGCACCGCTGCTGCCGCCGGTGACGTAGACCCGTTCGGGGTCAATCTTGTACTCGGAGATAGCGTACAAGATCATGTTTGCGATGGCTTGGGAGTCACCACCACCAAGATGACTCAGGGATTGCTTAGATGATACATCCCAGCAAGTCCCGCTGTTAGGAGAGGATGGCCAAACGGTGATATAGCCCTTCTTGTCGGAACCCTGGCGCCACGGAATCGCGCTGTTCTGGAAGTACGACTGCGCCGACGACTGGCACGAGTGGATGACAACTACTAGCGGCGGGTTCTCGACCACATTGTCCGGCTTATAGACGTACCTATCTCTGTCAATTCCATGGTAGGGAGAGTGGATAGGAAGATGCTTACATCTGCGCTTTAGATGTCGCGTTGTTGTTGTAATTCGAGACCTGCGTGAGCGAGGCCGCCATGGCCGTGCTAGCCATAAGGCCCGTCGAAACGAGTGTGGAGAATAACATTGTCTCTTGTCAATCCAAGAGGCACGAGGCAGAAACTTCAAACCAAGAGAAAGGCTGGTCTACCTAAAAACTAGCATAACCCCATTCTTCCCCAAGACACATGGCGGACGGGCAATATATATAAGAGCCGGCAAATCCCCCCTGTCGTGACGAATGCCACGAACAACAAGCTTTTCTCGGTTCGCTTCCCCGCATCCAATAAATTGCCCTTGGATCTTCAATGCGCTACCGCCGCCATGATAGGGGGAAGATTTGTCGTCAGATGGAAACGGGGTAAAGTAACATAACAGCTACCTAGTAGTGAGGAAGAGAAAGGCAATTTCCCCAAGAGGAAAATACTTGCATGCATATAGTGCCGGGAGATCAAAAACGTGGCGAGCGCCACGCAAAATTGCCGTTTATACAAGCTTTGCGATCGCCGCCCCTTATCCCTCGGCTAAAGTGGCGGCTACGGTGCTACTTAGGTATTCGAGTGGTTATTAAGTGGGCGCTGTTCACCCCCTTTTCTCCCGTGGAATTGGTAATTGGAGCGCAAGGAAGAAGAGCTTGTTGCTTCTCCACGTTTGTTGCGTGGTTGGTGATGTAGTTGATATAGGCTCGGTATGGTCCGTGTATATTTATTTATTCTCTTGTATAATTTTTGAGGAAGATGGGAATTAGCAAGATGTTCATTAACCGCGAATTATAAAGATTTATACGGCAAAGAATAGAAGAGAAAGAAAGCCAACTAATTATGCACATTCACAGCAATATTATCTTCTCGATCTGCATTTGAATCATGCATCCATCTCTACGTTACGTCCTAGTCAAACTCACTAACCAGATAGATCAAGCAGGTTCTCTAGTCCAAGCACTTATAGAGGCAACGAAATGGTATGCCCATAGAGCAATTCAAATAGTGGCGGCCAATAGCGCATTTTATTTATGGTTCGTATCTGACAAAGTCTACATATTCCTAAACAACTATGGATTCATGCTTGGCGATGACATCCAAATTGGCAGCATCCACAGGCCAACACTATCCGAAACAGTGTGTGCTGCCATGCCTCTGCGTCGTAAACTAAACCCGTAAAGAAACCCGTAACCAAGGCCACTATCACAAGAAATGACATTGCCAAATACTATCGGCGCATTCGTCCTCCAGTAGTGGTCTTGGGATGAAATCCGTTCTCCTTGCGAAATCAACCACACCGATGGAAGTGTTTGGGAACACTTTCTCTTCGTCCGACTTCTGGAATCAAACTGACAGAATCCTTCCTTTTTTCCCTCTTTTTTTTTTTTTTTTTTTTTTTTATTTCTTCGTCATAATATCAGTTTTGGGGGTATCAGCACACAAACGAAAAAGCCTCCTATTAGAAGAGGACAGACGGAGAGGAAAGGCCTCGGGCCGTAAGATTACTAGTCATCCTCTTTGTCATCATCATCATAATCGTAACTGTGGCTCTCACTATAGCTCTCGCTATCATTCTTCGGTCTGGGACCTCTGAACGTAGTTCCGGGGGGGTGCTCATCCAGACGGAACTTGCAGTGCGGGTGCAAGCATACGCCATTATTAACGCAAGGACACTATAGGTATCTGTTAGCTACTACTCACGGCGCTTCTCAAACTATTGAATACAAAGAAATCACAGAGTACGTAAGATGGTAATTTAGTCATTATAAAGAACTTACATGGTGACCGTAGATGCAGTCGGGGTTTTTGCATTCCTGTCCTGAAGTGCAGCGGTTCGAGCGGGCAAAGACGGCAATGGCTTTCTTCTCCTCATCTGTGGGGTTATAGTCATGCGTAAAATTGCATTCTTTACCCCTAGTACAAGGTCCTCGAAGGAAGTGGTTGTTACAAAGCCTGTGACAGTCCTTTCTCTTTCTAAGACGCTCTATGACGACTGGGTCGACTCGGATAGGCGGGTCCAGTCCCCGGGGTCCCGGGTTCCACGGCGCTGGAGGTGGCCGACTTGCTCGTGTTGGAGTGGCCGTTGCCCTGGGAGGAATCGGCAGGCTGATCTGAGGGGGTGGGCTTGGCACTGTGCGGGCGATGGCTGCCCATGAGGCGGCATTGGACACCTTAGGCAGCTTAGCTAGCTTAGACTGAGAGGGGGAGGGGGAGGGTGCTGGTGAGGCTTGTTGAGATGGTTCTTGCGGTTTTTCCGTTAGCTTCTCATGGCGGAAAAGCCTTGGGACATTGAAAATTTGGAGACCTAGAGCAACAAGTTCCACAACAGTCTTAGTTCCCTCAAGAAGGGCCATACGTTCCTTAGTATCGTCGGTAACCATATTTGCTAAGAACGGAGCATAACCGGCGTCGTGAGAAATACCCAAAACTGCTTTCTTGCAGTTGAAATTTTTCAAGTGAAACCTAAGAGAATCTGTCGATACGTTAGACAAAAGCCCTTGCTCTTAGGAAAAGAAGTGTATAATAGAGGGTAAATACCTAGGATCTTCGCATCAGCTAACTCCTTACCAAACCCAACGTCCACGAAGGTAGAAGATACGTTGGCCTGGTTGAAGCCCATCACAAAATTGTGCAAAGCATTGTTGTCAGCAACACAACCATCACGCTTCATAGCTTTGCCCAGACCAGTGACGTTGGCAAAGACATTAACAATAACTGTGACTGGAGTGGTTTCAGTAGAGTTAAACTTCTCATTTATGGCTTTGAGTAACTCATTGGCTGCCATCTTTCCGCCTTCGATACCCTTCTTAACGAAGTTATCCTTGAACTTAAAGTCGAAAGTGTGTTAGCTAATGCGTTACTATAGGTTAGGTAGGAGCAAATACTTACAATTAATCCATCTCCATCAATAAGGACGACGATGTAAAGGTTGCGATCCTAGAAATGAGAGTTTAGTTGATTGTTACTTAAGGAAAAATGTTAAGCTAGAAATAAGTATGCAAATACCGGAACATAACCCAATTTGGTTTCCATCTCATCCAGTCTTTGCTTGAGATCTCTTCGAGTCCTCTCCGAGCTATTGAGGTCTAGCTGCAGATCACTAGCTTTCTTTTCCAAAGTGTTGAGTTCCTGGTGGAAATACGTCTCGACACTGTCATTATACTGGATGAGTTCCTAGATATAGTAATAAATAATTAGTAAACAGCAGTGCCATATTTAGTTTATGGTCCGCGGTCGGCGATGCTAGAGACGTACCCTAATCAGGAGTTCATTGCTTGCGTGATGCTGACGCGCCTCATGATAGCGCGCCGCAAAAGCTCTGAGGTTGCCCGGCTTTCCAGGGTCGTACTTGGGGGTATTGGGAGGATCCATTTTCTAAAACCTACGACAAGCTAGGTATACAGAGACTTAGAATGCTTAGTATGAGCCGTTGTGAAGTTTCTATGTTCACTGCGATAGTAGAAAAATGTTGATGGTATTAGAAAATTACCGACAGAGGAAGAAAGGAAGAGTGAAGAAGGGGGAATAGTTATGTTTTTAAGTTGAAAGAGTTGCCGTTTCGTAAAGGCAGTCGCGATTCGGAAGGCAGTCGCGGTTTCCAACCGGTGCTTTGCGGATTCCGTACTGAGGCAACCGCGACTGGTCAAATGTAAGTACCTAACCTACTTACCCAATACAGTTACAACAGGATAGAAAGCTTTCAAAATAACAACACGTAAACGATAAATACAATTTCTGTCAGGTAAAATCACTAGCTTTGTCTTATTCTAGAATGAAAGCTGTAACCCAAAAATTCCTCCGTGAAAATGAAGCGAAGATAGATGAGGCTGCAAACATGAACAAACTCCAGGAGATAATGAAGCTCAAGATACGTATAAGCCATCAAAAGTAAAGTGGACCTTCAGCTCGTGGTTTCCCTGTCTGCTGTCCTGCAGGGACCCGAACGGTCTGGGGTAGTGGGTTACTACCTGATTGGCCTAACGTCTTTCATGTGCCTTAAGATCTCCCGCAGGCTAGCAGCCCTACGATCAGGTACACTAAAGCTTCCGCCGGCATACCTTAGGTAATTTAGTTTCATTGAGGTACATGTATATATCCACCTTCCACTCTCTGCATATTCTCCCGTTTACTTCTCCTCTTTTTAGTTAAAATCTTTATATCCGTTGCTAGCTCTAAGAAGGAAAGCAAATTGACACAAGTGACTCTTTTACTTCGTTTGGCACCTCTAAAGCTAGCTGCCGATTCACGGGATGGATACACTGCTTTACTTAGATGAAGTGATGCCTTTACCACTGTTGGAGTCTGGAGTTACATTGTGTTATTGTCATCCGCATAAAGATTAGGTCATACAAACAAACTTGGTACCCAAGGTGCATTTTACAAACATTTACATGAAGTTCCTTCAAGATAGACGTAGCTTTATATAGCATCAGTCTTCCATTTATTACCATTTACGTCATACGTATATGTTACTAATACTCTGCTTAAGGTAACTTTGATTGTTGGGATACTTTGTTATTTCGAACTGTTGCACAAAATGTAGACTGTTGTTCATAGGTGCCTGCTAATGACTCTGATGTATATTAGTCGTTGTGTAAACTACGGAGTAATAGTAGCAGTATAAATACATAGCTCATACTATTACTTGGACTGACCACGTATATGTGGTTGACTCAAATAAGCACAACGAAAACTACTCAAGCATACCACGGCCATTAATGGCATATGTTCGATGTCCGGGTCATGATCCGGTGCATTTGTAACCATCTGGTGTACGTTATGGTTCCGCTTCCACCATTCTAAAAAGAGACCACCGAAGAAATCAGCAACGATGATGCTGAGTCTCACAAGGCTCCTAGCTATTGTTAAAGCTTAGCTTTTCCTGACCTATCTCTAATGTAATAGAATATGTGCATTCGATATAATTCAAAAGGATATCCCGTAATAGATCGTGAAGAGCAGAATAAGATGTTGATAGTAAGAGTGAGACGAACAAAGAAAAGAAAACACAAAGTTAAAGTGGCATCGGTAAAGGTAAAGGTAAAGGTGCTACAGCCAACTCGCGGTGGAGAATGTTACCGCTATAAGTAGATCAAACTCTTAATTGGCCTGTTATTAACAAGCTTTACACGCATAAACAGTGCTGCTCTTAACCCCCTTTAATAGAAGAAAGCTATTACATAGTGCTCACAGCTACTCCTCACAACAACAACCCGCCGATGGAGAAACCAAAAGGACAATCATCACAAGAGGAGTAAGTCGACGTTACGCAGAGCCAGCTAGCTAGCCAGCTTCCACGCTCCGACTTCCGCAGGCTTACAACACAGCATAAAAAGCAGAGCACTCCCCATCCCTTCCCATTCCACTCCGCCCAAAGTTCAAACACTCCCCTCTCCCCCTCTCCCCCTCTCCTCTCCCCTAAGCTGATCCAGCCGATCCCAACACGTGCCCCCCATCTTACGCTCGCTAGAAGATACCTACCTACCCATGGCGATCACCCGCCTTCTCCCGCTGTACCTCAGCGGCTCAGCTGCCAACACCATATCCCCCGACGCAGATAGCGGCCAGCCAGCCAGCCAGCTAGCCTTGTACAACACCAACCTCCAACCCCCCGCCCACGATCCACTCTCTCTCCCTACATAGCTAAACCAGTGGGTCCCACCGCCCAGCCCATCGAATAGGGGCGTCGCCACCGGTCTCGCCCCTAGGTTCCGTATGCAGGTAATCGTCTTAGCGCGGCGGGAAGGGCAGCAAGGGGGGTTGGCAGTGTCTATCTCCCTGTCTAATAACTAACTAGGTATATACATAGTAGCATGTGCGTATGGCGGCGAGTTGGATCAAAGCCCGCAAGGAAAGTCGTAGCGACGCAACGAAAGATAAGACAAGATGGACATATCCCGTTCGGCATCATCTAGCGTTCACGACATACACACCAACATACACAGCTACTATACTACACCAAATCAAATCAAACCAAACTCAACAAGCCCTCAGAGCACAATCATGATCATGAGCACATGTGTTCCACAAGTTCCCCTCGATACTACGTCCATCTACATCTACGCAGCATAACTCACCGTCCATCCGCTCCCAAAGCAAAGGCATTCATTACCCGGTCGTACCACGCAGCCAATCTATGTGATATATCACCTAGCCTAGCCCAGCCCGAGACGCTGACAACCAACTGACAGAGACATTCGGTGCGGTTACACCCTTACTAGCTGCAGAGCCCGTTGGACGAATTATTGCTATTACCTGACGAGTTACCTATCTCGGTGGAGAGCACGCTCGTTTATGTATGGGACGCGCGACCCTTAAAGCCGCCATCGGCCTTAACAACCTACCCATCGGCCGGCACCAAATTTCGGACTTAAAGTTTCAACATTATAAAGGGATCGGCTTGAGCCTAGGCGGCCCTTCTAGGATACTCTTATTGATCATTTGGCACACTCCAATTTTTTTTCTCTTATTCGAATCACCAAAGATTGGGGGGATATCACAGCCCTGAACCATTTCGTCTGCATACAAAAAACGCCTAGCTTCGTTCTGGGTCTCCGTCATGTCGTATTATATCTTATCATCCCCAACGCCGCATATCAATCAGCTCGTTGTCAGTAAGTAGGAAATTGGTTTAGTATATTCCATAACGTGTCGTTACCAAATTCACCTCCGAATTGCCATGCTGTTTGCTCCTCTCCCGTGGGCCCTTCCGCTAGGCTAGGTGCGAGGTTACTACTACTTGTCGTCCCTGGGAAACTTTCCGGCCAGGTCGTCGGCGGCCCATCGCCACCCCGCACGGCTTGCAAGTCATTATATGCGATGTCTCCCATGGGGTACATGGGCATGATCGCGCTGAAGTCAAAATTGGTTGGTAACGTCCAATCCCCGCTTGCGAAAATATTGTCGGACGTCCCGGAGGGGGGCGTTACGCTAGTACCGGAGCTGATACTGCCGTCTCGCTCCCCTGCCGGCGGCGGTGCTGCAGAGGCGCCGACATTCGACGTACTACTCGGGTTTTGAGGCGAGGGCTCTGATAGAGAGTTAGGCGTATGCATGTCGGAAGAGCTACTGGAGGTTCCGCTGCTCGTAGAGCTGCCACCTGATTCGCTAGTGGTCTTGACCGACAGGCCAAAGCCTACAGCCTTCTTGAAGCGGATGTATATAGCACGCAATACACTCAAGGCGGCCTGGGCAAGTCGATTTCGAGTAGCCATCTTCTCGAAGCGCTCGATTGCCCATTCAAAATGTTGCCGCGCCCCCGGCAACATCGCCTGGTGCTCCTTCGGAAATAAAATATAAATGGACGCTATCATGATAATGGCATCGAATGTACCAAAAAAGAGTGTGAAAGTCTTGTGTTGCTGCGGCTTCAGAAGAGCAAAGTAAATCTTCTGTGCTTCCAGCATGTCTAGACTTGCCTTAAGCGCCTCGTAACGGCTAGTTGGCCGTGTAAAAACATATGGACGATGTAGCGCCATAATGTTAAAAGATATGAGCTGGGGTAAAGTCGGCCGAACGAATGGTAACCACCAGCACTCCGGAAGGCTGTCGAATCGTGTGTCCGGATTCTCCATGCGGAAGGGTGGTGGGGTACGGGTATAAAGTTCTAGCAACTCTCGGTGGATCTTTTCGACCCTGGAAAAATCCTTTGGAAATGGCCCTTCCTTCTCTAGGTCTAGAATATCCCGTAATGGCCGCATGACCTCCCATGACCATATCGCTCGTGTCAAAGGCGTAGGCGGATCATTCTCACCACGCAGTATTATAGGTGATTTTCTCGTATCCTTGGGAATAATCGAGTCGATAGGAAGACTTCGATTCATAAGGCGGTAATCCACGCTGGTAGGCCTACCAAGTACGGCGCCGGTATGTAAATCCCAGCCGAGTAAAGTCATCCAGACCCTCCGGCGACTTTGTGCATCCCACATCTTTTCCAAAGCCTCTTCCGTAGAGTCATCTGGCTTTGGTTGAGGATCCATCTGATCTCGATGCAGGCCAATTTCTTGCGCATCTCGAATACTAGTCCCCACTTGATGCCACTATTAAGACATTAGAATGGCAAGATGACTTGATATGAAATTAAGAACTTACAGCCTCAGTGACCATGCCGGTATACTTGAGGAAGGCGGCCCTTACCCAGCCGGCTAATACCGTCATGATAGACATTTGACGCTTGCCTAAGAGTGCTAAGATAGATATACCCGACTCACTATAGTCAAATGCTAAATCGTCGAACGTCATGTTGCTGGTATATTTTAACGCCTCAAATGTTTCTTCCATACCCTCGGGAAGGTATAGGAGAGAGGAGGCTAGCATTTGGAATACGAGAGCCGGAAAAGCTCTTAGGATTGGATCCAAAGCTTGCAGACCTGCCGTTGATAGGACGTTGAACGGTACACTATACCATCTCTCTATCAACTGGTGAAAGACGGGTTCATCAATACTAAAGTACTGCCAATTGATATCTCTGAAGTAGATGGCCGCCAACTTTTCGACGTAGGTCCTAGCCGGCAGCAGGCGAATCAAAGTCTTATATCGTTCGCGCATGCCATAATTATCACCTTCAAATCTCTCAGATGGCATTCCTGCTAATGGCTCCCCATTACTTTCGATCTTGCGCAATATCCCAAGGGTCGATACGCTATTAGAGGAGTAGCCGAAGTCTGCGGTCTTGACGGGCACCGATATACTCTCGAGCGAATCGGATGGGCGGTCGTGGGCATTTTGAGATAGTCCTTTTCGATCGGACTTTGTATTAGGCGTCCCGGTCTCGTACCGACAGACGGTTGCCTTATTTCGCGATACGCAATTCGTACATGGCATCTTCCGATCGCACTAGAAACGGCGTTAATAGGTTAGGGCGTGTTATGTTGTTGGGCTGGCAGGGGGGGTCGTTTATCACCTTCTGTTTCCTCCGATGACACTCGGTGCAGCTGATGACAATCCGCCTTCGTTTGCGAGGTGGCGCTTTGCTGTGAGGCTCTTGATTTGATTTGGAGTCCATCTGGACGGCGCTTTCGGCCACTTCGGCGGCGGACATGGCGATAAGAATGTGGACAAATTCGAAAGTTTTGTTGTAACGATGTGACCCGACACAAGATTGTGAATTGAGGGGAAATTGAACAGTATGTGTGTAGTAGATGTGGACGGAAAGTTTGGTTCTGCTCTCCCAAGTGCCCACGGGATTGCGCGGTGTGAATCGTATGGACGGCTAAGTACCTAGAGGGCTAGGTTCATATGTGAAAGAGACAGAGAGCGGCACAGAGGATTTTGTTCCTTACAATGCTTACTTGCCCATGTACCTGCCTACATTAAGATATGTACAATCTTACGTTTATGGTACCTAGCCTACTAGGTAGCATAAAATTATTGTAGCCCCCGCTCTTACAAGGTGTGCATATGTGTGGTGTGTGGTGTGTGGTCTGCAATAAGAACGTGGGAAACCCCGACCGACGATTCTTTCCTTGAAGCAGCAACCGCTATACCGTGACATTGAAACAAACTCTATATACATCGGCGTAGTTACGTTATCTATTTCAGGTACTTAGTACATCAGCAACTCCCGGAAGTTGCCAATTAACTAACGAAAAGTATCCCAGTTATATATATCAGCAGATCAAAACTTACTAAACATCCAGTTTATACCATTTTAGGAATGGTATAGCACTATGGACCAATCACATTCAAAAGAACAACGTTTCTCTGCCTTCCGGAGCTGGCTTTTCCCCGCTAAGACCGTTGTCCCCGTGCTTAATCATCCGCAAGTACTAAAGAGTGCTGGTAGGGTAAGCGGGTAGGCCTAATGTAGGGACCTATTACCAGACATATATATATGATACACGCATGTACGGATTATAGCCCCCAGCACCTGCATCGCTAGCATCGCCAACAGGCTTCCACGGAAGTTTCTGACTTAAGACGAACTAGAGCTAATCAATCGCCATGTGCATTGGAGCAACTTGGTTGGCCAAAGTCATATATGCTATAAGAAAGTTACGGCACATACCGCACCAGACCCGCACATTGCGCCTCCCCGCGACTTACAAGCATTATAGACGAATCGCGCGAAGATGCGTATAAAGCGAGTGCTGGCGTGATAAAACTCGTTGGACAATTTTTATGTCCGCATATATTATCACAAGTGTATATATCTTCAGCATCACGGTTATCTGGAATCATCTCATCTAGCAAAATATACAATTGAAAACAATAGATCAGCAGTTCTTATCTCAAGAACCCTAAATATACGCATTTAGCATAGGCAACTCACATAGCCACTCACATAGAGAAAAACTCCACCGTGATATGCTAATTAACATAGAAAACAGTTGAATATCATCTGGTATGACTTAACTCTCTCTCATAGCCCTTTCCAATTTTTTAGTTGACCGGGATCCCCGAATGACAATGATGACTATCTTGTGTAAGCCGAAAGAACTCCAGGCTCCGGGACGAATGTATCATCCATGCTTAATATAGATCCGCCTGATGCGAAACATCTCTTTACTTTCACGCCTGCTGTTCTATCCGGCCGAGATATGCTTTCCATGCCTTTCTTCGATACCGTTCAGCTTCCACCTGTGGAGATGCCGCCTTGAGAATACCTCGTCCCACGATGACAATATCGCTACCACACTGTCCTACAAGCTTTGTGGGTGTGTTGTATTGTTGGCCAAGACCATCGCCCGCAACGCTACCGTCTTCTTCGCTTTCGTCGGGGGGTAGTTGGCAACCTGGAGTCATAGAGATGAAGGAATCTGTGTCTTCGCTGTTAAGGGTTTCCTGGGAGATGAAACCCATCACGAAGTCCTTATGCTCTCTCGCGGCTTCGACACAGGCCTGCGTGTACTCCTTAGTCATGAGATTTCCCTCGCTAGACATCTGGGCTAATATTAGGAGTCCTCGCTCCCAAGGGGGTTCCTCAATCCCTGCGTATACAAGCTCATCGCCTTCCGCGATAGATTTACCAAAGCGCGGCGAGTCTACCGGTTCGAATGATTGCGTGAGGGTAGTAATGGACACGATGCTCCCTTTCCTACCGTTATGGTCAGTGCGGAAGTTTGACGACGGTGGAGGATCTTTTGACGGCGACAGCGCAGTTGTAGGTTGTCCATCCTCGCTACCATTTTCGTCAAACTCGTCCGAGACCGGGGTTCCAACAGAGACGGATGTCCTCACTTCATAATTGACACGGGAACGCCACCGGGCGGCTGCTTGTTGAAGCGCAGTAACAGCGGCCTTGCCAGGGATCATGTTGACGTTTACGATATGTGCCCAATCGACGATCCGCGCGGTTCCAGCGGTGTACTGTAACTGGACCGTGCTGCCAATGTCCCCAAACTTTCTATCTTCGAAGATAAGGAAGCCATGCTTCCTCGCAAGAGCACCTAGCTTGGGACCGGTGCCAGTTTGCGGATGATAATCCCATCCGGCGACGAGATCGTAATGCGTCTTGAGCACGACAATGGACGGACCGATTCGATCAGCTAGGGTGAGAAGTTCACGAGCGGAGGTAACATCGGCACTGAGACACAGATTCGACTTCTTCAATTCCATGAGCCGGAACAAGTAGTTGAGTAACGGGTGGGAGGCATTGCTGGCTCTTTCGGCGAAGCTCGCCTTGAACGTGGGATGGCGGTCCGAAGCTGCGCACATAGCAAATCAATTATTGATATCGTGTTAACTAATTTGTTTTCTTTCTCCCTTCTTTACAAGAGACGGAACTCGAAATAGTCGAACGATGCGATCGCAAATAATTGTGGGCTGATAGAGTTCCGGCTAACACGTTGACCGGTCTGGCTCTGCCGAAAGGGTCTTTCGTCTATCGGGGGGCGATCGGCGGTTGGGCGAGAACCCTGGACCTAGTGGAGCTAAATGATGTCAATTTACTACGGGAGATGGGATAGATCTAAAAAGAAATAGACGAGATGGCCGCGAAATAGGCCAAGATGTACAAATGCTGCGACCAGACGTCTTAATATAGAGTGCAAATGAATATCCTGCTGTGATGTGTACATATAAAGGCAAGGTAAAGACGGGTACAGGGAAATTTCTCCCATTGAGGAGAAAGCGATCATACCTGAAAGCTGGAGACGCAGACGCAGAGACGCAAAGGCCGTCTTCTACTCGGTAGACCGCCTTCGTGCTCTGGTGGCTGACCGACAATCCCGTGCATATGCTGTTCTCCTCTCAGAATTTTTGAGGGACCTGGGGTCTTCGGGCCTATTGGTTCCCTTTGGTAGGCTTGTTTGCTAGAGAAACGGGCAAAAGGTATGCGGGCTTGGGTCTGGAATCAGACCAAGATCGGAGACACCGTGCAGGCCTAGGAAGTTTTTTTTTTTTACCAGAGACCAACTCCAAATTCGGGCACTACGAACAAACACGACCCGTTCCGAGATGAATTGGACGAGACAAGCGACGATCGAGGAAGTAAAAGAAGGCCCTGACCTAGGGAGAAGTAAAATGAGAAGGAATGTTTAAGGGGAGATATAGTAGAGGTTATGTGGTGTCGTTCTCAACGCCAGCTTGTTAACATCTATGTCAGATGTCTACCAAATTAATAGACCAATTGGCGTCCTGGGATATATTTTTTGACTGATGATTGGAATTCAGGTTTCGACTCTTAAGCTCGTGCTGTTGGTTATCAATTAGAAACTTGTATGGAGGAATATCGATTTATTTTTACATGAAGTAGTAGTGGGTGAAGTAGTGGGGGAGCACGGCACAGGTTAGAGTCAGGTAGTAAAGTGGGATTACCTAGGTGCAAGTATGTGGGTTTTGTACGTCTATGTTCATGTTGCAGGTATGGGAATGGGTATTCGAATGGGGAAACGTACAGAATTAGACGAATGATTAGTCGTACATTTAGGTACGTGGGGAAGGTACATATCTAATAGGTACATATAAGTACCTACATTATGTATTTTTCAAGATTGTCCGAGGATGAGACTTATTAGTGGCGTCAAGTGGTTGCAATGCAGACCAGCAGCCACTAATTGATCTTGAGACAGTGGAATAATCTGCAGTCTTTCTCAGCAGTTCCCAGAAGTGATTGTCGAAGAGAACCCCACATACCAAAGTATCTGATACTACGTCAAGTACCTAATATGACAAGACTTGATGCGCTGGCTACCTCATAAGAAACGGAGTAGTCCTCAAAAAGTAATAGGTAAGATTTACATACAGTAGAGACTACATACGCATGCATCAATTGATACTCACATGTATAATTGATTATGTATACATGACACCCTACCTAGGCTAATAATAGGATGTAATAGGATGTAAGTGGGAAATACAGAGCTAAGCAGCTGAGCACCTAACCTACCTAAGGAGGTAGGCAACACGGGAAGCCCCTAAGATAGATGTAAATCCTACCGGCTTAAGTCGATGGGGATGTTGTTTCTAGAGCCTTACCGAGTCTAGTCTGATACAACAAAAAACTATAACCATATTTGTTATAGGACGAAACGGTAGTGAATAGCCAATCAATCTAGACACTGATGTCTTCTATCCGCATCCTTCTTCCTCGAGAGGCGGACTCGATGAATCCTTTGCTATTTTCATGCCAGCTCTCTAAAGCAAGGAAACCCGATAGACTCGTACATACCCAGGTAGTAGCCATACTTCTTAAAATATTGGAACCATCCACCCGAACACTACACAAATTCGTGAGGGGGGGTTGTTAAGGCTGCGTCAAAGGTCTCATCGGGGATAGCTCACTGTTGAGTGCTATGATGTTCCTAGTCTGATCTTTTAGCGAGGGGGGGGTCTACTATCTCCATCTCTATAAGTATAGCTTAGGTATAGGTAATACCTAAAAAGCATATTTTCGACTAAGTTTTCGAATAAGAGCTCGGGTAGACTTATATCAAAGTCAAATGCTGTGCTCGCATGACATGCCATCGTCAAAGACATGACGACGTCACATCTGCATGCACTATATCTAGCGGATAACACATTCGGGTCGAACTAATCTACTCTAACGACGACAACAACAACTACTAGGTACCAAAATGAATTTGTCGGATGAAACAGCCCGTTCTTAACACATGTGTATATGTTTAACATTGTATAGAAACCACATATCATGTGAGGACTAATTCATGTGAAGGAGGAAGATAGAGGAAGGCAGTACATGTAAGCAAGGATGTTTGCTCGTGCCGTCCCGGCTGGAGATTCGCGATAACGAAGGCTGCTAACGTTATCTGTAATCATATGTAATCCGTACAAGCATTGATGTACTCATCTAACGTAAGACCTACATAACCTTGGCCTTTACATAGAAAGTTCGAATGCTTGAAATAGTTACACACTAGCAATGTACCTAATGTACTATGAAGAGGATGTAGGTACTGTATGAAGAGGGCGCCTGCAGCCTTATCTCTTTTTAACATTTGATCTAATCATTTTTTCATTAAAGAATTGCGGGTCTGACAGCCTCGACAGCTTGTCCGTTTTCACGAGTGTGAGCCCTGGGCAGACCTGACAGCTTTGACAACTGGCAAAGTTTCTCGAAGTCCTTCCCGACTCAGCCGAAAGGGTCAACGTAATGTCTTCTTATCACATCATCTCCTCACTTGTCTTCCTTTGATATATTTTGCTTGATTAGTTCAACTCGGCTTTATTATTGTGACACCTATCTTCTATTTCGCGGTCGCATCCCTTCCTTGACTTGATAAACTAATTCCGGCCGCTTCTACCTTCTTTCGCGGCAGAGTTATCATCGTATTCATATCACACCACCCGAGCGTTACCTTAGCACATCAGTGCGACTTAGCTGAGCGCCAAAGCCGACCAGCCTTTCAGCTCCTGAATAAATACCGCGTCATTCGCTTCCTTCTCTGTATATTTTTGTCGCACTTGGAGGGAATCCACTATGTCTGAACGGCGAACCAGGCGGCAGGCCGCTTTGGCAGCAGCAGCAGCAACAACAGCAACAGCAACACCCACAGCTGACGAGGCTAACGACACTCTTACCAACATCAGTCAGCACGAAGCCACTGTGAACGGCAACGACAATGCTAATAATATCAATAAAGTCGGCAGTAATGGCAACGGCATTGCATCATTAGATCCTAAGGTCGATAACTATCCGAAGGAAAATATCTTTCTATTTTGGCCCAATATTATAGGTATGCGCTTACTATGTTCATGCAACACTATGGTTTTGTTACACAGCTTCGTGGTGTTTTACATGATAGTTACCCTTGTTGTAGCTCGAACTGACCTAGAAGCTTGAAAACTTTAGGCTACTCTCGTATCGTCCTAGCTATCGCATCCCTCTACTACATGCCCCTTCACCCGCGGACATGTTCTATACTTTATAGTATCTCGTGCCTCCTCGACGCCCTCGATGGCTATGCGGCTCGTTATTTTGAGCAATCGACCAAGTTCGGCGCTGTTCTGGACATGGTAACAGATCGATGCACTACCTCGTGCTTGCTCGTCTTCCTATCCTCCGCCTTTCCGCGATGGGCGATCGTATTCCAAGGGTTGATCACGATAGACTTCGCAAGTCACTACATGCATATGTACGCCACATTGGCTATGGGCGGTTCGGAGACCAGCCATAAGAACGTAGACAAATCGCGAAGTTGGCTACTAAATATTTACTACACCAACAAGGTCGGTTTCTTCTCGTGCCTGAACCGCTGCCTTGAGTTTTAGCTTACCAGATCTTAGGTCGTCCTCTTCGTTTGCTGCGCCCTTAACGAAATCTTCTTCATTGCTTTGTATCTACTGTCTTTCTCCTCGCCACTTTTGTCGCCACAGCTCCTCGAACCCCTCGGCGAGTCGAAAGCCGCTGCTATCCAGATTGGAGCACAAGTTAACAGTTCAGTCCTTCGACAGCTGTTCACTAACCCATATAGCGCTGGTGCCCTGGAGTTGGCCCGCGCAAACAAGATGGATTCGACTTTCCCTTGGATCCTTGCTGGAATCAGCGCCCCGATCATGGCATTGAAGCAATTCCTAAATATCCTTCAGCTCGTCAAAGCGAGCAGGTGGCTAGCCGAAGGCGACGTAAAGTCGAGAAGAGCGGCTGGTTTGCCGAGGCAAAAGGGCGGGAAGCGTGCTTAAAGAACGCATATATATTTCTTAAGCAAGACAATGACAGACCCGCAATCAGATAGTTGTGTAGAATAACACAAATCTGAACGCAGTGAAGCCATGGCGATAGTGTGTACGAGGTGTCCTATTTCATTAAAGGAGCGTTAGGCATCAGGGAGCCAGCACGTTTCTTATTCAACGGTTGCATAGGATCGGACATGGAAAGCATGGAAAGGGATCTGACTTGATAACCGGTTATGTTCGTCGCAAGTCGATTGAGGAGGGGCTAAACAGGGTAAATTAGGTGCATGTCCACAGGACACCAAGGGGTTCGTCTTCGTTGTAAATATATAATCCTAATAATGAGTTTTCATTAAACTCACGTGTGGTATAGAGAGCAATCGATAGGTGCGACGTTTTGAACCTATCGTTTTATGATTGGAAATATATAAAAGAGAGTTGATCTTGTATACCGAGCTGTAATGCCTGTTCTGTTTCATATTGACATCCATCGGGGATCTATCTGTCTATTCGCGACGACTTGCATTAATAGGAATAGCAGTATCCACCTATTTCCTTTATAGCGATAAAGGAGAAGAGACTTGTGGTATAGAATCATGTCGAGACTTAATCATGTCTTAAGGGTACATATCAATCAAGTACCTACCTAGTACCCAAGGTTTTCGAAACATCGTCAGTGCTATATCCTGTTCATAAGGACCAGTCAGGCTAAAGATCATCAGGAACATGATTACTATTCATCGGAGTAATTAAGCCGCATGCATAAGGCTGCGTACCTAAGACAGACAACATGGAACTCACTAACGAATAAGTCCCGAATGTTTCTACCATTACGTTTCTCCGCGGTCGAATAGGAAGGAAGAAAGAAAAGAAAAAAAGAAAAAAAAGCATATAAAGAATTCGGAATCTAGTAATAATAAGCGAATGGGCTGGATCTAGCGTACATACATACCTACATACATATGTCGTGCCGTCGTGTCTCGGTAAAATAAAGCAAGACTCTTAGGTTGGTTGCTCTTGGGTAGGTCGGGGGCCGTCCGATTGGCATTATGTATGAGGTATGTATGTAGGTCTCAGCGGCAGGAGGCTGAAGAGTTTTTTTTTAACTTGGCCCCCACACCGCCTATGATGTACTTACTGTCTATGCAATTGCTTTATAGGGAGCTGTGATTGGTGAATTGGTCGTGTCTTGAGGGCTTGTCTTCAGCCCTTATGCACTGCCAGACCACATGGAGTAGGTATACTGCAGATATGTGTTTTTTGCTGGGTTAGCCCGAGGGGGGTTAAGACATATTCGGTGCGTATCTATATATGTACATGTAGTCTTGGATGCTTTTGGAATCTACTTTACGTGGTCGTGCCTAGAATACAGCGAGTAAAAGCGTCTACATATATGTATATGTGAATATAGCATCACGAAGTATACTCACTCCTCCCCCTATATTACACGGATTATCCCGTCGGTGGCGTAATACTATACTTATATCAATGCCGAGTGATAGCTCTCAAGGCCACTTGGCCATTGATTACATTAGGTAGCTATACATATATATATCTGGCTTACACATCCCTCTTTTGCTACCGGTGAAGTATGATAGGCGTAATGAGTTTTCATACCTAGGTAACTACCTACATACAGCCCAGAGATTCCCAGGAACATCATCAGGCCAGATGCATCTGGCGCCATACTCATGCGGGCTTGACGTTAGGCCTAGGGCTAGAATACCGGGTGCTGCAGAGAAAATGGTACGTGTCATACATACATCAAATGACATCGCATATGTCCGAACGGCAACGGAAACAGGACCGATCCCGCGGGAAGAAGATCTATGGAGGGGAAGCTTTGTCTTATCTCTAGCTAAGATTTTGGTAACCTCCTCGGAAACGTCATTCTTTTCTGCGGGTGCTAAGTTTAACGATGGGATTTGTACATATGGCCAGGCTATATTCTTGTTGAGTACCTCTAGACAGTAGAGAAAGAAAGCGGCGTCGAGATGATTGACGTTTCTGCATATGCATTCCGCTAAAGATAGTATACTACCTACACGTACTCTATGTAATAATTCCAGCCGCCATCCTTACGGTACTACCCTATAGTCACTGTACCGGGGTCAGCTTTACCATCAGGGGCGGCTTATGCCAGGCGATGTAATTCTTCTGATTTTCAAGCCAATTTCTGCACTCGGGCATTAATTCGATGTCGAAGTTATAAATAAGTTTGGCTAGGATAACTCGAGTCTCCATACGTCCCATTGTGAGCCCGAGGCAGTTCAATGGCCCAGAGCTAAACGGCTGTGAATAGTTAGCATCAACTCGACCTGAGACTATTGTTACATGTTTATAATTCCGAATGCATATTATATCCGAGCGTATAGTACCCATGATTTCAAAGGTATGATGGCGTAAGGGGTGAGAAATAATAGGGGAGATGCTCAGGCATACCTGGAAGATCTCTCTTGAGTCGTTGACATATCTCTCATCGCCTAACCAACGTTCAGGGACGAATTTCTTCGCGTCTTTAAAGTATCTCTCTAATCGACCAATAGCATGGTTATGGATGCCAATAATGGAGCCTTCGGGGATGAAATAGCCATCCACGGCGCAGCCTCCAGATGACATCAGTCGAGGGTTGAATGATGTTGCAACTGGAGCCCAGACACGCATAGATTCGTCGATTGCAGCTAAGAGGTATGAGAGATTAATAACGGAAGAAGCTGTAATATCCTGCTCTGACTTGAACGTAGACCGAATCTCACGTTTAACTCGCTCCATAGCCTCTAGATGGGTGAGCAGGAGGAAAAGCGTAGTAGCAGATGCTGTTGCTACTGTCTCCGATCCGGCCGTTACCAGCATCTGGGCGTTGGCATACATCTGCTCTTTCGTGAGAACCTCGCCGGCTTTGCTTTCGCTAGTAATGAATGACATATAATCCGGATGATCCGTCTTATTAGAAGCCATCCTCTTGTCTACCAGATCCAGAGTAGTCTTAAGATGATAGTCCTGTGCATCGGCAAAACTCTTTGGAATAAGGAACTTTTGCCAAACCCATAGTGCCCAGGACGAGATGTCATTTAGGGCGTGCGTGTAAACCCCTGACGTGAAGTAGGCCATGCTAATTTTGATCCAAGGATGGTATTGCTCTTTCTCGATGCACTCGAAAACATCTTCGCCAAATACTAAGTCGCCTTGAATGTCAAAGGTCGCCCACATAGTATACTTTTCAATATCCACAACATCCCCCCTTGCCGAGGCATCGCGTAGTTTCCGAATCATAGAGTCGATGTATCCCATTACGAGGGGCTCTTGTTCGCGTGAAGCCTTTTCGGAGAATGCAGGGTTAAGCTGACGACGAATTCTAGCGTGCTCCTGTACTTCAGCTTGAAACATGCCTACGGCGCCGAACTTCTCCTTAAGCGGTGCGGCCCGCGAGTCACGGGTTAAAGGTCCTCCTTTACCATAGCGAGGACCATATAGATCTTTAAAGGATGTGGGACCGGCACAGGAGACTTCGTCGGGGCCGACGCGTACGATAGGGCCATATTTCTCATGTAGTTCGGCAAACTTGTAGGGGGACTTGCCCTGTGCTCGAGACCAGCTTATAGGAAGAGGCGAGATGGCGTATAGCTTTGGACCTGGTATAGGGGCTAATGGGTGGAAGAAGGCATTGTAAACGATCTTGGTAATTCCTATTGCTAGAGACTTATACGAAGTTTAGCGAAGACAAACTTAGACCAGATGCTTTAGTCATCCTTACCAATAGAATAAAAAGGATTAAAAGCTCTAGAAAAGAGGCTCTCCGGAACGGCTCCACGAGCGTAGTAAGTCCTGTCGCCATCTTAGCTTCGTACTCGATATTGTTACCAAGGCTCAACAACACACGCGCCCTTTCTTTCCTCTAATACCCTAAAACACCAAGCTCATATATAATTACTCGTCGTTATCTTTTGGTCCATCTATTCCCGCGGCTCCAAAACAATCCGCAAGAGCGGGGAGCTATCTATGTCACGTCATACTTGATATGTAGGTGAATGAGCAATGGATTTATTTATAGTTCATGTCCCATAGGCCACGGCATGCTGGCGATAACAACCGGCTATAATATATACCATCCAGTCATCTTGGTTGATGGATTCCCGTAATATCGGCACTTGAAAGATATAAGCATCGACTATCGATATGTTAGAAGGTAACGGCATTACGACTAGGGCGATTAAACGAGAGCCGGCAAGATGCTTTCTTATCCACTCAACCGGAGCGGATATCGGTTCGTGTGAATTGTTCTAGCATAGACTGCATAGCTGCTGAAGAAAATTACTAATGATGGATGCGTAGTCTCCATTTTGGGACTTTCTTATATGAGATTGGGGAACCTGGGAGTTTCCTTAGTCGTTATCTCTTATAAGACGAGTCCAGACTCAAGCGGCATAGGAGCAATGAGAAATGGCCAAGATAGTGTAGATCGGTAGTTCTTAACAGTGTATTTCGGAACAATCTTATTGGTCACATTCAAAATGAATCTATACGAACAGTGTAATTACAGGTACTAATAAGCTATCTGCAAGTACTATGTATCAATAAATGAAAATGATGACCTAATGAATGCGGCTTACGGTGATGGAAGAGCATTTCTCCACTGGGCTGCAGCAGGGAACACCCTAACCGATAGAGGACTAGCGGCTTTACCCCACTACCTGGGAAGCTCAACGTCCATTCAATTCAATGTTCCACCAAAAGGACACAGCTACATATGTACAAGGTACCCCACATATCTACAAAATTCAAGGTTCAATATCAAGGTTCGTTATCACGAGCTTAATCGACATAACCTTCTTAAAAAGTATCTGGACCAAAAAGGACGGCACAATAACCAAACACCTACTCCTCAGCCTCATAAATCACACCTAACATCGCAACACCCGCAGAAACAACCATCAATCAGTCATCCATCCATCCATCCACAATGTCACATCCCCGAATCGAAGAAGTATCCGACAGCGACCTCTCGGACCCCAGCGAGGGAGACATCGAAGACTTCCTCGAAACCGACATCCTGCGACAAAAAGCCCCCGCGACAACCCCCTCCCCATCATTCCCCTCCAGCAGCAACAGCAACAACAACAACCCCAACAACCCCAACAACCCCATCCCCACCCTCCAACACCCCTCCTCCGCCCCCCAAGCCCAACAAGTCCAAGCCAGCGACATAAAAGACTACCAAATGCTCTACCCCGTATACTTCGACCTAACGCGCACCCGCGCCCAAGGCCGACGCGTCTCCAAATCCCTCGCCGTGAAGAACCCCCTCGCGCGCGAAATCGCCGCAGCCTGCGCCGCGCTGCGCCTATCCCCCGTCTTCGAAGCGCACAGGGTGCACCCCAAGGACTGGGCGAACCCGGGCCGCGTGCGCGTGAAGCTATCCAAGGGCGGCAACACCAACACCAACACCAACCCGTACGCCGCCAACGTCAAAAACAAACACCACCTGTACATCCTCGTAGCGCAGCACCTGCAAGCACACCCCACAACCGACGCGAGCGACGCCCTACGCCGGGTCCGCGTCCCCGGCCTCGGCGCCCCAAATGACGACGAGCCCTGGCCGCGGCCTGCCGTCCCGCGCGGCTGGAAGATGGGCGAGTTGTTACCGGCGTATAGCGCGGCGATGACGGGCGGTGGGGTCAGCGAGAACGCGTTTAAGGATATGATGCGGGAGATGCAGGGCGGAGGGGGTGGGGGCGGGGGTCCGGCTGATATGATGAGTATGCTTGGCCAGGGGCTCGGAGGGTTTGGGGGGGCGGGAGGAGGAGGAGGAGGAGCGGGGCATAGTGGAAGTGAAGCTGGTGGTGGGAAGAAGGGTAAGAAGGGGAAGGGGAAGGCGTGAGAGAAAATCCTAAGGCTTGAAAAGGATGGCTTCTAGGATGGGATGGGATGAGAAGAGATGAGATGAGATATGAGAGGTAAGGCTCCTCAAGTTAGACAAGGGGAAATCAGTCAGGGAGTATGGGATAGGCTCCCAGTATCATGGCATACCCTCTCCGAACACATCTCTACAACACAAAGATAAATCAATGAATACATCATAATGGACATGTAACTTCAACATCTGCTATGCGCTGCTGGCTACGCTGCCAAAAAATAGTGTGTATAATGATACAAATGCTTGTTAATCAAGGGTATCTCGACCTCTCCCCCTTCGTAAGCCCCCAATACTCATCATCCTAGGTATGTGATGTGGTGTTACACGTTACATAGCCGCAGCAAGTCTCCCCTGCAGCCCCTCCCACTCCCTAGACCCGACAATCTGGACCTCTCTTGCGCCAACGCCGGGAATCACCTTACCATCGGCATCAGGGAGTCGGATCTGCAGTCTTGCAGCGGCCTTACGCATCATCTTCGCGTGATCGAGCTCTTGATGTCTCTTCCTGCCTTGCTCGGCGGTAAGCACCACCCTCGTCTTCTGGATCACGGATCCTTGCCAGCTGTTCCACGTAGCGTAGTCTTCAGCCTGTTTGGCAGCGTGATACTGTGGCGTCGCCTTCGCGGGACGCCATGCCATCTTATCTTTCGGCAGGGTGCTCAAGTCGTAGACCTTGGCGGATGTCGCGAGCTTCAGGAGTTCGCCTAGCGCGTCCCTACCTTCAGCTGCCACAAGCGCCTTTCGCTGTTCTACAACGGGAACAGGTTTCTGCAGAGGCTCGGCAAGCCAATCATGTCGAGCCTGTTCCGTTGCGCGCGCGCGCCGGTTATCCTCACGTAGGTACCGAATAGCAGCTTGTAAGCTAGCGATGTCGTTTTTAAGGGCATCCATCTCACGTGCTGTGGCCACCGCGCGCTCCTGGCCGGCCTTCGCCCTACTACCGTTGGAGCCGGTCTCGTCGCCAAACGCCCTACTATCGCCGGCGATCTTCTTCCACTTGTCGCGGTCGACCTCGAGGGTCTTGGCCTCGCGGTCCTGCTGCTCGATGTCCTTCTTGAGGCTTTCCACGAGCTTCTGTGCGTCCGCGAGCTGCGCTTCAAGGTCTGCCATGCGAGATGCCTTTGCATTCGCGTCTCGCATGCGTGCCTCGAGCGTTTCGATGCGGAGGGCAGCTGTGCTAAGGTTCTCGTCGCGCAGAGCGATCGTACGACGAGCTTCGTTGTAATGTTCCTTAATTTGTCGCAGCTCTTCCTCGGCATCAATCGGGATGGTCTTGAGTGCCTTAAGCTCCTGCGCACGGAGGATCCATGGCGCCTGGCTGCGTTCGAACTCCTGCGTCTGCGATAGATCGGCGCAAACAGCAGTAAGATCAGTAACTTGGCCAGTGAGCGTGCGAAGTTTGGAGAGATAAGTCGAGAAGAGATCGGATTCGGCAGACGAGAATGCAGTCATAATAGTATTATGGACGGCGCTCTGAACCTCTGGGTATGTGAACGGCTCTGCGCGACCTTCCTCGCTAAGTAGTCTATGAAGGTCCACGCCAATCTTTCGAGACATCTCTGCAAGCTCTTGACTTGCAGCCTCGCACTCTTCAAAAGCTTCCGCAGTATCGGGAGTAAGAGCCAGCGACCTGGCTCTAAGATCCTCTAGAGATCGTACCGCCTTGCTAATAATCACCTTAGCGCTACGGGTCTGGGTAATGACGGCTTCGGATTTCTTCGCGAAATGCTGAGCAAGTTCGTCTTCATCACCATTGGGAGGCACAACTCTTTGGACCATATCCCTTACTATATTAAATGCTGTAGCAGCGGACTCCAGATGGCTCTGCATCAAGACTGTCTTCATCTGCATCTCATCTGCGAAGCTTTCTAGACCTTGTGAGATGTGGACCTCGCCCAGATGTGACATAAGAGCAATGGTGCGTTGTAGCTCGCTGGCACACTGCTTCTCTTTCAGCTCGTCACGTCGAAGGCCATCGATCCAGGTATTTAGAGCTCGCTCGACAGGTTCTAGCTCGTACAAGGCGCCTTCGTATTTGGCAAATTCTTCTAGTGAACAGTGACTGATAGCGTTGACAAAACGATCGCACATGGAAGATACCCAAGTAAGCTTATCCAATGCGTCGCAGCCAGCGAGTGCATCATCTTCAAGGCCAGGGTGCGGCTGTTTGTTGACACGTTCTTTGACGAAACCGTGTAGCAAGTTCGCCTTGAAAGCCAACCGGCTAAATCGCAGCAACGCCAGGACAGAATCTCTGTCAGTGTTGTAGCTCTCGGGCAAGAACAATTTGACAATCTGGAGATGCTGCTGCGCTTCCTGGGCGTCCATGCGCTGCAGCTCTAGATCGATGGTCTTGATCTGTGTCTTCACGGCTGAAAGCTGGAGTTTCTGGTTGAGATCCATCATCGCTCTCGATTTGCTGTTGAGCTGTTCAGACTCGGCTTCGTTAACGGCGTGAGATGCACGCATATCCTCCAGATCGGTCTGGAGATTAGTGACGAGCTCTCTAAATCGAGATAGTGTGTATTCCAAATCTCCTATGGTATCGTCCTTCTCAGAAGCTCTTCGTGCTTGTTCGGCAATGATACTATCCTTGAAATCGAGCTCATCTTGCATTTCCTTCTCATTCTGAACATGGTTAACCTCAAGCTCATCGTTGATCTCCTTGAGCGCTTCGAGGTCATCTATCATGGCCTTCAACTCGTTGATGTGTTCAGACTGCTGCAACTTCTCGTAGCTAAGTTGCTCGATCATGCTCTCCGCGCCCACGTTGTCATCTAACTGCTGTCGGAGGTCCTCAGCACGGGTCTCGGACTCTAACAGCTTCTCCTTGGCGATTTGGTACTGCTCCTTTATGGCTTCAAAATCTTCCAGGTCCTTTTCAAGTGCTTTGATTTGCGCTTTCGACTCCTCTTCTTGCTCTTGGGTAAGATCTCGTAGTCTAATAAGAGCTTCACGTAGCCGTTCATTATGTCGTTCCATTTGAAGCCACCCTGTACTTGCTCTTTCGTCGGGAGACATACCCTGGGAGTACTCGGCATTCTCCTCACGTAGAACCTCTACTTCGAGCTCGAGTTCCTCTGCCTTTTGCTTCAAGGCGTCAAGCTCAGCTTTATAAACCTCGGCAGTCTCCTCGGCCATCTCGCGGTCTAGCGTTGCGAGCTCCATGACGGTGTCATGTTCTGCTTGTAAGTTCTCGATCTGTACTAGCCGTTCTTCCGCTTCCTTCAATTGCTTCCGTAGAGCGGAGTTTTCCTGTGCCGTAGACTGGTATTTTCCCTCGATCTTTTTATTAATAGATTCGAACTTGTCCCGTTGCTCCTGAATTATCTCCAAATCTTTGATCTTTTCCCGATCTTCCAAGCGCTTCCGCTCCAGGACCTTTAGTTTTGCTTTTAGGTCCTCGTTCTCCCTAGCTGCGCTAGTAGCAGATGGACGAGTGGATGTAGCTGCACTCGGAGGCGCTTTCGAGCTTGCTGTGCTCGCTGGTTGCTTAGAAGATGTCGTCGAAGACGGCCCCGTAGAAGTGAGCTTCTCTAGAGCCTTTGTTCTAGAGCGCACGGGGCTTATCGTCTGTTCTCCATCGCTCTTATAGGGAGAGCCCAGATCCGATCTGTTACCACCCTCATTTCCTGATAAGGAATCCCCCGACCGTACTCTCCCAGCAGTAGGACGAGATCCACGAGCAGTCCCGGTAGAGACTCGTGCGCCAGGAGGCCTTGTGGCACCACTAACAGATCTTGTAGTATTAGATGACGTCGATACTTGTCTTCTATTGCCGGCAGAAGGTAGTGCCGGTGGCCCCATAGAGGTTCTGGTATTCACAGCTGGAGGACGAGGCCTCGCCCCAATGGAAGAAACGCGCGCATTCGATGGTGTACCGGTTCTCGGGTTCGAAACGCTAGGCGGGGCGGTCATTCCAAGTTGCTTCGTAGGAGACTTGGTGGGAGACTGTCATGGCAAGGTTAGAATCCAAGATATGCGGGGGGTATATTAGTATAAGCTATACGCACCCTCACCATACTAGACGGTCGAGAAGATGAAGACCTCCTAGGTACCGGACTCGGACTGGGCGCATTCAAGCTCATTCGTTTACCCGCCGAAGGGTCTGTCATAGAATTTGATCGTCCCGCTACGGAGCTCGGACGTCCCGTCACAGAGCTTGGTCGTCTAGCAGCTGTGCCTGTTCGCGGCCCTCTTTGAGCAGGGGCAGCAGGCCTAGTAGGCGGAGCAGGCTGGAGCACTGCCGCCACGGTAGCGGGCCGGACGAACATGCCTCTTCCCGGGGAGCAATCGAAGTAGCGCTCGCCTTGAACGGATCCATCGTTCTTCCCCCCATCATCCTCGAGCTCGATACCTATCCAGTCGCCCACAGCGAAATGGGTGTATCCGACATATCTAACAATCGCATTGCGGCCGTCGGTGAGCCGAATCGTCTGCCCGACTTCGACATCCGACATTCTGGGCAGGAATTCCTCGCAATTAGTTCATAATGGACCAGGGCGTTTGGTGTTGGCCCTGAAGCTTGACGTTTGAAGCTCTTTGTTCTTGGTTAAAAAGTACAAAGTACGCGTTGCTTGTTTCGTCACGCGAATGGTCATTACCTCCTTATCGGGGTTATTACGGAAAATCACAGTGTGGTCATACCGTGTTTTGGGTTAAATGCATACAGTAGAATCATCACTGTATCAGTAACATCAAATAGGAGGCACCCTGCATCAACCTATCAGATACACCTGTGATACGCCAAATAACAACCTCCCTACAACTTTTCCAATTAAGACTTTAATAAGTAAATACAGAAGAAAATTCAAAGACGCTAAAACCGAAAAGGGAGTATTGAAATATTCATCTATGTTCCCCTTATTTTACTCCCGAAATCATCACCATCGAGTCTCGATGTACCCTCAACACAAATTCGTCCTACCTAACTCAGGGGGTCTCACCTTGATCACGAATACTCCGATCTTACACGACCTGAAGTGAGACTTTGTGGCATCACGGAAGATAAAAAGAAAAAAAGGTCAAGTGATCTTATAAACCGCCAAAAAGCCATATGTAGAGGGTATGTATGCGGTACCATTCGGTCCCCGTCTCGTCTCATTACCTACAATACATATGGACATTCATACATACAACATACATACGTACATGATTCCCATTTTCCCACA